GTCTATGGAAGGTCCTGACGCATGTCCCCAGCTCCAACAACAAAACGATGAAGTGCTGATCCCTAGTGGCATGAACAGAAAAGTAACTGTTGACGTGCGAAATTTGCCACGTCAAGCACTGGTCAGTTGGTTTTTTGTCTTCTTAGTTAATAACCAAATCTCATCATATGTTGATCCTACATCAGTAGCGATTACCGCTGGGCGAGTACTCGAGTACTCGTGATCAATTTATGCTACTCGTTGCGCTACTCGTGGGTTTTCAATAAATTATTCGATTACTTGTACCGGCCGAGTACTAATAAATACTCGCGAGTAGTGACTTGTTTGTGAGAACCGATTAAGTTAAGGAACGACGAGTAATGACTTTCACTAGCGCTTTCAATGACACACCTGTTTTTCTTCCTCCGAACGATATAAAAATACTATGTACAAGCATCCTATAATGGACACTCGACAGTTATATGTCACTTAATCCTGTTCAAGAAAGACGACAATGGTTCAACGTGCTAAGACCTTTGAGTGAGCCACACGTCACGATTGTTACAATTGTATATAAATACATGTATAGCCAGAATAGGAATATTCAATGTTATTGTTGCTGCTTATAGGATGCTTGTCTTCTTCATTGATTCTCCTCACTTAATTCTTCTATGGGTGCTTTTTCGTTCATATATACACAGTCTAACTGGTACAAGTTGGAGTTGCTTCACCCTATTTTATTTCATCCTTGCATAACACTTTCTTTTTCAGATATCCAGATACCAATGTAGTCTTGACATTGAGGGAATGGATCAGTACGTAGATGCAACCCGAGAGGATGCCACTGTGACCTGTTACCTAAAATCAGTGAGCAGTGCATTTTACCGATGACTTTTACCAATGAGTTGACCCATATTGGCAGTCTTTTGAATTTTTGCTGGTAGATAATTGAGACGTACGTGCCTATTGTGACCATCATTTTTGTCTCTGTTCCGATTGCTAGCTTATTTGGTATAAATTCCTATCACATTTTTTAAACTTCTGTTTAAGTAATAATCCAATAATCTCAAATACTGTTCGTCTCATGGGGTATTTTTGATACATCCACAGGTTAAATATTCGACTAGTCAGCAGGAGTTGAACGTAACACTGTCATTGTGGTGGACAGACATGAATAACAACATACACCGTCTAGATGACAGACATGTGTTCAAAGGTCAGTTTAAAGGTCTTTGTTATGTAGTTTATGGCATATTGGGTCATCAAGGTTTGGCTGTTCAACTCGGCTATGAAGCACATAAAACGATAAATATAATTTGTTTGTTCGTGATTTTATATTCCGTATAATATGTTCCGTGGACACGTTTGGTCTAACGGTGGAGCACAGGATTCATGATCAAGAGGTTGTGAGTTCAAGCCCCATCATGGCCATGCGTGTTGTACCCTTGAGTAAGGTGCTTTACCTCAATTACTCCTCTCAACCCAGGTGTTAAATGGGTACCGGCATTATTCAATGCTGGGAAGGTAACAGACTCGCTGTGGAGGAGGTGTGGCGATCCCCCCACAGCAGCATATGAGTCTTGCCCAATCGCTAAAGAGAGATGGGCACTCCGTTCCTGTGAAAACAGGTTCGTTCCTTTACCTTTTACCTTTATTACCAAACACAAGCAAATATGGAATCAACTGATCCGAAGCTGGTAATCAATATAAATGTAATGAAAGACAGTTAGGAGCTTCGTGATTTCAGAATATTCCAGCTTTAGGAAATATGAAATACCATTTAATGCAGACACCTGGTTGTGTCATTCTAGTGACTCTTTACAAGTGTGAGGTCTTGCGTCCTGACTGTAGCCGTTGCGTTTCTAACGAAACTACCCGTGCAGAGCTGGGATGCATGTGGTGTGGGGATACCTGTGGGGTATGGGATAGCGCTGCATGTTTGTCGACTGTTCAGAGTGTCTCAATGGATAATACCATCAACTGCCCCGATCCAGTTATATATGAGGTATGAGAAGTCGGACATTTTCACTGTAATTGAATAAATACATACATCACGATCTTCTGTCTTAAGTGGTATCCGGCATGCTTGATACCAGACCTTTTTAGAGGACGGACATCATGATTAGAACATTTTAAGCAATTGCATTTTAAACTCAATTAAAATGTGTGAACATGTTAACTAGGGAATTCTGGACTTAACGTTGTTACAGGTGCACCCATTGTTTGGACCTGATGAAGGCAATACGATAATTACTGTGATGGGCACGAATATGGGACGACGATTCAGTGACGTGCAAGAGGTCAGTGTTGGCGGCCAGACCTGTGACCTATATGGATTGGAGAGCTACTACCAAACCGGCGCCAGGTAATTTAATGCACATCACATTGAATAATAATAAACCTCACATTAAATTGTAATAAACCTCTTTTAATAGAAACAGGTACATTTACTTGCACATCAAAGCACCAACATAAATGATAAGGAGGAGCAATTTGACAAAAAAGTCTCAATACCAAAGCATTTTTGTACCTAAAATAATATTCTTCCATCTTATTTTGAAAGAATAATTCTTTCAATATAAGATCGAAGAATGTTATTTTCGGCACAGTCTGTAACACTTCAAAGGCAGATGACAACTTTGGTTTATGCAAATTATACTTTTATTAATCATTCAAAATACGCTGTGGTCATTTTGGGGTTATTCTGATGCTATTTTTTAACTTACAGTGTGAAATGTAAGACTAGACCTAGTTATGATGCAAGACCGCAGCTACTTCGAATGAGTCTTACTGGCGCAAATGGTGCATCGCAGTTAAGCCATGGATATGTTACGTTCCAGTACAAGGTACCCCTCTATAAATCTCACCACAAGTTTGGTGTTATTTTTTTTTTTGGGGGGGGGGAATATTAAAGCATCCATGCAAATAATTTGTTTTATGCAACTCTTGAAAAGCACCTTTGTATCCCATTTAACCTCATTTGCAATTTTCATTTTGCCATTTGCAATGTTTTTTTGTGTGCCTCTTTGGTTTTTAAGCTAATGCGAATTTCCATAAAAAGGGGAAAAGTGTGATGTCATTTCAGGCAGAAACCTTACAGCTATTTCAGCTCAAAAAGTTGCCAGAGTTTGGGAAATTTTTTGTTGTAAATTTTGTTCTCTTTGGTGATTCGTAGTTGTGTTAAGACATAGCAGTTAAGTGGATGAGCAAACTTTTCCCTTAAATTTATGTTTTCAGTGAACACATTTTGGGATTCACAATTTGAACAGAAATCACCTAAAATGAACAGTGTCTTCCTGAAATGACATCACAGCAACAACGCCCTCAGTTGTCCGAAAAGCATGGACAATTTTAAATGTTTTAAGAAGTCTACTTTTCAATAAAATTTACCAAAATAGTTTTCACACATTTTAAGAGGAGTAGAAAGTTACCGTACACAACATGTGTTCCTAAGAACAATTCATCTCATTGCCCTTTAAGCAGATATTAAGTTTTATGATCGTGCAAGCTTAAAATTATTTCTTATTAATTATTTATAAATTCAACTTATTTTTCACTTTCATTCAGGACCCAGTATTAGCTGATTTTAGCCCGAAGATTGGCCCACAATCCGGCGGGACACGGGTGACAATCTCCGGTGAATCCCTTGATACCGGCAGAAATATTTATGTTTCCATCGGCAGTACACCTTGCTTGTTCGACAGGTATCGTGCCAGACGTCGGTGACTTTTGGGTTTCATAGAAATAAATATCTTGATAATATCTTACATTTCCTTAAGCCTTGCTCGCCATTACAAAACGCACAATGTTGTATGTTAGAATATTTGTAATTAAAACAACAATTTTGATTCCAATGTCCATCTTGTGTGAATTAATAATCCATTTCCAACCAGGTCCCAGGTTAATGACAACAGCGTTATCTGCCAAACATCAGGGGTCAACCAACTTGGTTCCTGGTCACTGTACATATTCTTTGACGGTGCCGTTCGGTTTTCTCAAGGGCAGTTTAGTTATACCCAAGATCCAACGGTGGAGGAAATCGAGCCTTCAACCAGCATCTTGGCGTAAGTCAAATGGAGTTATAATGGTTGTTATAGAATTATATAGGTGTTGATTAAGCGTCTTGCAGGAAAACACAAAGTTGTCGTGCTAAAAAGCCTTGAGAGAGGTGTCTCGAATCTTATGTTGTCATATTGACAAGATACTTTATCACATAGTCTGTATTGACTGATTTAATGACAGACCATCTTCCAAAGGATTATAATTCTTTTAAGTGAACATAATCGCTTTACACTCGCAAACTTTCCAGATGTTCAGCTGATGGCTTGATTAGGTTTCTGTAGGCAAAAGCGGCGAGAAAGTCATGCTTAAAGCATTTACTAATTATTCATTTACGATAATGTAAATGTTGATTTTGTGGCTTAGCCTTATCTTGGGATTTGCAGTAGTACCAAGCACTTCAAGATTATTTTCCTGTACTCCATTTTTTTTATGTCGCTCTCCCTTCCCTCCGACTGAAGTCGTTCCATCTTCTGCTTTATCATATGTCTTATTTTCTCCTACTTTGTGAACATTTCCTAACCACATTTATGTCAGTGAGAAGAATTTTCATTTTATTTAGGGGTGGGCGAAAGCTTGAAGTCAGGGGATCTGGTTTCTCTATCATACAACGACCTCAGATAATAGTTACCCTACAAAGCAACCAACAGGAATTTATTGAGGTAAGATATGAGCAAAAGACAAAATACATAAGTCACAAATTCGTGAACAGAACATTGCCAATCACAAAAAATGCAAAAAAAACCAAAAAAACAAAAAAACACAGCACTCTCTTATTCATTCTCCAAACCCATGCATCTAAAGTTTCAAATTTTGTTTCAAAGATAACGTGTAAGTTCTACATTCGAGCTTTTTTTTCAAATTCAATGAGTTTTTTTATTAATTTGATACTTGTTGTTTTTGTTGTTTTAATACTTATAAATATTTCTTTGTGTATATCTTAACTTATTTTCAGGATTGCAGCATAGAAAGTGACGAAGTCATGTACTGCATCTCACCAAGCATTGCTCTTCCAAGCCATTTACTTTCTAACGATGCCTTTTTGAACACCTCTACGGGCTTCATCCTTGACGGTGTGACGGCCCTTCGTGCCTGGTGTTCGGATCCTAGTTTCTGTACATTGCTAGAGTATCATCAGAATCCTCGATATTTCGCTTTTGACGATCCGGTGTATAAATATGAAGATGGGATTGCTCACAAGGATGGAGACACTTTGCTTCTTCGTGTAAGTTTGGAATTCGGAGTCACAGAATTATGGATGTATGACTTTTTAATTGAAGCCTTTGGGTCTTTCATTGTAGGTGTCTTGGGTATGTCTTTTATGTGTCAATGGGATTATACCGTGTTATTATGGACAATCAAGTATTGTTCGGCCTTCTTTATACCAGTTGATATATAACAAAAGGCCTACGATGTGTTTAAAATTTCTCAGTAAATACACTGTTATTTCGGTTGTATAAAATCAAACGGTTGTGTACTATATGAACCTAGCAACCCGTTGTGTAAACTGTTGTTTACACAACTTGTGTAAAATATTGCACAACTTGTTCAATTTTTTTACACAACTGGTTGCTAGGTTCATATAGTACACAACCGAAATAACAGTGTATGACCATTGGGAGGAATGAACATTGAAAAACATTGATAGGCACGATGAGCAATGAAGCGAAAAGGGATTTTTTTCAGACAACACCATTCCACTGAATAGAGCTGAGTCGATAACAACTTGATCAGAATTAAGAATGTGACAAATTATTAAAATGATTGGTACATTTTCATGTTCATTTCTCTGTTGTTTTTTTCTGAACAGGGAGACCTCCTTGATCTTGCAATAACCGCAAAGGAAATCACCGTTTACATCGGACCCGACGTTTGTGCCAATGTTACTCGTTCCAGGAAATTGTTGGGCTGCGTACTGCCGCAAACACAACCTGAAGCGGGCGATAATCTGGGCAAGAAAACTGACAAAAATCTCCCGTTTGTTCGGGTGAGAATTATTCTGTTATTATAATGGAAGTAGATCGCCCATTGTATAGCGGTCAGAGCAGAAAACAATCATGCGAAATTGTATTTCTTTTAAGTGCTGGTTATCCAATGATAATATCGATGTGACTTATTTGATGCCCCGGGTAATACCAAACTGTTTGTCAAATTTTTAAAATGGGAATTATTAGCTAATTGTGGCAAGATTTGGGCACTTTAAAAAAAGATTAATAGGGCTTGGCGATTTCCCCAAACCCTTGTGTAATAAATATAGATAAACGACTATAAAACGAGAGGAGTTATAGGACCATGTTCTCATGTTATGAATCGCTATTCAAAGTTTGTTTCAAAGGTTTTCAGAACATTATGAAAAAAACCCATAATATATCCAAAAACAATCGTCACTCAGGAAATAAACTCCATCATAATCTCAAGACTTATTTTCCAGTGCACACACACACCTTTTGATATAAAACAAAAATATTTGAATTGTTCTCGTGCAGGTGTTTCATGGCACACACCTGGCTTTTGATATCGGCTACATCCGCTACCCTAGTACATCCATCACCGTTCTCGTGTGTGTAGTCAGTGTGGTGGTCCTCCTGATCTTTGTCATTGTCGCCATAGTGATTTACAGGAAAGCCAAGTCGGCTAGAAAAGAAGTTGAGGAGCGACGAACTGACCTGATCATGAAGAAGATTGAAAAGACTGAGGATATGATGGCAGGTTGGTAAAGTTCTGGTCATACATTTTCTTGTAAACTCTCTACAAAAGTGTAGATTATTTGATAACATTTGATTAACCAACCTATCATAGTCACTTAATCTCTTATTTTGTGAATTATATACGGAAACATAATTACTCATCTTTTCAGTACTCCTTTCGTTTCTGTGTAATTACTTCGGATTTTGTTTGTGTAGTTACTATTATTGCAAAGTCTTTTTTATCATTTTCATAATGTTGAAACAGTGGAGATCATTCAAGGTTTGCTTCTTATACTTTTATTTTCCCCAGCATCTGGAGTCGTTGGGGTGCAACAATCGGAGATGTAAGACATGATGCCGAGTCTTCGTTATTGAATGGAGGATAAGCTTATTATCTGTACTAAAAAAATATATCATCTTGCAATTGCAAAGTTGTACCTGGTATCCCGTTTTGTTTTGGAAAAAGTGTCCTTGTCTGAATTTCGAGACTGACAAGAGACACTTTACAGAAACTATTTCTGAAGACTTTTCGGGCATTCTGTGTTTTTAATCATAGGATAGACACATATTGTATGAAAGATTTTTTTTTAAGCAGAATGACACTTCAACTTATTCCATTATGCTCCCAATTGCCATTCAATCATTTAAAGTAGCAGAAAATAAGTCAGTAAGATACTGTGATCATGCAGAAATTACCGTTTTGTATTTTTTTTTATTGTAAATTTGATTTACAGAAACTATTTCTGAAGACGTGCTTTAATCATAAGTATAGACACAAACAGTAGGCCTATATGAAAGAATTGTTGGTTTTTTTTTTAAATCAGAATGGCACTTAATTCAACTTATTTCATCATGCTCCCAAAAACTTGCCATTCAAATCATTTAAAGCAGTAGAAAGTAAGTCACGAAGATACTGTGATGCAGAAATGACCGTTCTTTAATTGTAATTTTGATTTTTCTCGATAGTTAACTTGATTGTTTACAATGTCGTCCAAAAACCCACATTGTTCTATCGTTCCGGAACTAGGGCCAAGTTCGGGCAAGGACCATTAGTCGACTAGTGGTTGATTTGTGACGTACCTTACGCCTGCGCACTGATAGCAAAGTGCGAACGTCTCTAGTCAAACGCTGGTCAAAATGTCATCGCAAAACTTCTGGATCCTGGCTCTCTGCTTGCGTTATAAATGCGCGCGGCTATTGGTTACCATCGAAGCAACCAACCCCAGTAGGCTGGTTCCAAATATATAGTCGACTAGCGTAGTCAACCACCGTCGACTAGACAGAGTTCGGGCAAACATTAGTTAACCATTGGTCAACTATAGTCCTTGCGCGAACTTGGCCTTGGTTGTTTGTCATGAGCATGGCTTTTAAACTAGCAATGTTTTGTATATTCCTATTGCATTATTACTCAGTTTATTATAGAAACGTTTACAGTTGTAAGTGTTTGTTGAAATCTTGTTGATAAACTAAGTTTGGAGTACGTGCTGAGTGCTCGCAAGTAAAGGAGAAGAAAGATGTTTACAGAAAAGAAACACCGGCACCTGTGATTTTTTTTGAGGAACATAATTTTGTGCAACTTTCTACCCCTCTCAAATGTGTGAAAACTACTCGACATCCATTATTGATTAATTTCATTAAAAAGTGCCTTTTTAAACATTTTAAATTGTCCTTGCTTTTCTGAACAACTAAGGGCGCTGTTGCTGCGACGTCATTTCAGAAGGGCACTGCTCAGTTTAAGGATTTTCTGTTTTTCGGTATTCCAAAATAGTCTGGTGCACAAGAAGTTTCGATGAATTTTTATTTTTCGGGATAAACGCGGGAGATAAATACACACAAGGCTATGGGGGATGTGGCAACGAATCTGCGTTCTCTGTAATTTGTCGTGCAATTGAAAATGGATGGAAACTTTCATTCGCACAAAAGATTGGACACATCACCAGACACCTTAAATCACTTTTTTGTTCAAACGTGGTTTGTTTTTTTTTTACAAATTGTTACTTCAGACCACGACGATCTCTTCAATTTTGCTGGTACCCCGCTATGCTTTTGCATGCATACCATGAAAAGTTTATCCCGAAAGAAAAATGTGCTTGTTTGTTTGTTTCTTTTGGCTGGTCCAGGTTTATTTTTATATACATGTATATCAGTGTGTTTTTGTACCCCGTATTTTTCTATCTCTACTGTAATTTCAACGAATGGCAGAGTGTTATTTGTAATTTTAACAAATGGCATTGTAGTTGCTGGGCACCTCTGGGAAACAGTATTGCAGGGTAAATACGAAATAAATAAAATAAAATAAACAATTTTTCATATCTTGATGAGCACACATGGCGCAGTTGGAATACCGAGCTGGCGTATTGTGAACCTTACAACACAGCAAGAAATAACAAAAGAACAGAAAATTTCAGCAAAACTATCCGAAATTCCGGCAAGTTTTTAAACAGCGCTGTAAAAGCTGTAACATTGAGGTTTCTGCCTGCAATGACATCACACCTTTGCTGATGAATATGGACATTTGCTTTTGTAAATAAAATAAAAAGACGTCAAAATACCCTTAATGGCCCCCCAAAAAAAACTGTTAAAAAGTACTGATTACATATGGGAGACAAAATGTGCATATTTTTACATTGCATGTTTTCGTGATCTCGATCCAGACAAGAGCTACCCCCCCCCCCCAACCACCACCACCCAGACCTACGTACGTTACATACCTTGTGTGCACTTTCCATTGCTTTCGTGTAGAAACCAGTGAAAAAAACCTCATTTTTCTCAAACTGTGAAAACTCTTTCAACCCATTTTTCCCTATGATTCCCTTTAGTGTTTCTCTTCATGCTGCCACAGATAAACCTTACCGAAAAAAATGCCTCTAAACCTGTTTTCCAGAAATGGGGAAACATTGTGTGGACGTGGGCAAGTCCACACAACGTCGCTGCTACCTGGTTTATGTGGACCTCTTTTGTTCGGAAGTCCACACAGCGTATGTAATGCTTGTACACCCCCCCCCCCCCCCCCCACCTTCACTATACCAACCTACACACACACCCAGAACACACACAAAACATTTATTTGATGATGTTTATACAGTCAACTGCTCTCCGGCAGTTGTTGCAACAAATTTATTTATTAAATAAAAAAATGGCCATTCGAGGACACCGTAACAAGGAAATAACTTGTCAAAAATAACTTTGGGAAAAATAATAAACTAGCTAGCTGCGTGTACTGTGCACTAGTAGTAGTAGCTACGTACGTACATGTACATCTATTTTCTTCCTCCATGATAACAAGTCACACAACAGCAGCGCGGAAGTTTCAGAGCTCAATTTCCAGACGACACCACTTGACAGTCTTGGATTTTGTGTAAGTTTACTTAGTTTTTGAAAGGTAACCTTGCATATCACTTGTCAGTCATTTATCATGTTCAGAGAGTGGCCATTGGAGACATGGGAAATAACTAGGGGTTAAGAGCAGAAAATGTCAGTGTTTATGACTTTAATACTTGCTGGTAGTGGTACTGGGGATAGGGTGCACGATGACCGGCTGGCCTGGCACGTACCTGCCGGCGATCTGACGGTGGGAAAGGTGGCTTATTTAAGGTTAAGGTTTTTCGTTTTCTTCTTTGGCTAACTTTTAGTTTTACACTTTTTTTGTTCCGAAGTGGCTATCGTTACGGCACTCGTTGTTTAGCGCCCTCTACGATTTTTTTTTGATACGCACGCAGGTATATAATTATTTGTTTCCCCACGTTTCATCGAGCAGTGCGCCAGCTCAGCCGATAGAGGGTAGGATTTTGCACCGCGAGGTTGCGGGTTCGAATTTCAGTTTTGCACTCGAATTTTTTTCCTTTTCTAACCTGAGGCTTTGGAGGATTTTTTTTAAAAGGGAAATAAAGTCCGAATTTCATAAAGTTCAAATTCACTTTTTTCCTTCTAATTTTATATTTTCTTGTCATGTTTTTTTTATAAAAGTTGCCAGGTTGCAGTCTACCGTAACGATAGAAAATGGGAAATGCGTTACGGCTGCCGTAACAATAGCCACTGCGTTTTTGTTCCCCCCCCCCCTCCCTTCTTACTTTTTTTTGTTGGGGGTGGGGGGGGGGGGGTGGCTGATATTTGTATTGTTTTCAATTCCCAAATTTGTTATATTATTTCAAAGTAACTTTTGAAACCCAAGCAGTCTGAAATTGCAATATCTCTAGTTTATTAATTTTCAACAATACTTATTACTTGGGTTTAAAACTTGAAAAAAAGAAATTCCCCTTAATTAGGCCTAGGCCTACCTTTTTTACAACATTTTTTTTTGCATTTCATGTTTGTGCATATACATTGTATGTCAGCCAGTGTCTTGTTCGTTGATTTTATCCAAACCTCAACCTCAAAACCCATCAACAGACTTAAAAGAACATAAGGAAAGAATGTTGCAACCTGACGCCACTTTTTTCTTCATAAATTATATCATCTCAGTGAAGGTCATTCATTGCAAAAATGATGATAAGTCATGAATCTGGGACTGAGAAACATTTCCAAATTTGTTAGGAAATAGTTAGAAAATTTTCTTGACTCTCCATAGACTTTGTACACAATCGAGGAAGTTTATTATTTTGCTCTGATCACAGTTTGTTTACTTAATTTATCAAAGTGCACCTACATGACTACCGTTAAGGCCAAGTAGAAAAGAAACAATAGATTCTCGTCAGGGGTTTTGAAATGAGATGGCAGATTTACCAATTTGTTGGATAATTTTCTTGACTCTTTTTCTGATACTTTTGTTTCCAGCTGTCATCACCATTTCCATCAGATTTTGAAAGCATATCTACAACTTTGCTGAAAACAAATTTAAAAATACACGCTTAGTGCAAACATATGATTAAATGACAATGTTCACATGTAGTGGAGTAGATCATTTGCAGCTATCCGAAAAAGTAATTGACCAGTTAAAAAGCTTATTTTACTTGGTTTAACCCTACAGGAGCCAGGTTATTTTGACCATCTCAAAGCCGTGGGGATTCCAACCCAAAAAAATTACGAAACTTGGTGCATGCATAGAACAACTTAAAGATAAAGTCCGTTATTTGTAATTTGTGCATTTTGTTCATTTTTGAAGCAACAAAAGTGCTCAAAATCTAAAGAAGGGTACTAAACAACTAACCTGATGAAGTTTCAGCTCAGCTTCAGCTGTATATTTCAAGAAAAACAGCATTCTAGGATCTCAATTTCAAATCAAAAGTTGCTGAATCATGTTACGAATTTGGCCTGAATTCAGCGTCCGAGACACATTCTCGCTGAGCCGATTGCAGCTACGCGATGTCGCACACTGATCAGACGAATTATAGCAACCGGGGGTGCGTGTGCGTCGTGCCAATGCTTGCGCGCACTTCGCCGAATAACAAAACGAACTACTAATTAAATTTTCGTACGGTGCGTCTTAAGAAGCACCATTGGAAAGGCCTTCTTTCGTTGATTACTTCAAAATGACAGCTTGCCAGAAAGAATAATTTCACAGAGAGTTTAGTCCCCTTACTATCTTTCAACCAAGTATGTTTTTCAACAATAATTACGCCAGTTACTTTTCGGATAGCTGCAAATGATGGAATGTAGCTTTAATGTTAAAACCAAAGACATTCCATGACTACAGAAGAATAGGGCTAGAATTATGGCTAATGAGTTAAATGCACCATATTCTGCTTTGTGTACACTACATATAGGGAAATTCACTGGCTTAAAATTTGTGTTGTATTTCCTGGTGCAAAGTACACGTACATGTAGGAGTGCCACGCAGCCACAGATAGAGAAGTAAAACCTCTCATGCAGACCACCTGTGCTGCCATGTATGACCACTGAGCACAGCCAAATTAAAAGTATTTAATTTTTGCGGAGGGAGGAAAACCGGAGAACCCAGAGAAAAACCCTCGTGGCACAGGAGAGAATCAAACACACTACTCACATATGGTCTGAGCCAGGAATCGAACCCGGGCAACGGACAGTGGTGGGAGGAGAGCGTTTTTCGCACAAGCACCAGAAAGTCCTTCAAAACCAAAGACCACATCACTCTACTTACATATGGTCTGAGCCAGGAATCGAACCCGGGCCACAGTGGTGAGTGACCAGAAAAGGAGAGTTGGGGGAGACCTAGACTGGTTCCCGGTCCATCCACTGTGTATTTCGAATGATTCAAAGTTATTGGAGGCAGGGATAAGTCTGGGAGATCATTGCAAGTCTAACATATTCGCGTGCCGGCGACGCCTGATGCTCAGGCGAAGACGCTGTGGCTAAATAGCTTTGGCACTTGCAGGAAGTCGTGCGTACTTCGCCCCCAAACCAGTACAGAACGCAGACGCTGTGTGCCCCATCCACGAGGCTCTCTTTTGGGGACTAAGTTTTTGAATAATGGTTAAACTAATGTAAGGAAATTGCTCTTGCAAAGTTTATCGCAGAAAATGGTGTACTCGACACATGCTAGAAAAGCCAAGAAAATCAAACACATTTTGAATCTATCTTGGAACATTTGGAGCTGCACAGCAGCAACAACATTACTAGGCATTTTACAGGAACATTGAAGGTATGCACAAATTTCTGTTGTATTTCCTGGTGCAAACTACATATAGGAGTGCCCGAGCTAGAAAAGTAAAACCAGTCACGCAGAACACCTACGCAGTGCTATTGAAAATGGATTTGAATATGAATGGTTCCGTAGTTGTTCAAAATGATGTATTGTTTTGTGTTGGTAATGCTGCAGTAGTTGACCTTTGCGGAAAGTTCAGTTCCGCGTAGATTCATAGAACACGTCTCACCAAACGACATAAAAATATTCTGTACAAGCATATTGATAAAGTTTGTAAGAGGAAATAGAAAATGCCAAACGAGTGATGAAACACCCTACATGTACATGTATGTGTGTACATGTATGTAGCTTGCTTCTTTTATGTTTGTAACAATACAATTTTTTTTTCCAACTTTCACTCGGGAGGTAACACACTGAGTATACAGTGTTTAAAAACGTCGGTGAAGGGCAAAACCTAATTTGATTTTTATCACCCCAACGCAAAATTCCATCTTATAACAATTATGAGATGACGCTTTTGCAAAGAAATACAGACTTTGGTACTGAGTTACACACGTTTGAAGGGAAATGACCAAACATTGAACTTGAACAGATACACTGATGATGACATGTACATGTATCATGAATTTTAAATGTCAGGAAACTTCAATTGTCATGACATTAGCAGTCAAATAAACTTGTCTTATGGGTATTTCAGTTATCATTGTTCATCACACGTTCAGGCTGATACAGTGATATGGTAATCATCATGAAGGATCACAAATAAACCTATTACTTCCTTTTACTTTTTATCTTGTAGTACTGCTTACTTGGCTCATGTATCAATCTATTTCCTGTATTGTTTGAATGCTACATGTGACAGCCTTCTTCACTAAGATGATCAGAGTGGTACACCATTAAATAAAGGAAGTCATCGCTTTTAATTGACATGATTGAGGGATTGATAGATTGATGAATGAACAGCATCCTTGTAACCAAACAGTGCCGAGTTTTTTTTATTTGTTCGTTCCGTTTAAAGCTACAGTCCATCATTTGTAATTTGTGCATTTTGTTCGTTTGAAGCAACAAAGGAGTTCAAAATCTAATGAAGGATACTGAGCAACTAACCTGATGAAGTTTCAGCTAAGCTTCAGCTGTACATTCCGAGAAAAACAGCATTCTAAGATCTCAATTTCAAATCAAAAGTTACTGAATCATGTTTTGAATTGTTTTGAACTGCAGCTATACGCGACGTTGCGCACTGATCCGACGAATTACAACAACCGCGCGCGCGTGTGTGTCGTTCCAATACTTGTGCGCGCTGCGCTGAATAACAAAACGAACTACTAATTTAAATTTTCCTACAGTGCTTCTTAAGAATCACCTTTGGAAATGCCTTCTTTCATTGATTACTTCAAAATGACAGCTTCCCAGAAAGAATAATTTCACAGGGAGTTTAATTCCCTTACTATCTTTCAACCAAGTTTGTTTTTCAACAATAATTATGCCAGTTACTTTTCGGATGGCTGCAAATGATGAACTATAGCTTTAAAGGGACACGTGTGGCCTGGAAAGTGCCCAATTGGGCTACGAAATGCGTTTTGAACAAAATGATGTTATAAGATGGAATCTTAGCGAAAGAGTTAAGATCAATATTTAAAAGTTTAGGTTAAAAAGCCTCAATGCGTGAGAGCCAAAATGAGACCTCACTCATTTTAATCAGTTGTTTACATTTTCAGAGAAAACATAGGTCAAACAACAACAACAACGCTACATTTTTCCATTATTTGATGCAAGAATGTGTTGGTATCGTTGATATACTTTTTAAGATCAATATTTAAGTTTAGGTTAAAAAGCCCCAATGAGAGCCAAAATCAGTCCGAGACCATTTTGAAACCTCTTTGAGACAGATCAATTTTCTCATTAAATGTTTATTTTAAGGTCTATGGTAACATTCAAACAATCCAACTCTTTATATTCAAAGTCAAGGCTGCTGAAAGTCTTTCAACATTCATGTCTGATGTGACTTTAAGGTATAGTCCATCATTTGTAATTTGTGCATTTTGTTCATTTGAAGCAACAAAGTGTTCAAGATCTAAAGAAGGGGCCTGAACAACTAACCTGAAGAAGTTTCAGCTCAGCTTTAGCTGTATTTTTCGAGAAAAACAGTATTCTAGGATCTCGATTTCAAATCAAAAGTCGCTGAATCATGTTTTGAATTGGGCCTGAACTCATCGTCTGATACACGTTCTCACTGAGCCGATTGCAGCTGCGCGATGTCGCGCACTGATCCGACGAATTATAGCGACCGCGCGCGTGTGCGTCGTTCTAATGCTTGCGCGCGCTTCGCCGAGTAACAAAACGAACTACTAATTTGAATTTCCTACGGTGCGTCTTAAGAAGCACCGTTGGAAAGGCCTTTCTTTTGTTGATTCCTCCAAAATGACAGCTTGCCAGAAAGAATAATTTCACAGGGAGTTTAGTCCCCTTACTATCTTTCAACCAAGTATGTTTTTCAACAATAATTACGCCAGTTACTTTTTGGATAGCTGCAAATGATGGACTCTGATACAATGCTGTAACATGCACTATAGCTTTCGTAGATATTTAGGCCGTGCATTTATTTGTCGCACCAAGAATCATGCAAATAGCTTTTTTTTTTCCTCCTGCAACATCTTTGTGGATTTCATTCCTTGAAGCAGTGTGGTTTTGAATTAAATTCAACACATTATTTTTTCAGTTGTATTTCTTCAAGATTGGGCTCAAGTGTGTTCCCCAGAGTCTTAGATTGTTCTGTAGATTTCCTGTTTCTTTTTAGTTGATTGGCTTAAAAAGTTTTGCAATGGACGAATTTTCTAAAAAAAGAGAGAGAGAGAGATTTACCAGATTATAGGCCTATGGACCTTCATGACCTTAGCCCAAATATGGCACCGCCCATACCTACAGGATATTCTTTTTATGCTGTGAGGAAAAGATGACATTGGTTGAATAAGATTTGTTTTTTCTTTCCTTCTTTCTTCTTGAATGCTACAGGATTCAACAAAAGAACTGCAGATCCTCACTCTGTCTGGTGTTTTTCAATCCAGTTGAGATCAGAAGGAGACAAGAGCCATGGCAACCAGAGGCAGAGCTAAACCAATCTTGATCTTGGCATTTCAACTGCTTCTCATTGGTGGCTTAGTCCCGTCTGTTTGCATGGAGTGGAGTGGAAGAGGAACGCTTGCCGACTACGAAGTGGCATCCTTTGACAATCCCATCGAGAAAACAGTAACGGTGACAACTCAGCTGGATCATTTTGCTGTACAACCAGAAACGGGAGACGTGTACGTCGGCGCAGTGAATTACCTGTATAAACTGAACAAGGAGTTGAAACAGGTCACTAACGTTAGCACATGCTCGGAAGACACTTGCTTGAGTTACAATAAGGTTCTGGCGTTGCATGCTGGTATGCTTATCACTTGTGGCACTGAGCGGCCCAATTCAGATCAGTGCCAGTTGAGAAGTCAGGATGATCTAGAAGGTGATGGAAGCAGGAGAGGCCGAGTTGTAGCATTTGGTACAAAATCAACAGCAAGTATTATTGCACCTGTGGGTATGAACCCAAGCACTCCAAGACTGTATATCGCAAATACTTATTCTACTGAGGGAGACTATCAGGACATTCAACCTATTGCAAGACGACTGGTTTCAAGTGGCGGAGGGTTCATGTTTGCCGATTCTGGGACAGATGCAGTTCAATTCACAAGTGGCTATACAGACGGTAGCAATCCATTTCCCATCAGTTATGTCAGTGTGTTTAATTGGAAAGGGTTCACCTACTTTGCCACTTTCCAAAAGGAAGATTTGCCACCATTAAGTGCTCACATTTCAAAACTAACTCGCCTCTGCCACAATACTGACAATGTTCGCTCTTACACAGAGATTCTCATTGAGTGTAGAGGACCCAGTGGACTGTTCAGTTTGATACAGGCTGCTCATGTTGGACCAGCAGGCCCACATTTGGAGGAGTCATTAGCATTGGATGACAATGATCAGGTGTTATATGCTGTGTTTGCAAGGGACAAACAAGCTGGAACCAGTAATAATCCAGTTCCCGCGGCTGACTCTGCACTGTGTGTTTACAAGATGAGAGACATTGAAGCTGCATTCAGCGAGGCTGTCCGGGGATGTATTCAGGATAATGATGATAACTATGAAATAGGCATATTCACGGGAACAGTCTGTGGTAACCAGGTACATTATTTAATTGAGTAATGAAAGGTTTGCGGAAACACCATGTGCGAATAATTTCTCAACTAAGAGATGGTTCTGAAAAGAACCAGAGGTATAAACTCGACGTTCCGGTCAGTATGCTCTGACCATCTTCAGGAGAGTCAGACGGTCAGAGCATACTGACTGGAACGTCGAGTTTATACCTCTGGTTCTTTTCAGAACCATTCTCTTAGTTGAGAAATTATTCGTATGTGGTGTTTCCGCAAACCTTCCATTATTTAGTACATGTATCTCCACCATGCAAAGCCTCAAATCTTACTTATTTAATTGAGGTTTACTGCAGTATTAGTTATCTCGCAAGCGCGAGTGGAACTCGGAATGATGTAGTGCACCTTCCAGTGGTATGTGGGGGATGAGATGCACTACATTTTCTGTGTTCGACAAGCGCGAGTGGGATATCGAATTTATCTTCAAGCAAACTTGACACACAGTAGAGGGGAACATGCACGCAGTACACAAACTTTTCAGCGGTAATTGTATTACAATTACATGAAGAAGGAACGGAGTGCTCATATTAGAATAGCGCAATACCCAGTGTGCGATACAGACCCTGCCATGAGCTACATGTATAATATCACACTGTTGTTGCCATGGATCAACCCATCAGGATCAAGGAGTCAAGTTTGAAGATAACAATTCATACATAATTTCATTTTGATATTGGAAAAGCTTATTTCTAAATACATGAGTCTAGTGTACATACTTGAACTAAGGCCCAAAAAAAAGTCTCTAGTTTCTGGTATGCGTGCGCATTGCCGTAGCCATGCGCGTCGGCAAAATGAAAAAGTTTTTTTTCAATGAAAGCTGATGTCTCAAAACCGCCAAACTCACTGGTTTGACTGGAATCCTGCTGCTGCACAATTTTAACGTGTTTTTAGATGAGGTTATGATCGAGAATAAGCTCTATGTGGCCGCACTGGTCTCCCATAATATTTGCACTAAGTTTAGTCGAGTACCATTTGCAGTCATCAGCCGACATTTGAAGCAAAAAAAAACAGGTAAAAAAAAAAAAGGCTTGTCGCCGCACCACTTTTTGGGGCAAGCTCCATACCAGAAACCGGAGACTTTTTTTTTGGCCTAAGCAAACCAAGCTTAAATTGTCTTGACTGAGTGCACAAATCTGGGTGAATGTAAGAAAATATGGAAAGGTCATTCAGTTCTGTTTATTTTCTAGCCAAGTGTCGATCCCGAGTCGTTTCTCTGCAATACTGGGAACCATTACCGATATGCCACTGGGATAACTCCAGTTGTTGGCACATCAGTCGTACATCTGCCAGGCCATTTAGCATCGTCCATTATCACCAGCACTGAATACAACCACACCATGGCTTTCATCGGAACAACAGAAGGGCAACTCTTGAAGGTAATAAAAGTGTCAACGATGATCTCATTTGTTGACAACAACATGAACAAGGTGTAAATTCTAACCCTGAAGATGGCCTTGTTTGTAACAAACGTTTTCTAGCCATAAACCAGTCAGGTTGGGAATGGTGATGATTGAAAGACAAATCGATCTCTTCCTACATTTAAGAATAAAAAAACTGAAATATCCCCAAGTAACATTGTGATGTGCCTACATGTATGAGTAAAACCTGGACATATTTTGCTGTCATTTGGTAAATTGTGGCTTATTTGAAAATTCACTTATGTTATTGACTACACCTTTGACAGTCATTGCACTCAATGATACCATTTGTATCAGTTCCTGTTTCATTCATATTGATATTTATGTGAATATATTCCAAATATATTGGCATTACGGAAAAGGATTGTCTTTTTCCACAGGTGCACATTGAGAGTAGTACCCTTGCCCGACTCTACGAGAGTGTAACACTTGATGGAGAACCAGTTATGAAAGATACAATGCTGAATGAGACTAAGGAAGAGGTGTTTGTACTCACAGAACAACAGGTATGTGCTAATCAAGGGATATGCATTGAGCATATTACATGCATTTCGAAGGGGTGGGGGTCTACATGTACATGGACCATCAATTTCAATCATCCTTAGTAATGAAGAACATGTATTTGTGTGTTACCTCCCGAGTGAAAGTTGGAAAAAAAATCACTCAGTGCATGGGACTCTGACCGAATCAATCCCGCATGCTCGGTGGTCGAGTGGTAAGACGTCTGCGCTAGAAAGCAGGAGGTCGTGGGTTCGAGTCCCACCCGAGTGTTTTTTCCAACTTACACTCAGGAGGTAACACACTCAGTGGATTGCTTTTGGTAATCCTAAGAAGCCTTTCGCAATTGGGGCCAAAAATTTAAAGGTCAAATTGACAGTGGCTAAAACAATAGAAATCTTGTTTAGTATAAAACAGTGTTGTAGTACTCGTACTTGGTACTTCTACTCTGTACCCCTACTCGTGTACTACTCAGTACTTTTTAACACTACTCGTACTCGTACTCAAATGTCAGAGTACTCGTACTCTTAGTGACGGTACTTGTGCTCAGGCAGCAAAGTACTGGTACTCGACTTGTCGAAATTGTACTCGATCATCAAAGTACTCATACTCGAATAGCAGTACTCGAAAACAAAAATGGTTTTGCTTGACTTACCATGGCCTTATTTTATCGATACTTTCAGTTTAAAATAGTTGATTAACTTGCAGAGAAATGAAAGTTTTCTGATTTTCCTCTGTGCACGTCGGGACAAACACATTTAACAGCTAGCTGTGAGTGGATCTGTATATCGGTCTGACTGGGCCTGGGCCAATTACGCACAATTAACCATTTGCTGTGTGGTCGTATTCGGAAATAGAAGTACTCGTACTCGGCATACAAACACTCTACTCATACTCGGCAGTACAAATACTCATACTCATACTCGGAAGTACCAGTACTCGTACTCAGAGACCTGTACTTGTACTCGGAAGTACCAGTACATGAAGTACTCATACTCGTACATGTACTCGGTAACCTACATGTAAGTACTCTGCAGTACTCGATACTCAGAAAAAAAGGACTAAACTACATGTAAACACTGGTATGAATTTGAAATGTGATCTTTTATTTCATGCACAGCTGTGTTTTTTTGGGTTTTTTTAAATTCAGCTTGTTTGTACAGGATCTCTTCACATTCACTCACTCTTTTAAATCACATACAATGACTTCCCAAAAGAAAAGCAAAAAAATAAATACACTATATTTATTCTGAGATCATAGGGATTAATTCCTTTTTGACATCTGCCACCCTTTGAGTAAAGGTTTGTTGTGGGCACAAACAGACGCGAGCAGATGGTTCCCGGGCCGTACATTATCAATACTGATCATTAGGCGTGAACCAACCTATCCCACGAGAACAGAAGTATTGTCGTGCAGCCTTTTATTTCGAAATTTTAAAGTAATAATTCAATAACTAAACATAGGCCGATTTTGTTTTGGTCAACGTTTCATTCAAAAGTGAATAACGTTTGTACTGCTAGACAACTAGCAATTTAGAAAAGGAATCAATTTTCCGGGATGAACCTTGAAAAAAGCATGGGGAAAGATCTTTAGATCATTAGGTTTCGGTCATAGAGAGCTTTTCACACCAAATTTAAGAAGAGCAAATCTTTATCTATTTCAGAAAATTTTAATGTGTGTTTCCTTTTTTTTGCTGCCTCTAGCTGATCAGGATGCGTGTTGAGAATTGTGGTCGGTACACAACCTGTGAGGCGTGTATTGGGACTGATGCAGGGAATGATGGAGACCCATACTGTGGATGGTGCACTCTGGAAAGAAAGTTAGTCACTGGCGATGTTTCTCTTAGTTATTTTCAGTACATGTATGTCGCCTCATTAGGCCAAAAAAAAAAAGTCTCCGGTTTCTGGTATGGAGCTTGCCCAAAAAGTGGTGCGGCGACGCGGCTTTTTTTTTTTTTTACCTGATTTTTTTGCTTCAAAATAATGATAATGTCGGCTGATGACTGCAAATAAACTTAGTGCAAATATATGGGAATCCAGAGAGGCCACATAAAGCTTATTCTCGACCATAACCCACTCTAAAAACACGTTAAAATTGTGCAGCAGCAGAATTCCAGTCAAACCAGTGAGTTTGGCGGTTTTGAGACATCATCTTTCATTGAAAAAAAAACTTTTTCATTTTGCCGACGCGCATGGCTACGGCGACGCGCGCGCATATGCCAGAAACCGGAGATCTTTTTTTTTTGGCCTTACAGGGCGTGTCCAAAACCAGATGTAAATGCAAATTATAAAAAATCTAACACACATTTTTGAATAAGTTAAGATCATGTGAAACACCAATGTGTCCTCTTTCCCATGATACCTTGATTGTCACGTATGTTTGTGCCTTCCACTTAGTTTGTCTCATTGTGCCTAGGTATCCCACTCGACACCATCAGCCTTTGTTCCCTTAATAAGGCTTAAATGCCGCATGACATAATCAGTCTTTTCTTACTCTAATTCTTGTTTCAATAGGTCTATTGATGCTCCGTATTCAAATGATGTAGTAGTCTTTTCGCAAACAGTGATTTTCGTAGATTAAGATGTTTTTTTTTGTTTTCCTTAAAAATCTGAGTTTTTAGGAATTTTTTTTTTATTCACAATTATTGATTTGCTCTTCATCAGTATAATTCACGGTCAATTTGCATGGCAAAAAGAAAGCAACGAATATTCCTTTTAAAGAAATGTAGCCCAGTTGATTATATGGTGAGTTTTATTGGAAACTTATTTTGAGAATATCTTTTCGGGGTATAACTTTGGGAAAACTCACATAATGGAAATTTTGGACATTTTATGCCACCGTAGCAGCAGAATTTGTTGGTAAAATGTCGCCAACATGTGCAGACTAGTAAATGTCTCACACTGCGCATGTGCAGCGAGTAACCCCCAAGTGACTACACCGGCAATAGGCTATGAACATACGTGTTGTGTGTCTGTGGCCACGGATGACTGAGCATTCGTTGTTAATCTGTCACTTGGGTCAAAACCTGTGAGCCAAGTTTTACAATGGCTAAGATTGCTGGCTGGTTTGATATGCGACGTCGTGCAGAGCTTTGTGTGGAAAGGGGTGGTGGCCATGTTGAAGGCATTGGGCCATGATGAGGATGGGTTAATCACCGTGTTTAAACTGATAAATTGTTTTATGGAAAGGATGTCTTCTTTCTTTAAATTAAGAAGTTCCACATGCCCAGGTTACCAGTTACGTTTTTGAACAAACTTGGCCCAGTACAGGCTTTGACCCTTGACAGAATAACAAGGAATGCACAGACACACAATCAATGTATCATTGGAAAGAGGACACATTGGTGTTTCGCATGATCTTTAACTTATTTGAAAATATTCATAAGATTTTTTATAATTAACATTTACATATGGGTTTCCTCTTTTATGATACACCCTGTATTAGTCAGTCAACATTCAAGATCTGTTAATGAATTGTATGAATGCCACTCTCATGTGTAGGGGCCGTCCATAAAGTAGGCACACAATAAGGGGGAGGGGCATTGTTAACCTTGTGCACAGCATGCGTACACGGGGGGAAGGGGGTCCAAGCAAATGCGTATCTATGAAAAGTGATAATTTGCTTTTAATAAATTGTCATAAAATCAATGTACTTTCTCATATATACTTACCTTCCAGGACAAGCTTTTATTCATAAAAAAAATCATTCATAAATACCTCAGACAGTTTAGCTATTCCTGTTGGTCGAGAGCCCGTCACGTGGCCGGTCTTAAACGGATGATAAAGACATGGCTAGCTGGTCTTAAACACTTTTCCAGTGTCACAATAAAATGTGGACTCCTAAAAATCCAGTGCCTCTTACCGTTTCATTGGTTGAACATTCACAATCCTCACGTAGGCATGCGCAACACTACAAACGAGACAGAATTTTATAGTTCTAAATTCAAAACGCGTCAATCTCCATAAAAGGGTTGTTTACATCTTACTCGCCAGCTGAACACTCCATTATTTTGCTAGAGGGATGTTTCAAAAAGCATGAAGTGAACTTGTTGAACAAAATCGGGATTTTTTGAACGAATTATTTGATATTTTTTTACGGATAAGGTATTTATGAATGGGAATAAATATGTGCTCGGTCGGTATTTATCACTCTGTTTAATACCGCTTAGAGTCTGGGTGCTGATAATTACCCTCGCCTCCAGCTCGGGTAATTATCAGCACCCAGACTCTAAGCGGTATTAAACGAGTGATAAAAACCTCCGGAGCACACATTTATTCCCTTATTATAACACATGAACTTCAGGCCCCACCATTTAGATTTATCTTCCCTGTGCCACCACCAGCCAGTGCGTTTAGAGGTCATTAAACTTCAGAGAACGCGACATGATAAAAAGGCGATTGTTATACAGGCCCTTCTTTAGTTTTGGTCAAGTACATGTACAGTCAAGAGTTTTTTTATCATTCAAAACAACTTCTGCAACCTACAGCTGACTTCCCTTAAATCTAATAACAATATTTTTGAAATTGTCTTTCGGTAGAAAATTTTCGTACGTATTTTACAGTTCATGCAGTGCGAATCTACGCGGTTTTGCGCATTTGTGATGCATTGCGGTAAACATAAATTAACACAAATGAAAAATTAATGGCATCTGGTTAGCTGGATTAAATAATTGCACATTTTTTTCATACATAGTGCTAATTAATTATGCGTATCGTATCAAGACTGATTGTTCCTTTACACATTGTGGTGTTCATTGTCAGAAAAAGGACACAAACATCGTTTGTTGGGGTTTAAATTCTCTTTGGCCATTCAAAACTGAACAAGAGCTTGGACTTGTTTTTTTCCAATGACAATCAGTACAATGGAAGGGGAAGTAGAAACTCAGAATTCTTTTTGAATTTCCTGTTTCTGGTTTTGGTGCAGAAAACAGGAACTAAACCAGAAAAAACACCATTGAAACAATAAGATAATATCTGCTTTCTCATGCAAACTGCTTTGTGTTTGATGGCAATTATAAAACAAGCTCAACTTATTTCCATCAGCAATATGTGGCCAGTATGATTTGAAAACGCTAACTCGGGGAGGATTAGACACCAGTGGTATGGCAGATACAGGCATGCAACTTTTCCTCTGATCCGCTGATTTCCGCGTTTTTTTAATTTCTCGTGAAAGCCATTACAAACTGAAAAACACTGTACAAAGTCTTGTGTGGTTTGAATTTTCCTCTTTTTTTCTAAATTCCCAGTTGCATGCCTGCAGGTAGCAGGCCTCGACATTAATCGAGGCCACCAAAGCCATTGGCCGCTTGCCCTCCCAGGATTGCCGCAGTCCTCTTAAAAGATCACACTGTCCACATTCAAGTTGGCCAGCATGCCCTTTTTATTTAATAACAGATAATAATAATAACGGAGTCTTATATAGCGCACGTATCTACCAAAAATTAGGTACTCAAGGCGCTGGAAATTATGTCTATTATTAAAGAAAGGTAAATAAAGCATATGAGAAATATGAGACCCATTATGTAGCACCTTATAAGGGTTGACAAGGTGCTGCGGCGCATATTGCAGCCACTGCCAGAAACACCGGGGCAAACCCCTTCTCTTGTCACTGGGTTCTTTAACGTGCATTACACAACACATGTGACCTACGGCTTTACGTCCCACCTGAAGGACGAAGCAATAATGGTAAAGTGCCTTGCTTAAGAGCACAAGCACCATGTTCCCACGGTCAGGATTCGAACCCATGTACCACGGCACACAAATCGAACACCGTAACCATTGGACCACAGCACCCCACACTATGACAATGTACGTACCAATAAGAAGTGGCCCAGCCCTTTTTTGTTAATGTCGAGGCCTGAGATAGGTGATGGGATTGTGCCTTTAACATGTTTAATGATACAGGCATGGCATTTGGCACACAGTCAGAGTATGTCATGAGAAAGATATTTGGCTATAGGGCCATCGCAGATTTGTCCTTTGAAAAAATATAGGTAGAATAACAAGCAATGGCAGCCGTATAAATTTTGTTTAAAGTTGTTTGTTATTCTGCCTATATTTTTTCAAAGGACAAATCTGCGATGGCCCTATAACCAAATATCTTGGTTAAAGACATATTCTGTGTGCCAAATGCCATGCTTGTATCATCAAAGACACAATGCCCACAAATATTTACCCTATCTGCACACTACAGATGATGCTGTCCCTTGGGGATAATCTTCAAAAACTTTTTTTCCGGAAGTTGCAAGTTTGTTGATATTCCTTAGATCAACAGTACACTATTGATCAGGCGCGGATCCAGGGGTGGGCCGCGGGGGCACGTGCCCCCTGTCAAATTAAGTCCACAAAAAAATTAAATGAATAAAACAGTGAGGAAAAGAGGGTGAGGTGAGAGAAATGGAGGGAAGGAGGAGGGCAACCTTCTAGCAAAAATACTGGTGCCGATATTAAACATCAGCGGCCTGCAAACATTGTGTACTGGCCGTATGACACAGGGAACTCGAGAAGCTTCGAAATAAACCGCGATCCCGGCCACCGTACGTACTCCATACGCAGCCTCGACTCCAGGGGTGCGTGCTCGTTCCTTACACTAACCCCTGGCTGTGATGATGACGTAAATGATGCTGAATGGCTATTCACAGCGTACTGCGCGGGCATTTCGAAGATTGCACGCCGGGCGCGCCCATAATGCGCTCGCGCTCGCGTGCTTAGCTTTGCACGTAACGTCACGTACGAAAAAACAATTATGATTCAAAAGTCGCGATGCCTGTACGATTTGGATTATGTCAGCCGCGTTTTTCGCTAAAATAACCCCTGTATCTGTGGTTGTAAAGGCACGAAAGGGGTACATACATTTAATACAAATCTTTGCTAATTAACACAATGTCCAAACGTTGTGTTTGCGAGGATTGATTTTTCAAAATCACAACTTTTAACATTTTAAAGATGGCGTCGGCACGTAAAACGGATACACTGCAGCCCTAATTATAATATACCGTATTTTGGTATATTTAAATTACACAATTCCAGGGGTTACAATCGTGCAAGGCATGATGGGAAACAACATGGCGCTGCAAGATCGTACCCACGGGGCACGAGGTTGCTCCATACGTAACCCTGCATAGTATATCGATTTATGAAATGCGATTCATATGAGCGTGCGTACCGGTACGAAAAACACGCACGTTTAGCGCGATGAGCGCAACATACACGCTGTACGCTGCTCTTTGTACCACACTATTAGTCAAGTGTACGGTTTTCGTACGAACACTTTGCCAGCATTTCTTCGGCGCTTTTAAGGAGTCCAAAACATGTCCGTTTCCGTAGAAAATTTCCATTGAAAATCTTATCTTATTGATAAACTGAAAATTTGAACTTGATACAAAACATTGGAAAGCATCATGCAAAAGTTTACAAACTAAGTCTATACAATTCCCTTTCAAAAATAAAATGCACGAAAACAATTATGCAGACGAAAATGGTTATCAAGTGAAAAACAGAAGAAACTTAAAAGGCTTGTTAAAGCAAGAGTATATATTAAACCTATGAAAAAAATCCTTATTTAACTTAAAACATTATGCTCAAATAACTCAGGGAAAGAGGGGCCAGGAATCGCCGCAGATTGCACCACAGAGCATCTAATTATCAAAAAAATTCCCGGGGCCCTTAAGTGGGCCCCGGACCCCACGCCGAAAGACATTCGCGCTCCGCATTATTAGTCCTCGGGGCAGATCTCCCTAGCCCTACGCATCCTTAAAACAGTTTACAAACTAAGCCTATCCAATTCCTTTTCAAAAATAAAATGCAAGAAGCTGATTATGCAGTTATCAAGTGAAGAACAGAAGGGACTTAACTAGGCTTGTATAAGAAATACATGAGTACAATTTTAAACTAATGAACAAAACATTAAAAAAACACATGGTGTTACCGCAAACCGAAGCGATAATGGAAAAAAAATTCTAATAATCTTCACAACATTTTGCTGAAATTGGGCCAGGAATCGCTTCAGATTGCACCACAAAGCATCTATAGAATCAAAATTTTCCCGGCGCCCTTCAGTGGGCCCCGAACCCCACGCCGTAAGACACTGCTCCGCGTTCGCATTAGTCCTTGGAGCAAATGCCCCAGCGCATCGCCCATTCCAACAGTTTTCTAAGTCAATACAATTCCTTTTTTTAGTACAATGCTTGAAATTATGCAGACGAAAATACATGGTCTGCAACTTTGAAGTACACAGTAGCTTAAAATTTGTAAAAACAAGAGTATATTTAAAAAATAAATCCTTATAAGCTTAACAACTTTTGCTTAAATAATTCAGGAGGAAAGGGGCCAGGAATCGCCTGAGGGCAGCATGCACCACAGAGCATCTATGATACAAAATTTCCTGGGGCCCTTAAGCGGGCCCCGGACCCCACGCCATAAGGGCTTCGCGCTGCGCGCTCGCTACATTAGTCCTCAGAGCAAATACTCTAAAGGTGTGCCCCCCGTCAAAAGAAATCCTGGATCCGCGCCTGTTGATGTACTGGAAATATTTCAAATTCTGAAATAAAAAGTAACACACTTATTTTGCTTTTATCCCATTCCATCAAGGTGCACTCGATACCATGACTGTCCACTGCAGGATGTGTCGACTCGTTGGTTGGCCTACAACGATGCCCAGTGCATTGAAATCAGTCAAGTCATTCCCCATAACAGCCTGCCAATCACGCTGACTGATCAGCAGGTACAGTCACCGAATCTATTGAGGAATTTACATGTTCTAATTTCCCCAACTCAAGTGGAACACTTAGGCCAATAAAAAAACATCTCGCTTTTCTGGTCTGCGCGCGCGTCACCGTAGGCATGTGCGTCAGCAAAATTAAGAAGTGTTGTTTTTTTTGTCAGTGTAAAATGATGTCTCAAAACTACCAGACGCTGCACAATTTTAATGTGTTTTTAGATCGAGTATAAGCTTTATGTGGCCTCTCTGGGCTCCCATATATGTTGCACTAAATTTAGTCGGGCACAATTTGCAAACGATGTTGTAAGTTTGTATGCGCCCAAAATCACGCAAGAAATATAATAGGTATTGACCCCTAAAACCCCCTTCTCCATCCTCGCCTGAGATCACATTCAAACCTGCTCCATAATTCCTGTTTCTGACTAATAGTTGCGTCTCTTCGCTCTGTACTCATATATGTAGATAATGTTGACAGTGCAGCAGTTACCAGCTCTGCTTGATAGCTGGCAGTATGAGTGTCGGTTTGAAGAACATTTCACGAGCCAGGCAACCAACTACAATGGAGATAGCTTCAATTGCATGACACCACCAGCAAGCAACATACCTGCAATACCAAGTGGAGGTAAGTTAAACAAAAGAAATTCAATGTCAAACTGTGCAGCTGTAAACTTACTCTTATTGTTGACTTCACAATATACCCCTTCACAATATGTGGTGCGATCAAGCTAAATGAGTTGTTTGTCGACAGATTTGAAAAGAGCACAATCTCAGCATTACTGCTGTGAAAGCCACATGCTGATACCATTTTTAGTTCAAAAATTATGGAAGTTGGAACACCAAGAGATGTGATGAAGTGGCCCTATTTTGGCCTGTATCTCCAAATGAAAATTCCCGACAAACAACTCATGTAGCTTGATCGCATCACATATGCTCATATTCAGACCCTGTATTGGATTTTATTTGCTTTCTTGGTCATTCAGAAGACCATGTGACAGTTACACTGAGCGTCATGTCTACAGAGACAAGTGTGGACTTTGTCGATATCGACTTCAGCTTCTACGAATGTGACACCCACAAAACGTAAGTATTTTATATGTTTGACATACAAGTTCCCCATGTGCAGGACAAGAAGTATGGGTTATCTGTTTCTTACAAAAAATTCAGATTTTGATGGATTTTCCATCGGGGAGATGAAATGTGTATTGTGTACATGTATCTCGGTGAAAAAAGACAACAAACCCTTGCAAGCCCTTTAGTTCATTGGTGAAGACATCTGCACGTTTAGGCAGGAGGTCCTGGGTTTGAGTCCCACCTTGTAAGCTTACAATCTTCTGATAAACTCTCTAAGATGTCAGTCACACATCCACGACTCGGCCAAGACTGTGAGATTTTGAAATATCTTGAAAATCATACCAAATAGGTAGCAAATGTGGAGCTAAATTCAAATTTCATATTCCAAGCTCTAGTCTGCGGACCATGACCAGAATATGCTGCAATGTTGTCCCGAATACAAAGACTGATATGACCTTGAACCGAATATTACGATTTCGGTATGACTTTGCTACAACTTGGATCCATTCATTTGTATTTTTTTTTTCACGACTGAGTCCCTATCTCGTTATGACATATCCGACAGAGTACCGACAGAGTACCGACACAACCAATTGAGAACCAACACACAAGATTGAGAACCAATGCCGAAACGACTCCGAAACGACAGAGGGATGACATCTTTAGAATTTCACGTCGTAATGGTCATATCAAAGTTGGTCAGATAAAAATTGGCTGACTATGTACGACCACTGCCGATCTCGTACAGACTTTTGTAAAATTGTTACAACTTCGTTACGACTTCGTTACGAAACAACCATTTGAGTACAGACAGAGAACAGACTCTGATCCATTTTGGATTTTTTTTTTTTTTGCCGACCATCATGATATGTTTGAACAGTTGAAACTAATCGTGGCTCCACTGCCGACCGTGCACGACCTGTAGGATGCCAAAACAACGCTCCAGAAGTCGTTCCGATGAAGTTCAGATGTCATTCTGAGCTTTACGATGTCATGGAGTCTTGCGTCTCAGCACGGTCTTATCGTGATCGGGAGGCTACATTGTGACAATGTGACAAGCGCCTTGTAGCAACGAGTACACGATATAGTGCAAAACTGTATATTAAAAAAATATTCTACTATCAAATTTTACTATCAAGTAACTATCGAATTCATTTCACTTGTAATTTTTTTGGTTTCTTTTTCAGCTGTGTGTCCTGTGTTGGAAGCGAGTGGGCCTGTAATTGGTGTGTGTTTGAGAACAAATGTACTCATGACAACTCTACGTGCTCTAAAATGAAAGAAATCTTCGTAACAGGACAATATGTAAGTCCAGTTTATTGTTAAATGGAATGAAAATCTGGCAATACTGTTTTTGCTAGATCTACAAAAGTGCCCGATAGGCCAAAAAAAAAAAGTCTCTGGTTTCTGGTATGCGCGCGCGTCGCCATAGCCATGCGCGTCGGCAAAATGCAAAAGTTTTTTTTTTCAATGAAAGATGATGTCTCAAAACCGCCAAACTCACTGGTTTGACTGGAATCCTGCTGCTGCACAATTTTAACGTGTTTTTAGATTGGGTTATGGTCCAGAATAAGCTTTATGTGGCCTCTCTGGACTCCCATATATATTTGCACTAAGTTTAGTCGGGCACCATTCATGCCATTTGCAGTCATCAGCTGACATTTGAAGCAAAAAAATCAGGTAAAAAAAAAAAAAAGCCGCGTCGCCGCACCACTTTTTGGGCAAGCTTCATACCAGAAACCGGAGACTTTTTTTTTGGCCATAGGTCTGGGAACATGCAAAGTACATGTATATAAAAAGGATTTCAAGCCTTGATATGATATCATCAATAAGCATTGGTATATTTTTCATTTTGTGGGAATGCAACTAAGGATTCTCAAAAAGCTCTCAATGCACTGTACCTTGTAAGTCTGAAGCCACTATGCAAGATGCAGTCATCATGGTGTACATTTCTATTTTCTTCCTTTTATCACATGGGCTATTTTCAGAATTTGAACGTAGTAAAAAGACAAGCTTTAGCTACTGTAAACAAGCATAATGATAAAGACTTCGTTAAAAATGCAATTTCAAGAATCGTCGTCACAATTGTCTTCAACCTGCATCACTAGCGTTAAAACCTCAGTTGAAAAGTTAAAAATATTCAACAAAGTCCTTTTCAAGGCCCGTCTTTAAAACAAAATTGGATTTAATCAGTCCTTCTGTTTTGAGGCGTGCGATCACACCCCCACGCCATCACACGCCTAAATGCTTCCTGAGAAGTGCGAATAATCGCACGCCTGAATCCCTCAGTACCGCACACCTCGGCATACATTTACAGCATAATTATACTTCATAATTTGTGAAAAATAAAGTGAAGAGAAAATGGCTTTATTGTAAACCAAGATGAATATTATGAAATAATATCCCAGCTTGGACCATAGAATCACACACCTAGAAAAATAAATCGCCTAGAAAATCACAGGCATAGAAAAATCACACACCCAAAACAATCCAGGTGTGCCCTTTTCCACACACCTGTGATTTTCAAACCAGAAGGACTGATTTAATAAATCATATTGTTTGCCTAACCAGGGTTGTTAATAAAGATATTGTGTACTACAGTTGTTGAAAGTTGTTGAAACAAGTATTCTATGTCATTTTGTACTTCCAAACAGTAAGAATACACAATAAATTATAAATTGCTTTTTTGGACGAAACAGGTTTTAGGGTCATTGCGTTTAAATGGTTATATTTTTCGAACGGGTTGAGCAATTTCAGTAATTTTTTAATCTAAAAATGAAATTGACTTTCCAGTCATTATTATTTTTGATGCTACACATTTTGTTTTAAATAAATATATAATTTTGGGGTTTGGGTTCCGCTTTTTTTGACTCGCCCTGTAGGTCACAGGTTACCTACTCCCATAATCCCCCAACCCTAATCCCAGTGTAAGGTTCTGTAATCCACCCCCTTTGCCAGACATGTATTTGCTTTTAACTTCGCCAGAGTCGAGGAACTGCAATGCAGGGACCTGTCTCATGCCCTCAGCTCCAACCCCAACCTGGTGAAGTGCTGATCCCTAATGTCATCCAAAGGGAGATTAATGTCACTGTTGACAACCTACCAGATGCATCAGAGGTTAGTACAACTCGGCCAAAAAAAGGAAACCGTTAGCTCGGTGGTCGAGTGGTAAGACATCTACACTAGAAAGCAGGAGGTCGTGGGTTCGAGTCCCACCCGAGTGATTTTTTCCCAACTTGCACTCGGGAGGTAACACACTGAGTATACAGTGTTTATACATCGGTGAAGGGCAAAACCTAATTTGAAACTTAATTGTGTTTACGGTAAGGCAAATGCCAAGACACTTGGGACCAATTTCATGCCGAAACCAGCGAAGTTCTGAGGAAAGTTGTGCTTACTATCGGCCCATGGATGGGACGCTGCTGTTGTGCGTATTGCGGAAAGTACGCTCAACTAATTTGGTCTGACTGTGCACAAAGGCATGGCATCTTTGCATGAGCATCACGATACTTGGTCTGCACCAACTCCCCTGTTTTGTGCATTTAGTGGATGGCAGAAAAGATTTTGCTTACACTGAACTCGTGCACATGGAGATTCAATTGTTGTATCACTACTTTTTTAGCAAATTGTGCACCTTCTTAAAGTTGGCATGCTATTTGCCTTACTTACTGCTTATAGTTTTTGTGAAATAAATAAAAGCTGCATGAACAGAAAGCCCAGTGCTTAGAAGCGCCATGAAAATTGGCCCTGTAAAAAACTACAGAGATGAAACTTTTCCGATTTTAATCGGAAATCCGATTTTTTGAAGTTTCCAACGAAATTTCCGATTTTCTTACAATGTGTCCCACAAAATTTGATTTTGTAACGATTTTTTCACAAAATGTCATTTTATTTCAATCATAATTTCGAAGAAAAGTGCCCTTGTCTTTCGGACTGTTTCCTCGAGTAAGAAGTGAACTTATTAATTGATGACTCGGCTACTCCGTTACCATTTTGTTTTTTCATCGTAAAATTTTGTTTGAATCGAAAAATAAAGCAGGAGTTGGTGTCCGGAAATTGGGCATGAAGTGTATTGTTCATGCATGCACATATGTGTAACTGCGGCGCGGCCCGGATTTCAGACACATATTTTTGTTAGACCTATTTTTCCAATTTTTTTGCCATTTGCCAGTTTCATCTCTAAAACTTAAATACTGGCAGTGTGCAATTACTATCGAGAAAAGGATTTCAGCCTTGAAATCAAGCTCTTTATGGAATTATTCCTATAGACAAATCCGGCGGCAGCCATTTTCTGCGGTGGCGCAAAACTCGCGGGAGTCGCTTTCAGGTAGTACACACGCACTCCGGGCTCCTTCAATCAATAGGAATACCAAAATGTGCGTGGGCTTCGACTTAATAAACGCGTGCATCATGCGCGTAAGCGTGACACCACCGCAGTCTATTTCTGGTCGCCGGATTCCACTTTAGTAACGTCTTTTGGTTTTTTTGCAGACTACAAGCTTTCTGTGCAGCCTTGATGTAGAGGGATCTGCCCAGAGTGTAGCTGCAACTCGTGCTGATTCAACTGTGACCTGTGACTCGAAAGCAGTGAGGAAGTTTTGCTCTCTCTCATTTATCTTGAGCACAGTGTTGTAGCCAAGTTGTTTTCCATTTCGCAGTCAGTTACAGGAAAACGAAAGGCCTTATGAGGTCCACAACGGGCAAGTGGATCGAGTACAGACTTCACTTGTCCTCTGGTTCAAAATCGGACTTGATCCTGAGTCTTAGGAGACCTTTTTAAAGCTACAGTCCGTTAAAGCGAAATAATTCTTGTTGAAAAGCATACTTGGTTTAAAGATAGAAATGGCGCTAATCTCCCTGTGAAATTATTCTTTCTGGGAAGCTGCCATTTTGAAGAAATCAATGAAAGAAGGCCATTCCAACGATGCGCCTAAAAACGCATTCTTGGAAATTTCCGTTAGTAGTTTCTTTTTAATTTGGCAAAGCGCACGCAAGTGTTGACACGAAGCACACTATTGCTTTAATTCATCGGTTCAGTGCGCGACCTCGCGTAGCTGCAATCGGCTGAATGAGAATGTGTCCCGGATGCTGAATTCAGGCACAATTTGAAACATGACTGAGCAACATTTAACTTGATATCGAGATCCTAGAACATTGTTTTCTCGGAATAAACAGCATTCACTGAACTAAAACTTCGTCAGGTTGGTTGTTCAGCACCCTTCTTTAGATTTTGAGCACTTTGGTTGCTTCAAATGAACATAATGCACAAATATGATTGACTCTACTTTTAAGTACGAATAGTTACAGCTCTTGACATTTGAACACTAGCAGTATCTCTCTGAAAAAAACAACCAACCAGGTAGGAGACACACAAGCATGACTTGATTTGTGCTCTGGCTCAAACTCAGACTTGATCTCTTCTTTTTTTATAAGACCTAGCGCTCTAACAATTGTTAGTACATCTACCAATGCTGACATTGTTCATTTTTTTCTATTATTTGATACCACAGTACAATTACACAGCCACTGTGCAAGAATTGAATGCATCTCTGACACTGCAGTGGACAGACAAGGATAACGTCATGCACACCCTGGATGATACATATGATTTCACAGGTCAGAGTTCAGGAGGTCAACATGTGACCTGCCACTATCTTTGGTTTATACCTGATTCACGGTACATTCCCGATAATTCCTCCGTCCATGTCTTTGAACTACTACCCAGTCTGAAATACATGTACAGTGTAACTGATCTAAGCCAACATCAGTTAAATTAGGAAACACAAAGCTGTACAAAAGCTGTACAAAATGTTTAGGTCTCCATAGGTTCGTGCACAAACATGGATGCGCCCAGCAGGCATTACTTTGTACACGAAGTTAGCGCTCTAGTAGTTTAATATAGCTCTATGGGCTGGGCCCACAGTGTGAATATGAAATTGTTTTCTGCAAACAGCAGTGGGTTTTTATCTATGGGACTTGTTACACAATGTTGTTGTGTTTCTCAAATATAGTGACACTGTACAAGTGTGAGGTCTTGCGTCCTGACTGTAGCCGTTGCATTTCTGACGAAACTACCCGTGCTGAGCTGGGATGCATGTGGTGTGGGGATACCTGTGGGGTGACAGAGAGCACTGTGTGCATGACAGCTGACGAGAAGGTTACTCTGCAGGACAACCGGAACTGCCCTGATCCAGTACTAATGCAGGTAACGTCAGTGGACCAGTGGCCCCGCCCCCCTCTGGAGTTTTGACCAATCACAGCTGTGATTGGTGCCTGACATGCATGCATTTGCATATGACACCCATATTTGGAGCATGTATTGTTGCCCAGGTGCAGAGTGGGCTGGGTTCAGTGGACTGGTCAATTCTCAAGATCAACAGTTCTTGACAATATTAACAGACTTCGACTATAATGGGCTCTTTGCACCATCAGAAGAGGGCGAGTTTTTACCACTTTTAAGAGCCCCTTGGATGGGACACCGTGTGTGCGTACTGTACTGGTACTAAGCACCGTCGATATCACAATTTTCAGTAATCAATATGTCGGAAATCCAATATCGAGTATATTTGACACATCGATTATGAATGCGTTAAGTCAATTTAAAAAAAAAAAAAATCATGGAAATCTCGCACCTGTTATTAATTTTTGTGGTCCCCTGGTACATTTAACGAAGGACCATAGAGTGATTCCTTGTTTGCATGGGGATGGTATTAAGTCGTGGACACAAACACAATTTGCTGCTGACTTTTATTCCATTATACAGCAAACTTTAAACTCAAAGTAAAACCACAAGCGGGAGATTTATTTTGACGATAATCTAACGCATTTAAATGCTGATGTCGATATCATCCCTCAATTATCGAAATTTCAATATTTCGATATGATTAAAAAAAATGCTATTGGCGATATCGATATCAAACCAATATCGAATAATCGAGTAATATCGATACATCGACGGTACTTAACTGATACTGGGGCTTGTGTGTGTGTGTTTTTTTACGAAAGTGTACTTGTTGGGTACCGAGCACATAGGAAGCAGTTGTGCCCCTTGAAGGGAAAATACAACATTTGCAAACATTGAAGAAAAAAAACTACCGGTACCAAGTTTTTGCAAAATACCTTACTAGGATGTTGGTAAATGACAGTCTAGAGCAGCATCCTGTAAAATTATGACACCTGGTGTGAAGTCATTTTCAAGAAAATAGTATTTTTGTATCCATTCCAACAGTGGTCGGCCGACCACCGTTGGAAAAACCTAACTATTTTTCAACTACTGCTCAAACCCTACCCTTTTTTCAGTTCAAATTTTGTTTGCTATTGGTTACATGTTCATGAACGGGTGCAGGCCAGCTACATGTAGACTGGTTCCCATACCTTACAATTTTCAGGCATCTATAAATTGATCCATTTTATCTTTAGTGGAGTCAAGGAACCAGACTACTTGAACATTGTTGTTTTTCTTGGTTTTTCCAGCATTTTCGAACACAAAACTTCAAACATGTCAGTGTAACATCATTTGATCTATTATACTAACCCCTCAAATAGTCACATTTCTGAAAATTACAGCAAAAGCCAATGATGTACATTCCCTTTAAATCGGTTGGTGTCTAACATGTCTAACTATACTAAATTCTAAAGAAGATGGGATGAGAGGAGAACAATGCTAGAACTCCATAAATTCCATCTGCAAACTTATGTGTTTGGTTTTTGTTTTGTTTGTTTAATTGCAAATCAATGACGTAGTTTCATAACACTGGGTACTCTGTGTAATCCAAGATCTAGCAAGAACATTTTTGATGTTACATTGTTGACCTTAAAGCTATAGTCCATCATTTGTAATTTGTGCATTTTGTTCGTTTGAAGCAACAAAAGTGTTCAAAATCTAATGAAGGATACTGAAAAACTAACCCGATGGAGTTTCAGCTCAGCTTCAGCTCTATATTCCGAGTAAAACAGCATTCTAGGATCTCAATTTCAAATCAAAAGTTGCTAAATCATGCTTTGAATTGTTTTGAATTGCAGCTTTACGCGATGTCGCGCACTGATCCGACGAATTATAGCAACCGCGCGCGCCTGTGCGTCGTTCCAATGCTTGCGCGCACTGCGCCGAATAACAAAACGAACTACTAATTTAAATTTTCCTACGGTGCTTCTTAAGACGCACCGTTGGAAATGCCTTTTTTCGTTGATTTCTTCAAAATGAGAGCTTGCCAGAAAGAATAATTTCACAGGGAGTTTAGTCCCCTTACTATCTTTCAACCAAGTATGTTTTTCAACAATAATTAGGCCAGTTACTTTTTTGGATAGCTGCAAATGATGGACTCCGGCTTTAATTGGTGTATTTCTGTAGGTGTATCCGCTATTTGGACCTTTTGAAGGGAACACTCTACTGACAGTGTCAGGGACTGACATAGGACTGCGATACAGTGACGTCAGAGAAGTGACACTCGGAGGCGAACAATGCACTTTGGAGAATTACGCGTACAGTACTGGATACAGGTAATTAGTTTGTGAAATCAATCAGCGGAGGCTGATAGAGGATTTATGAAGGTTTCTAGCAAGAATCCCTGTTGCTAGAGTAACCCTAACCCCCTAGTACTTCCTCAGGACTACCCTGCTAAATCCAACAGAGTCCGACGGGACTTTCCTGCTCAATCCACTGTGCCTCATTTTCAGTTGTCTGCTGAATCCAACGGAGTCCAACAATGTGTTATGATGCGGTTCAGTTGCCTGCTGAATCCAACATTTTGCACGAGGAATGTACACCAGGGGTTAACTGCTCAATCCAACAGGCTCCATCGGGTATGTGACATAGTTGGATCCTGTTGGATTCAGCAGGGGTAAAGATTCTTTTCGGACTTTTTTTTTTTTTAAAAGGAAAAATCTCAACATGGAACTATCAGGAGAGGATAGCATGGTTAGGGTTTCAGCATTTTGAGCATGTTACCAAAAAAATTTACGAGAAAACAAGACAAGATTTATTTTAACTCTAATTTAATACTAAAGGTGAAAGTTTTAAGTTTTCAGTGAGGTTAATTTAAAGGTGGAGTGGAACATTGCAGCTATCCAAAATGTAATTGACCAAATTATTCTTAAAAATCTTACTTGCTTGAAAGATAGTCATGGCACTAAATGTTTTGTACACAAAAATCGGGAGCCAAGGATGATGTTCGGTCTAGCCGAATGTTCAGTACAGCGACATTCCATTGTAGTTGGTTTGTCATTTGGCAAGTCCATGCATGGGTGTGTGCAAGCATTGACACGACGCACACGCGCGCGCATGGATGCTATTTGTCGGTTCAGAGCGTGACATCGCGTAGCTGCAATCAGCTGAATGAGAACGTGTCCTGGATGCTGATTGCAGGTGCAATTCGAAAGAAAAATGACTCTGCAACTTTTGACTTGAAATTCAAGATTCTAAAATATTGTCTTGGAATAAACAGCGTTCACAGTGCTCTTTTTCAGGTTTCAAAAATTCATATCACATGTTGCTACTGCTGGCATCGATGTTGCCAACAGACTCCCATAGCTGCCAACTAGTACGATTTTTTCGTAATTATTACAAATTGTTTGTTAAATTACGAAAATACGATTTGCCACTAAAACATTACGAATTTCCCATTTTCTACCTAACGAAAAAAAAAAAATGTAAAGTATCGTTTTTGACCGAAAACTTCTGGCGAAATGTCGCGATAATGGATGGACTGGTGACAAGTCTAATAAGAATGCAGTCAAGCACCTGATAGACATCAATGCAGTGTGCGCAGTGGAGTACTTGAGGACCAGATTAAAAATATTTTTCAATGTTGTGTCATTTGTGTGCATCTCGTGGATGTGTGGTTGTGTGTACTGTATGCGAGTACTTTTCAGTGACGATCGTGAGCACATTTAGTCGCTTATTGCCGGGATGAGACCCATCAGTGCGAGATTTTAATCATGGAATTTAATAAGAGTATGGTTGGAATAATTGGTAATAGAGTTTGAGTTTGTCACAACGGACAGAAAAGATAAATCAGCATGCGTTTGCAAGGTATGTTGGCGGGATATTTCTATTGCATACGGTGGCCATAGATCATTGTGTGTAAAAACATGATACGAACTCGAAACTCAACATCGATAGCATGCATCTCCAAAAAAATATGCGCACATGTTATTGATGTTATTATTTATTTGACTTCAACAAACTAATACAGACATTAAAACAAAATTAATTTAAAAAAAAATATATATATTTTTTTTAAATTTTTTATTTTTTTTAAAAATTATCTTTTGGCCTACAGTACATTATTTTTCACAACAAGAAGGGTATACACATGTATGTGTACATGTAAACCATGTACCTGTACTTGATGTTGGTAAAACTTTTGATAAAACGAGAAGTTGAAAATGACCGCGCGGGTTGATTACTAATTGGGATTTTGAAATGTTGGCAGCTATGGACTCCCATGGGCTATGCACAAAAGGTCACAAAGTTGGCAATTTGCAGTAAAATGCATTCCAGGTCAATGTAAACATGTCAGCCCTACAGCTTCCAAATAATGCCCAAACCTGCACTCATTTGTTAGTTTTGGATTTATTTGCACTCTGCAGCGTCAGCTGTCGTACGCTAGAAGGGGCTGCAACACGCAGGCGACGCGATGTGACACCACTAACCCTGCAAGTGAGGATTACTGGTAGAGATGGAACGATGCAGACTAGTCAGGGAGACGTGACTTTTGGATACAAGGTATGCATAACAGTGCTTAACCAGTTCGCGTCGGAGGACGCGATAACACGCACTGGCTGTTTTTATACACATGCATGACGGGTTAAGATGTCAAGATTGCCTCGATCGATTTGCCTCCAGGTGACGTCTAAACATGCTAATCCCTCATGCCTTTTGTACACAAAGTCCATGAAGTCTGTGGAGGTGGACTGTGTGTTGATCTTGAATTGGCCGTTGTGCATGGCCATTGTTTGACAATTACGCTTTAGTGCACACCTCAGAGTATTTAAACATATGAGGTTTCGGCAAGAAATATCGTACAATACTGTTGAAATGACTCTTGCGAATCAGTATTTGTGGCGTTTGGCTGTACATGTATATCAGAATTTGGCAGGAAAATATGTGTGTATGTACATGTACGTGTATACATGTGTATTGTGTTTCGCTTTTGTATATTTTTTACTTTTTTATTATGTAATTTGAACACAAGGTCTCGAGGTCTCGGTCTCAGACCATCAGGTCTCGGTTTTGGTCTCAAACCTTAGGTCTCGGTCTCGATCTCAGTCTTGGACCTCCTGGTCTCGGTTTCGGTCTCGGTCTCGGACTTCCAGGTCTCGACTACAACACTGAAATGCACTATAAAACCCAAGAGGTCTTTCATTGAGGTCAAATGGAATTGTGATTAGAAGCACAATTTTGGAAAGAAACTATTTAAAATTCTATACTGCTTGCCTGTCAACCATTGGCAAATTGGCAAGCTGTACCAATAAAGCCCCAGTCACACATTTACTGTTTGGAGCTACAAATATCCACAGTTTACCAAGAATCAATCGATCACAATGAACCGTCGAGATTCGTGCAGAAATCAACTTTCTAAGAATGCACTACGGTTTCAGGACAGCGAGCCACGACTGTCCTTTAAGGTTTCCCTACAAATACACCATGGTTTGTCAAGAATAAGGACGAATTGGAATATTGACGTTAACGCCACAGTTGTCTGCGATTGGGCCATTGATGACCAAGGTTCTCCTACGAATAAAGCGTGGATATTGGTAGTTCAACCTTAGCAGAACCCTAGCACATCCGGGCATATCCGTAGGATATTTTGTAGCGAATTCATAGAGATTTCTACCACAAATGAGCTACGAATCTTCAAGAATGTGTACAGATAGCCACGAATAACACAACAAATAAGTATGGTTGTCCTACCAATGTCCCACGCGGTTGCACTACAGATTGATTTTCATGACGATTCACCACAGAAGTTTTGAACAGTTTAAAACTTCCATAGCCCCTCCACAATACCCAAGGAAGATGACGGATAACCACGGATGAATATGGTAGTCCCACGGTTTATCACAAATTTCAAACCGTGGAGTTTCATAGCTCCAAACTGTAAATGTGTGACTAAGGCTTAAAGCAGTTTCTTAGGTGTCTTTGTTTTCAAGCTCTCATCAGGAAACTTAATTATCAGCAAATTATAGGGTCGGTCAAAACATAACTTTGAATCAAAATTTCCCCAACACATTTTATTGATCTCTCAGGACCCTGACATTTCGGGTTTCAGTCCCGAGATAGGTCCACAATCTGGCGGCACTAGGCTGACAATCTCCGGCCAATCTCTGGATGCTGGGAGGTTCATCGAAGTGTTTATTGATGACATGCAGTGTGCTGCTGAAAGGTGGGTAAAACTCGTACTCTAGCAATATCTGTGATTTTTCTCTCTTCTGCTTGACCACCTTGCACAGTTGACTGGATTTTTTTCAAAGGAATTTGACGGCTGAAATTGTAATGGGCTTTAAACACATTTTTGGAAAAAAATGTTGCAACCTGATGCCAATTTTTGTTTTCATATATCATCTCAATGAAAGTCATTCATTGCAAAAATGATAAGACATGAATCTGGGACTGAGAAACATTTCAAATTTTGTTAGGAAAAAATTATCTTGACTCTCTATAGACTTTGTACACAATCGCGGAAGTGGCATCAGGTTTTTCCATATTTTTAGATAAGATTTTCTGGGGTAACAAGGGGAGCTCGATAACCAATCTTTGACTGACAATTTTTAAGGCTTAGATTTTTTTTTATTACTAACATTTCCTATTCCAAAATAGCATCAAGTGATATTCGTTTTCTATTCATTACTAACGTCTTTTGGTCTTCATATGTCTGGATTTTATTTGAAAGAGTGAAAAACCAATGGGGGACAACTCTTTTTGAGTAGTTTTTCACGCTTTTACAGGGTGAGTTAAAAAAAAACGAAACCCAAATGGCAGGACCAAATTTCAAATGAAGTTTTGCCTGTAGCACTTTAAAATCTAGGATATGAAAGACCAGTCATTAAGCTTTCATTTAGTACAAGAATCATTCAAATCGCTCATGTACTATTCAAGTTAAGAAATTTTCAATACAAACACTGTTTTAAAGTTCTGTCCATGGATCACAAAAAGGTTTGTTCTTTTAGCAAAACAAAATCGATACACGCACATCCCTTTGTGAAATTTTTTCGTCTTTCTGAAAGAACACTTACCTTTTTTGTTATCTGTGGACAGAACTTTTAAACGGTATTTGTGTTTAAAAGTCCCTAACTTGAAAAGTACATGAGTGATTTGAATGATTCTTGTACTAAAAGAAAGTTTATTGATTGGACTTTTATATCCTAGATTTGAAAGTGCTACATGCAGAACTTTATTGAGGAATTGGTCCTGCCATTTTGGGTTTCGTTTTTTTTTTTACTCATTCTGTGAGTGAATTTTCTGTTGTTTTTTGAGTGGTTTTTAGTGTGACTTATAGGGAAGAAGCACTTTAAAAGAATGAATTAACTTCCACTCTTTTTTTAACCCTAACCACCCCAACTCCATCAAAATCCATTCCCCCATTTTGGTGGATTTTTGGGGACTTGGTCCAGAAGGCCTGGCATGTCTAAATATTGATGGAGTATGATGGACTTGGGCCTAATGGCCTGAAGCAGTGCTAGGGGTATCCGATTGATTTTGCCTAGCTTCCTGTACTGCTATTGTGATAAAAGCCATGTGTATAGCAAGTCCATGAATGGGCAATTCCACGGTAACGGAAGGACGTTTTCACTCATGAAACAAAATTTCAAATGTGTGTATCACAGACACTGTTCATAGTTACAGCAAACAAATGTCACAATTGTATTGCTATAATGCTACTTTCATTTTCCACACTTTTGGGGGGCATGAATGCCTCCCGTTTATGAATTATGAATATTAATGAGGTCGGTAACGGAAGGACGGTAAAACGGACAAGGGTTTTCCAACTTACTCGCGTTTTGCGTAAACTCTGTGAATTTTATGGGGCAATTATATTTTAAAGGTAAGAAATGGAATCCCTGAAGCTTTATCTATACTATACCGCCTTTCATTTGACTTTAAGTGTTTCGGTAATATAATTACAACGTTTTAAGCAGATTATGATTTGGTAACGGAAGGACGGTAACGGAAGGACAAAAGGTTTACTCAATTATAGCATGAACAAAATGTGAATTTACACTAATTATACAAGTGAAACAGATTGCTGAAATGTGTAACTGAATGTGAAATCAACAATATGCAGACCTGGCATAAAAAATTATACCCAAGAAACTATTGAGATAAAGATAGAAGCCTGCTAATTAATGATAACAAAAGAAAAACGAAAACTACCCAAAACACATAATTCACGAACACAAGACAACTACAGAAATGGACTTCAAACCCATCACCTCAATCCTTAAAAGTTTAAATACACAGTTTTTGAGCACTTGAGTATATTGGTTACATGTTCACCAACAACTTTTAATAATAATACCGGTAGGTTCAGTGGTTTACTTAAAGGGTGGGGGGGGGGGGGGCGACCAGCCTACATGTACATTTAAGGTAAAAACATCTACCGGTAGAACTGATGGCTTCAGTTAGGTGTTGCTTTTAATTGAACTCTAAAATCAATGTTTGAAATCAAATTACAATGATTTAGAGTAGTAACAATTAATTTATAAACATCCAAACTGAAATTGTTAACTTGGGCATAATTTGTCAAAGATTGCACCTCACATGTCTTACACATGTAAATTGAATGAAAGTGCCCCAAAGTACCGGTACTTTCTGCCATCTCATTTTTGACTTAATTTGCTTCTGGAATGGCTTCACAGAATTCGTATCTTTCTCTATTGTTCATGAATGCTGATGGCAGCAACTTTATGATTTGATTTTCTGCAACAACTCCATACATGTACAAGTACTGGTACATCAGCATATATGTACATGTACATTGTACATGTTGTACATGCCTGTGCCTTCCTTTGTAATAAACACCTTGCCCTGCTTATCCCGCTTTTGTGAAGGTGGGTCACATGAATGTCCTTTCAATGCTCATTATACATGCATGTATTTGCAGTGATTTTCATTTTTCAAACATGAGCGCAAATGTCGTAACATTTGATAAAAATACGATTTGTCCTTCCGTTACCGTCCTTCCGTTACCAATTTGGTAACGGAAGGACGTGATTTAATTAATTGTAATTAAAAAACGAGAAGTACAGCAGTGTCAGTTATAATGTCATATTGAAGGCCTACCTAAACTTGCTTTGGACAATAACTTTCAATGCATTCATACTGCAAGTTTTAAAAATAAATTAAAAATATGTATTTTTTCGGTAACGGAAGGACATTTTCGAAGGCTGAAATATTAGGAGTCACTGAAGCGAAGCAAATTACGCAAAATATTAAAAACAAGTTTTAGTCGGTTTTTCAAGACCAATACTTTCTCATGATAGAAACTGATGGCATTAGTACATATTTTTGTGTGTGTTTTGGTAGAATACTTTCATATCACTATTTATCACATTTTTAGGATAAAAACAGGATTATTACATAATCCTATTTTTTGGTACCGAAATGTATAAAAAATAAAATTCTGACTTCAAATCTTGAAAATATAGACTTTTAGCTTTCATTTGATGCCAAATTTGTTTAAGTCACATGTATTTGAATTTTTTGGTGTCATGTCCACTTTGGTGTGGAATTGCCCGAATGTCAACCAGTGCGTCAGTGGTGGATTTCATTATGTCATGTACAGTTTTGTATTGGACGCACAGTGATTGATGGATTTTGATAAACTTAGTCCAGTTCCTAGTGAAAGACGCTAGGGAGTTAGGGTTGACCCATACATGTATTGGGGACAATTAAAAGTGATTTTTCACTCTTTTTCACTGAAATAGGCAAAAGTGTTATTTAGCTTGATTTTCAATGACCAGAGAGTTTTAAAATTTTAAGCATTCAATTTGTTCCCCCACTGCTTGACACAGAGCGATAGTCACTGATGACAGTATCACCTGTATCACATCCCGTGCTGACAATCTCGGTTCTTGGATAGTGAATGTCTCATTTGATGGAGCAGAAAGACTCTCAATGGCCAACTATACATACACCGTGGATCCAGATGTGGAGGAAATCAATCCATCTACCAGTGTCTTAGCGTGAGTTACAGTTTCTTGTTTATGTTTACCTCAATGTGAAACCAAAATAAAAGGAATAAAAACAATATTGCCATATGTCGTCGCGTCAGTGCAACAAGGTCGTATCTCCTAAAATGGCATAAACGCAAAACGCGAGTTTCAGAATGTCAAAAGGTCGTATGTGGCTTAAAATAACCCGGATGTACACGCAAAGTCAATGGACGTCGAGATACGACGTTGTTGCACGGAGTGTATACGCACAAGATACGACTTTGTTGCAGATACGACTTTGGACATACAACCTTGTTGCACTGTCACGACGATGTGCATGTGTGAAGTAGGCTTAGATGACTCCAAATTGGAACCAAATTAGAAAAAGAAAGTAGTTTATTGTGTATTCTGACTGTTTGGAACAACAAAGAAAGTGACACAGAATACTTGTTTCAACAACTGTAGTACACAATATATAGCCTGGCTTAGGCAAACAATACGATTTATAAAATCCCCTTTTATAAGACGGGCCTTCAAAAGGACTTTGTTGAATATTTTAAACTTTTAAACTGATGTTTTATCGCTGGTGATGTTTGAAGACAATTTTGACGACGATTCTTGAAATAGCAGTTTTGGACGAAAGAGGTTTTAGGGTCATTGCTGATGGTGATATTCTTTGAGCGGATTGAGCAATTTCAGTAATTTTTTCATCTAGAGGTAGTTTCTGAAATTGGCTTGTCAGTCAGTATTTTTGGTGCTACATATTTTTTAAATACGAAATACATGTTTGGGTTTCGCTTTTTTGACTCGCCCTGTATGTGTGATATTTGTTGTCTTATCTTGTTGGATTGTTGTGGCTTTGAATCAGTGGTGGTCGAGAGCTGACAGTCAACGGGTCTGGTTTCTCAATCATTCAACAACCACAGATAGTCATCACCTACGGGGATAATGAACAGGAGTTTGTCGGGGTAAGCAACTGATGTATAAAAACAAACCCAAATGTTAAAGGTATAGTCCATCATTTGTAATTTGTGCATTTGTTCGTTTGCAGCAACAAACGTGCTCAAAATCTAAGGGTATTGAACAACTAACCTGATGAAGTTTCAGCTCAGCTTCAGCTGTATATTCTGAGAAAAACAGCATTCTAAGATCTTGATTTCAAATCAAAAGTTGCTGAATCATGTTTTGAATAGGGCCTGAATTCAGCATCCGAGACACGTTCTCAATGAGCCGATTGCAGCTACGCGATGTTGCGCACTGATCCGACGAATTATAGCAACCGCGCGCACGTGTGCGTCATGCCAATGCTTGCGCGCGCTTCGCTGCAAAACAAAATGAACTACTAATTTAAATTTCCTACGGTGCGTCTTAAGAAGCACCGTTGGAAAGGCCTTCTTTTATTGATTTCTTCAAAATGACGGCTTGCCAGAAAAATTAATTTCACAGGGAGTTTAGTTCCCTGAATATCTTTCAATCAAGTATGTTTTTCAACAAGAATTACGCCAGCTACTTTTTGGATAGCTGCAAATGATGGACTCTAGCTTTAAGCTTGCTTGCTGGAAACATTTAACATTCCACTAAAATGTACCGACATGAAATCTGTGTATTTTGTGTATTTTGTGTGGAAGAAATTTCCTTGGTATTTTTTCTGACATTGACAGAAAAATGTATCACTGAGAGATTAATTTCAGAAATATTTCCTTGATTTCAGAACTGTAGCGTGACAAGTGATGACAAAATGATCTGCACTTCACCAGAAATCAATCTTCCCAATCTGGTCCTGGATGCGGACACCAGCGTGAACGTAACCACTGGCTTTATCATGGATGCCGTGGAAGCCCTCCGAACCTGGTGCTCTGTCGACCAAAATGATGGCTGTACACCTCTGGAGTACTTCCAGAATCCTGAATACTACCCCTTCAATGATCCTCTGTATGAAAATGAGGATGGCATTGAGGAGAGAACAGGGCCTGAGCTGACTGTTAAGGTCAGTTGCATTTTGTGAAAGTGTGCTTCTAACCTCATATGCATGCTGCTGGAGTTTTACAGATCATTATAAATCAATTAATATTGTATAAATTTCCACCCAGGGAGCGAGACTGAATCTAGCGATAACAAATGAAGAGGTAACGGTCTACGTCGGGAAGTCCCTGTGTACCGCTGTGACTGTGGGTGCGGGTGCTCTGTCATGCAAATTACCTGTAGATGCGCCAGCTGCTGGTGATTACCTAGGCATGAATGCAACGAGGGGTCTACCTGTTGTTTGGGTAAATTGTGAAAATTTGAGCTTGCTTGTTGTGAGGCACCAACATTTGAACGACTTGTGTTGTCTAGTTGAAGCATCTTTGTATTCTGGTCCATCATAATTCCTGAAAGGGTGCTTACCGGTAAATATGCTTAAACCCATCCGCCGAGCTCATGAATAAAAGTTATACCCTCAAAATATTCTGTATTAGAGAGTTCTGAGAGCCATAAAATTGGGGAATTGAAGAGATATGGCGATGAACCTCTGGCCCAGACTTGGGGCTTCCAATTCTGAGCATTTTGGATGCAATTGGGCTCGAAAGTGGCACTATTTTGCCACGTTGTGGAGGGATCGTTTTTCAAGATGGCTACTTTTCTGCTTTGGGGGAAAAGAGGGGTCATCTTCTTTCGGTGAGAATTCCTTGAAAAGTCAATGGTCAACCCACCAAAAAATGAAAAGAAAATGAAAGATGACATGTTGATCCGCATTTTTCTGTGCAGCTTGTTTGAGAGTAGTCGTAAACAGCTCCTTATATATGGAGAGTCTTAGATATTTATGAACGTCTCTTAAAGGAAAGAGTCAACCATGATTTTTACTGAATCGCAGAAGAGATTCTCGTGTAAAGCTACAAATACATTGACCACATCTCACGGTCAGCCGTGGTAAATGGCCTGTGCATGGGATGTCCTGGACATACTGATTACTACTTCTGTTCCCCGGGCATTTGAGAAATAAAAATGATGAAACAGTCATCAAGGGCCATTTTCACAAAATTTGTGCGACGAAATGGGTTGACACTGTTGAGGAAAGTGAGATCAGCATCATCGTTACTGGCATCAGTGATAATTAGCTGTTCCCAATTTCCAATGGGAACAGCTTTTGTTTTCATTAAAGTTTTTTTTTTTCCTTTTTATTTTTAGTTCTTTTTCTTTTTTTACTTTTTGCCATAGGTTTTGTACACGCTTTTATTCTACAAGCCACTTTTGGAATTATTCTAAATCTGATCAACTTTAAACTTTCCATAGTGATTAACCATCATATGAAGATGTATGCCGAAACTTTTCGTCATCGTGACGTCATCGTTACGTCATCGTGACGTCATCAGGGGTCACGTGACATTGATTTGTATGTTCATTTGTTACAGTCTTATAACTATCGAACTCTTGGACCGATTGGTCTCAAACTTGGTATGTATACAGTCAGGGAATTGTTAGAGATGAACATTGATATGTGAAGGTCACGTGACCTTCACCTCCAGTTTTAATGAGGCAATATTGTGATCGCCATATCTCCAAAAAAAAAATAAGATATGATTACAGTTCTTCGCACATTTACTCATATTGGACTGAAAATGCACCTCCTCGAATGTCATGATGGTCATGTGACCCTTACTTCTGGTTGTACCGGAAGTGCAATTTTTAGAAGTAATAACTTCAATTTTATTATTTTTTTTAATTATTGCATCATTTTGTTTACGGTCCGATAGACAAAACTGGGAACAGCTCTGTGGTTGTTCACAACCACAACCTCTATTTTTTTTTTGTTTTTTGGTTAGTTGAAGTCACTGTCCTGTCCAATCTTGTTTCCTTTTTGTCCGTAAACTTCAACCAGGTGATTCATGGGACCACACTATCCTTCAACATTGGTTACTTCCAGTACCCAGTTGATAATACCGTACTAATTGTATGCGTAGTCAGTGTTGGCGTGCTGGTGTTGGCTGGGTTGTTAGCTGTTGGCCTATACAAGAAATCCAAGGGAGCGCAGGAGGAAGTAGACAAGCGTCTGGACGATATCGACAACGTGCAAGCGAAACTGGCTGATGATATGAGAACAGGTAATGGGGGGGGGGGGGAGCTCAAGGTTCATTTATTTTCCACAGTATCAAATCAATAAATGACATGAAATAATTACATAACAGAAAAGAATTACAAATAATACAACAAAAGTGATATTTTAAGGACACTGCGGAGGGGCCCATTGAGAAGCAGAGCTTTTAAGCATGGGCCCAGACAGGCATGCTTATTGAGCCCAATCCAAGAGAAGGGAATTAACTTACAATGGACACTATTTAATGGTTAGTCACACCGAGGCTCAATGAGCATGCTGTATTTAAAGTAATTACATGTACGTAGAAAAGCAACATACCTAAACACAATACACATTGAGACGTAAACAACAGACAAACAAACAATACAATACAGATCATTTAAACTAGTCAGGTCAGCAAAGAGCAATACAATCATGGATATTCTACAATCTACATGTAACTACATGTACATATTATATCTACTGGCATGAAGTAATGATAAGTTTGAATTAAGATTGATTTAAATAGTCGTTTAAAAGTGGAGAGATTGGTAGAAGCTTGCAGTTGTTTAGAGAACATTTCAAGTTGCTTCATCGAAATGTTTTTTGAAATCAAGAGAAGATTTCTGAAGGGCAAATCAAATCACACGAATCAAGCAAGGATAAGAATTGTTGTAATTATCTTTGAAGAGGAAATTACAATTAACAGTGGAGACTACACTTATGTGCAATCCCTCATTATTGTCATTTGTCTAACACCGTATTTACACTGGATCCGGCAAAGGGGGATCGCATCCTGTGGTCGCCATACAACTACAGGGAAGCTAACCCAAAGTAAATTCCATCATTGATTTGAAGTGATTTTGAATATACCGTTGCGAAAAAAAAATTATTGTGTGGTGTAAGAGAATTTTACCCCTGTTCTCCCCAGTACAATTTTTATCATTCAAAATCGGAAATTCTAAATAAACTTTGGAAAAAAAATTTGACAAAAAAAAGTTGCAAACCTTCAAAAAGTAACTCGAATCCTCAAAAATGTTCCAAATTGTACATGAGTGATTGCTTATTCATTGAACCTTATCTTTTCATTTACTGTTTAAAATATGTACGTTTTTGGCTTGTAATTAATTGATTTTTTTTTCAGAATACATATATGTATGGGTGTGACCTGAGTTTGTTTCTGCATTCAATAGGGGACGTTGAACAATAGAGGACAATAGGGTCCCCTATTCCCGAGAGGTCCCCAATTTGCAATCGTGTACAAAACACATGGGAGGTCTTCCTAAAAAGTTAAGGTACAAACAAAAGATGGACAATAGGGGTCCCCGATTGCAGGCAAATACACACTTGGGTGTGTTACTCATTTACACAGAAAAAAAACAGCGTTGGCGTAATGTTGGCGTTTGCGTAACGGTGCATGAAAAGTTGTGCTGGACGTTTAGTAAAGAGAAGCAGAAGTGTAATTTTGTGAATATTTTGATATGATTGCCAGCTTTTGCTGAGCTGCAGACAGATGTTTCAGATGTGACCAGTGACTTGGAAGGGATCGGCATGCCGTTTAACAGTCACCGCGAATACGCCACCAACATGCTGTTCATAGGCCAAGACACCAAACCAATGACAACTGACCCTGAGGTATTAAGTCAAACTAAGAAGAGTCCTTGGCTCTTGATTTCTGTGTCGAAATGAATATTGTTATTATAAGATGGAATTTTGCGTCGGGGTGATATAAATCAAATTAGGTTTTGCCCTTCAGGGCAAAACCTAATTTGATTTATATCACCCCGACGCAAAATTCCATCTTATAATAGTTTATGCGGTACCCGCTGCTATGTACATCAGATTCGAACCGGCCAACCGATCCCGTTAGCTCGGTGGTCGAGTGGTAAGACATCTGCACTAGAAAGCAGGAGGTCGTGGGTTCGAATCCCACCCGAGTGATTTTTCCAACTTTCACTCGGGAGGTAACACACTGAGTATACAGTGTTAAAACGTCGGTGAAGGGCAAAACCTAATTTCATTTATATCACCCCGACGCAAAATTCCATCTTATAATAGTTTATGCGGTACCCGCTGCTATGTACATCAGATTAAGTCAAACTAAGAAGAGTTGCTATGACAGTGTAATACAAACATCGGTACACCGTTTTACCAAACATTCAGCTTTACCGAACATCATCCTTGGCTCTTGATTTCTGTGTCGAAATGAATATTGTTGTTGAAAAATGTCAACAGAAGAGTGACAAGTGGCTATTATTTCCCCAAGGAATAGAAGGGGGAAGCCACCCATTGCTGCAGGTGGTAAACTCACAGTCTGTGTAATTACATAATTCAGTAACTATAACTATAACTTACAACATTTATAATGCGCTTTCCACCATGTTTCAAAGCGCACAGTAGTTTCTTGTACAATTATCAATTTACTGATCAAAGGCTTGTGAAAAAAGAAAGCTCTTAAGTACTGTCTTAAACGAGTCCAATGAATCAGTTTCACGGATGTGGATGGGAAGAGAGTTCCAGAGTTTCGGGGCTAGCACAGAGAAGGCACAGTCCCCATAGCGGGTTTTGGTTTTAGGTCCAGGCAGTAACTAAAGATGGGCTGTAGAATGTGATCGGAGTTGGCGGGATGTAGATGAAATGGCTGTGGACCGGGTAGATACGAGCTTCTGGAGGTATGATGGGCAAGGTTGTGAATGATTTTGAAAACAAGAAGAAGTGTTTTGAAGATGATGCGTTCGTGAACCGGAAGCCAATGAGTAGTCGGCACGTGTTCAAAGTTATCTTTCAGTAACTACCAGGGCGTGCAGGGTGATGTTATGAAGGGTGCTATTTATATGAAAAGTGAGTACCGGAGCACTGGCAGCTTAAAAACGCTATACCGAACGATCGCTATAACAAACAATTTCTGTGGATCCCGCGATGTTGGTTATCCACTGTACAGGTGCTAATTATGGGTTTAGGAATTCATTTCCTTTCTACTTGTCTTTCTTCAGAATCCTGAGGAGCATGTTGAGAAGGCAATGAAGAAGTTCAGTGATGCCCTCGGCAACAAGACGTTCTTGCTGATGTTCCTACAGACACTGGATGCCCAGAGCAAGGCCAAACTCTCCGTCAAAGACAGGTCAGAATTTCAAACCCTAAATCTTGATTTCGCTGTTCAAATGTTATCTTCTGTGATGTGGTCCACGGTGTTTTTTTACACATGAGGGGTGTAAATTGCACCTGAGGCAAAGCTGAGGGTGCCGTTTGTTCCCAAGGGCGTACAAAACCCATGGACTATTAAACATCGGGGGTTTTGTTATACCTAGTATGCAGGGTTTTTCTGCCTGTGGTACACAAAGCAGAACCTGGTGGGGGGGGGGAGGAAATATCTAAAGAGTTTTTGAGAACTATCACGTAATGCCAAAAAAAAAAGTCTCCGGTTTCTGGTATGCGCGCGCGTCGCCGTAGCCATGCGCGTCGGCAAAATGAAAAAGTTTTTTTTTCAATGCAAGATGATGTCTCAAAACCGCCAAACTCACTGGTTTGACTGGAATCCTGCTGCTGCACAATTTTAACGTGTTTTTAGATGGGGTTATGGTCGAGAATAAGCTTTATGTGGCCTCTCTGGACTCCCATATATTTGTACTAAGTTTAGTCGGGCACCATTTGCAGTCATCAGCCGACATTTGAAGCAAAAAAATCAGGTAAAAAAAAAAAAAAGCCGCGTCGCCGCACCACTTTTTGGGCAAGCTCCATACCAGAAACCGGAGACTTATTTTTTTGGCCTAAGCGCTGATGTATTTGTCAGTTGTAGAAGTGTTTTGCATATTTACTGCTAATGGTGTAGGTAAGCATAGAGCTTGTATGTACTTCTATAATTCTGTGTTCTGTAATTTGATAGATTTGTTTGTTTGTTTGTTTGTTTTTGTTCTGCAGAGGAGCCATTGCTTCCTTGTTGACTGTAATCATGGTGGCTGAGGGCAAACTGGACTACCTATCTGAGTGAGTATTCATGTTCATTTCTCTCGGCATATTGGCATGTTGCATTTGGCCAGAATTGTGTATCTCATTGTTGAACAATTTTACACAAGCTGTGTTTCTTTTACCACAGTCCTATAAAACTAAAGTAAAACTACACCTCCCCTTTTTTTCATTCATATGTTTTATTCCTAGCGTTTGCCCGGTTACACCTCTATGTTCCGACACCCCTATGTTCCGACTGCACATATTCCTATTCCTAACCCTAACCCTAACCCTAACCCTAACCCTAACCCTAACCGGGAGTAACACAATCTAGGTTGTCGGAACATAGGGGTGTCGGAACATAGAGCAGTCACCGTTTGCCCAACTATCCAGGAATAAAGGTAACACATACCTGGGCTACCCAGGAATACAATTGAAGTGTGGCTGCTATGAGTTATCATATTTGTGTTTTGTAATTCAATACAAATTTCATTCTTTCGTTGACAGCGTGCTGTTCAGTTTGATGGCTAAGCTGGTGCAAGATGAACTGGATGCCAACAGGCCTAGGCAGCTCTTCCGTCGGTAAGCTAGAATAAGTAGTCAGGAAACATTTCTCACATTTTAACCATGTTAACAGTGACAGATAGTCAGGTGCCTTGAAGAAGGTCGGAGAAAAATGGGTCAAAAGGTCCAATTCAGATTTTTCGGGTGATCGATAGAGCTTTGAAATATCTTTCATTGGATATACATTGTCTCAAGGGGCTACGTCATTTTGATGTAATTAACAGTAAACACAGACGGAAGGAAGATTTTCATTATTTGTGCTCGGGAAAAGATAGATCACAAGTGTGTAATTCCAATGTAACAAAAAATGTTTGAAGCGCCCTAACGTCCCACTTTCAAGTGGGTACATAAAGCCAATTTTGTTCCTGGCGGAAGGACGTAAGGATTTAATATGCCGCTGAAGCGTACATTTAAGGCTTGGGAAGTTCCTGGTAAAAGGTTGTTAGCATAAAAATTTAAATAGCTTCGCAATTAAGTAATATTTTGACATAAAAATGCACCATATTATTTTAATCATTAACGAATGTCATCAGTAAACATTTCAACCTTATGTGATTCTAAATCTAGAAATGGCAGCACAAAACCTTTCAACTTCTCCAGAAGTCCTTTTTGTGTGCCTCGGCTGCTAACGTCCTTTTCCTTGTCACACGATGAAATGTTAATTTAACTTGAAAGTCAGTGATGGTTAATTGCATTGCAGATATTCAGAAATGATAGTTTGCATCAACTTTCATAAATACTGTGGGTTGATCTGTGCTGATATGATTGTTCATTCACTTACAGTTTCATAGATATAACAGTATGGCTTGGGTTTTGTGCAAAACCAATGTGCAACTGAGTGTTGATGATTCATAAAAAGGAACTTTGAATTATGTTTCTTGACAGAACGGAGACCATTCTTGAGAAGCTGTTGTCCAATTGGATCACTCTGTGTCTGTATGATTCACTGAAGGTAAATATGTGACAACTCATCATATTACTCATTTTAAAGACAGCGTCGCCTTAAACTAGGCATTTTTAGTGAGAAATGTCTAACTCCAAACTGCAAGCACATTGTTTGTACTTCTTTTGACATCAACAAACCCCACATAAAGTTATGTTGGCTGTGTTCTACACATAAAGTGTAAGTGCTTCTAGCAGCTTTCTGAGTTAGGGCCTGTAAACTCAGAAAGAATACAGTACTTCTAGCAGTACACTCTGATCTTTTTAATCCCTTTATCAACAAAATGGCCCCTGTTATCAGATACTGCTGCTAATCCCCTGCACTTGTCAATATCAGCTGTGTGACAGCACATGTGCCTTTATTACACTAAGTGTTAGGGATTATAAAGCTACTGTTTGGACAAAGGATTAAGATAGATTAGAGGGCTGGCCAGTTTACAGTTAGATTGACTGTTTTCTCTCAGAAGTTTCTAGTGGAGGTTACTCGCAATGTTCCTTAATCCTGCAAAGTCCTCTGAAGCCTAACGGCAGATTTTTAAAGGACCTAAGGGATTAGGGTTGAACTTTTATAGCACTATTGCCGTAACAGAACTACGTGTTGAGCAATCTACACACAGAATCGTTCTGCACTAGACATGAGCATTTTGCCAGCTGTTGGTCAGTATATAGGTTGAGTAAAAAAAAAAAAATCCCAAATGGCAGGGCCAATTTTTGAATGAAGTTTTGCCTGTAGCATTATCAAAATCTAGGATATGAAAGCCCAGTCATTAAGCTTTCTTTTAGTACAAGAATAATTCAGATCACTCATGTACTTTTCAAGTTAAGGAATTCTGAACACAAACACTGTTTTAAAGTTCTGTCCACGGATCACAAAAAAAAAAACTTTTATCCAGCATCCATAACATTTGGACTGCTGACGAATAACTATCGTTTCTTTTTGGTTGTATTGAAATAAAATTTTGTGATCAGTTGGTTGGAGAACATATCTGAGAGTCACTTGTAAACATTTTCTGTGTAACCTGACCAGCTTGGTTACACGCCTCTTTGGCTTTGGTTTGATTCCCGCCCTGATTCACATGTGGATTGGGTTTTCAGTCACTTCCTGATTCCGTGGGTTTTCCCCAGAATATTCTTCTGGGGTTTCGTCCCGCCTGTAATACTGTAATAATTTCTTCTCTTTGTCTTCTCTTCAGGTTGCTTCAGGCTTGCGAAGAAAATATAATAATAATAATAGTTATTTATCGGTCTTATAGATCTCTACCACACTGTACAATGCTGTTTTTACGTTGCTAATCATTCCTGTTTGTTTGTTTGTCTGTTGATTGCTTTGCATGATAGGATCACACGGCCTACCCCTTGTTCGTTCTGTACCGCGCCATCAAGTGTCACAGTGAGCACGGACCCATGGACATCATCTCTGGCCAGGCCAAGTTCACGCTGAGCGATGAGAAGCTACTCACTGAGGACATTGATTACCGAGAGATGGTCAGTCTTGATCAACTTTTGTAAATGTAGTTTGAATTTTGTGTAAGGTATTAGTAGCCTAACTAAGGTTAAGCTTCTTGGGAGGGGGACTTGGGGTTCCATTATGTACAGCATCCTTCTTTTTGATTTTAGATATTCTTTTTTGTGATGGTTGATGAAAGACTGGGGAAAAATTCCTGACTACCATCTAAGGCCAAAAAAAAAAGTCTCCGGTTTCTGGTATGGAGCTTGCCCAAAAAGTGGTGCGGCGAAGCGGCTTTTTTTTTTTTTTACCTGATTTTTTTTGCTTCAAATGTCGGCTGATGGCTGCAAATGGTGCCCGACTAAACTAAATATATGGGAGTCCAGAGAGGCCACATAAAGCTTATTCTCGACCATAACCCAATCTAAAAACACGTTAAAATTGTGCAGCAGCAGGATTCCAATCAAACCAGTGAGTTTGGCGGTTTTGAGACATCAACTTTCATTGAAAAAAAAACTTTTTCATTTTGCCGACGCGCATGGCTACAGCGATGCGTGTGCATACCAGAAACCGGAGACTTTTTTTTTTGGCCTAATCTTGAGTGATGTGGAATTTTTAATTAGCAATTTTGCCCCCCTCCCAATTTAAATTAAGATGACACCCTCGATCAAGAATAGTGGCATAGTCTTAATTGTAACACCTCACCCACAGATTCTGTATCTTGACTGGCCGAGAGCGAGTCACATGGCGTTGGCTATTTTTGCTATCTTACTGTGCACAGCCAAAAGTACTATACCCGTAGCAACCAAGTACTATGTCTATGGCGCATGTTAAAAGTGCTAGCGCTATGAGCTGGGTTCAAATATTTCGCAAAGGGGTAATTTGGAAAAGGGCAAGTAAATGTTCAACTCATTTTGTATTCAAATAGAAGTACATTTTAATTGTATTTAGATTGAATTAATCAGTTGTCGCTTATTTAAGCAGAATCTGTGGGAGAGGTGTTATAAAACAAATATTGACTGCTTTATTTCGTGGTGTAGTCAAACCAGCCTCCCTCTGTGATCAATGGAGCATTCTATTTTTCCTCGGCTTCGCCCCGGGAGAATAGAATGCTTCACCTCGGGTGACAAGTTTTACTACACCACTCGAAGCAGTCAATATTTGTATACTATACAGGGTGGATATAAAAAAAACGAAACCGAGATATTATTGCTAATTGGAACAGAAGTAGGGCACATGTGAATCAAAGGGAGATATCTTCTGTAAGGGTTGAATCTCCTCTTCAAAATGACACCCTGGTCATGTCATTACATTCACGGTTGACTGAGCAGTGACCAATTTTATGAAAAGGTCTATTGAGAGGCTTGCGCCACTTTTCATTTTTGTGGTTTTTGTGGTGTCATTTTTCACAGAGTGAAAGGCTATGGTTGCCAATCAAGGCAGGTGGGGAAAAAAGAGATTTCACCATGAAAAGTGGCGCAAGTCTCTAAATAGACCCTTTCATAAAATTGGTCACTGCTCAGTCAACCGTGAATGTAAGGCCATGATCAGGGTGTCATTTTAAAGAGGAGATTCAACCCTAACAGAGGATATCTCCCTTTGATTCACATGTGCCCTACTTCTGTTCCAATTAGCAGTAATATCTCAGTTTCGGGTTTTTTAATCCACCCTGTAGAAGGGAAAGGAATATCAACCTGAATTTGATTTTCTATAGGCAGGTGATAATAGCTGCTTGCTTTATGACATAGCCCTGTCTAGTAGTTTTTATTGCTTCTTGAAGCATAGTTTTAAGTTTTGATGTAAGTTTCCTGTGATTCAGTTCCCAATCCACAGACCAATGAAAAATAATTGAAATGGCCGTAGTTGCATCAGCTAACACAATTTAGACACTGATGTCAGTCATTTCACTTCTCTGTTTTGGGTTTTTTTGCAGGTGCTTACTGTCATTGTGAACAATGCTGATGGGGAGACCAAAGAAGTCAAGGTGCTAGACGTGGACACCATCTCCCAAGTCAAGGAGAAGATCCTGGATGCCATCCATCGCAGCCAGCCTTACTCCAGGAGGCCCAGCGCCGATCAAGTCGATCTAGGTAAGAACTAGCCTTGGACCTATCCCTCAAACTTTCCCACAAGCAAACCTGAGACATCTGTGTTGTGGAGTGCTGTGGCCTCGTGGTTAAGGGCATTGGATTCGTGGTCTGTGGGTAAAGCTGCGGGTTGTGGGTTCGAGTCCAGCCGGGGTCATGGTGCGTGTGCCCTTGGGCAAGGCACTCTGTCACTCATTGCTTCTCTCCACCCAGGAGTAAATGGGTACCTGTGAGGGCAGAGATGGTTATCGTGATTGAATAAGCTGCTTTGCTCCAAAAAGGCAGCATCGAGCAGTATACTCCCAAGGGAGCTGAGATGGGTTAGAAATGTTTCACGGGCCCAATGAGCAGGGTAATAATGATGTAGCGCCTTGAGCACCAGTCCTGGTGGATATGTGCGCTTTATAAATACCCACTATTATATTTTTATTATTATCTGTGAGGACTCTGATCAGGAATCATAGACAGTTCTTATTTTGTCTGCCTTTCTTGTGAGAACTAAGCTTGAATCATGCAAACTTTAAGGTTGTGCTTACAAAGTGACAAAAGGGAAGGTTTCAAGTTTCAAATTTGGTTGATTACCACAATTATGATTTAGATAAATGAACCTTTCTTTTTTCAAGCGTCATGTGGGCCTTTTCACTGATCCCAAGTTGTTGTCGGGGTGGATATGGGACATTCTATGAATTTGGGTCCAAAGTTTGACATTTTTCCTGTCCCTGTTATCTTGAAACTTCTTATTCATAAAAGATGGTATTTTGCGTCGGGGTAATGTAAATCAAATTGGGCTTTGCCCTTCACCAACATATAAACACTGTATACTCAGTGTGTTACCTCCCGAGTGAAAGTTGGAAAAAATCACTCGGGTGGGACTCAAACTCACACCCTCCTGCTTTCTAGTGCATATGTCTTACCACTCGACCACCGAGCTAACGGGGTCGGTTGGCCGGTTCGAATCTGATGTTCATAGCAGCGTGCACCTTATAAACTATTCATAAAATGGAATTTTAAGTCGGGGTAATGTAAATCAAATTAGGCTTTGCCCTTCACCGACATATAAACACTGTTGTGTTTTTTCCAACTTTCACTTTTGAGGTAACACACTGAGTACCTTTGTATATACAGTGTTTATATCTCGGTGAAGGGCAAAGCCTAATTTGATTGAAACTTCTTAATTTGCTATTCAGGTATCACTAAAAATGACTTCAAACTACTTGTTATTCAGAGCATGGGTATAGGGTAACTGCATTATCCAAAGTTTTAAAATTATAGATGTCGGATGTAACACAGACAGGCTGCACATTTGTTTTTAGACAAGTTTGAATTGATAAGCTATTAGTCCAAGGCATTTGTTGCTTCCTGAAGTGGGTTTTTTTTCCCCCACAAAATAGAATGGCATGCTGGCGCTAATGGACGTCAAATCCTGCGTGATGTGGATCACACGAGTGTCACGTCGGATGGATGGAAGAGAGTGAATACACTCCGGTTCTATCACGTGAGTAGCAAGATAATTATATAATATTGGATGGCTTTGAGGGGCATACAAGAATATATTGCACGAGCTATAACAATATTGCACAAGCTATAACAATATTGCACGAGCTATATAACAAATATTGCACGAGCTATAGCAATATTGCACGAGCTATAGCAGTATTGCACGAGCTATAACAGTATTGCACGAGCTATAACAGTATTGCACGAGCTATAACAGTATTGCACGAGCTATATAACAAATATTGCACGAGCTATAACAATATTGCACGAGCTATAACAATATTGCACGAGCTATAACAATATTGCACGAGCTATAACAATATTGCAGGAGCTATAACAATATTGCACGAGCTATAACAATATTGTACGAGCTATAACAATATTGCACGAGCTATAACAATATTGCACGAGCTATAACAATATTGCACGAGCTATAACAATATTGCACGAGCTATAACAATATTGCACAAGCTGTAACAATATTGCACAAGCTATAACAATATTGCACGAGTCGAAGACGAGTGCAATATTGTCATAGCGAGTGCAATATATTCTTGTATCCCCCCCAAAAAAAGCCATCCAACATTATTATTATTGTCCTCAATCCATCAGAATCCCCAAAATTTTTCAACATGGAGGTTTCCTGAATCCGCCGAAATCCTCCAAAACAGGGGTGTGGTTTTTGATGGAGTGAGGTACGTTAGGGTTAATCAAGGCTGCATTTCGCGGAGTGGCTTAACCCTAACTACCTAATATGATTTACTAGAAACCATACCCATCCTGGCAAATTCCAACACCATATTGGAAACTGCGCACTCATATTTCTGACTTTGTTTCTGGAGGTGTGCCAACCCAATGTAAAAGACTGTCAGTTTAGGGGTACTGTACCCATCCTGACAGATTCCAACAATACATGCTGTTGGGTTTTGATGGGTTGAGTTCTGTTAGGCTAAATGGGATTCTTGGGATTAACAATGAAGAGAAAACAGTGCTTTTTTCTAACAATATTGACAGATATTTCAGAGGTGAGTTTGTTATTGTTTGTCTGAGCAGGTTCCTAACAAGTCTACCATGGCCTTATTGGGAGGATCATCTGGCACTCAGAAGCCAGCATCAGACGATAACGTGTACGGTAAGCGCACTTCTGCAACTCATGGGCAGGAGAAGTCAAATTAGTAATTAGTCGATTCACAAGTCTGTTCACAAGTTAGAGGAGGAGCATTGACAAAGATGATTTTTTTTCACAGTTTGTATAGCTTGTGACTTGACTTGGGGCCAGACTAGATGACTGGTGGTGGGCTGATGATGGGTTTAAGAAGGCATGTGACAACATGTGTGGACGTGATGCACTCAACCACAAGCTGCTTGAGACTTACTTGTGGTCAACCAACAACAATATGATAGTACAGTGAAATCTCGATAAGTCAAACTTTGATAACTCAACACGACTGTTAAAGGGAATATACAACATTTGCAAACATTGGAAAACAAAACTACCAAATTTTTAGGAAATAGCTCACTAGGATGTTGGTAAATGAAAGTCTAAAGCATCCTGTAAAATTATGGCACCTGGTGTGAAGTCATTTTCAAGAAAAGTGGTATTTTGTATAAATTTCCAACGGTGGTCGGCCGACCACCGTTGGAAAAACCTAACTATTTTTCAACTACTGCTCCAAATTTACCATTTTTTTTTTCAGTCCAAATTTTGTTTGCTATTGGTTACATGTTCATGAACGGGTGTAGGCCAGCTAGACTGGTTTCCTTACCTTACAATTTTCCGGCATCTATAAATTGATTCATTTCATCTTTAGTGGAGTCTGGGAACCAAACTGATTGAACTTTTTGTTTTTTTTCTTGGTTTTTCCAGCATTTTCGAACACAAAACTTCAAACTTGTCAGTGTAACAATATTTGATCTATTATACTAACCCCTCAAATAGTTGATTTCTGAAAATTACAGCAAAAGCCAATGATGTACATTCCCTTTAAGTCAAACAAAGAATCCATTGCCTTCAGTAAGTATAACAATGATATACAACCCTGCTTAACTCAAAACTCTGCTTAAGTCAAATTTTGAACCTGTTCCCTTGAGGTTTGACTTATCGAGATTTCAATGTAATTAACCCTGTCCTTACCACATTGCTTATTGACTTGGCTCTCCGGTCCCCAGGACCAAATTGTTTGCTCAGTCATGCGGAAATCACTAGAGCGTGAAAAATGGACAAGTCTAAAACTCATTTTTTTTTCAACCCAGATTTTCTTTAAATTAGGGTTTGCCCTTCACCGACGTTTAAACACTGTATACTCAGTGTGTTACCTCCCGAGTGAAAGATTGAAAAAATCACTCGGGTGGGACTCCAATCCACGACCTCCTGCTTTCTAGTGCAGATGTCTTACCACTCGACCACCGAGCTAACGGGATCGGTTGGCTGGTTTGAATCTCATGTACATAGCAGGGGGTACCGCACAAACGCAAAATTCCATCTTATTATAGTATTAAAAAAACTTCACCTTTAGAACGATCCAAAATAACTCTTTCAGCTGATATGTGGCTGACATATAGGCGGCCAAACATAACAACATGCCAGCTTGCTGAAAAGCAGTGAATAAATCTGTGTTGAGGGTGTTTTGTAAGTGGTTTCTTGGTCGACTAAAGTCACCTATGGTAAGCAGGAGGGGGTAGTTCCCTGTGGACAAAAGTCCCCATGGTAAGGAAAGGGTTAAACAAATTTAAACAAAACATAAATATTAAAAATGCATCTATCACAAATGTGCATTCTCGTTGCAAAAAATGTACGCCAGCCTCCCAAACAAAAATATCTTGCTTGTGGCTCAGTGGCTGTTCATTGTCCAGTAACGCTGTCCAAACATCATTTATTTTGTTGTCTTCTTCAGTGAATTTTGGGTCTGACGACACACAAGCGAGTGCTTCTGCCAGTAACTACATGCCCATGAAGCCTGCTTCCCGGCCACCACGCAGTAACCGTTTCACTATGGTAGAGGCACCAGACGATGATGCCAAAATCTGGCATCTGGTAAGCACAAACGACATGACACAGACCAAGGTGCTCATAGTCATGCAGATAATATACACAAAATATACTTTAAGCACAGATCTTGCTGAGGGAAAGCAGGGCCCAATTTCACGGCGCTGCTAAGCACAAAAATTTGCTGAGCACAGTATGGCTTGTAAAAGCAGGACACCAGCCAAAACTCCGTGTGATTTTCATGCTAAGCAAACAACAGTTGAATACTAATCACGAGCAATATACATGAAATGGAGTTTTGGCTGGCAACCTGCTTTTATAAGCCAGACTTTTTTTGTGCTAAGCAAAGTTTTGTGTTGAGCAGCGCTGTGAAATTGTCCCAGGTCACCAGCCAAAATGTCTTGCGATGTACAATGCTTGTTCACTGGTTCTCGGCTGGTTTTCGCTAAGCAAACAAATGCCATTAGTAAATTTGTCATTTGGACCTTGGTCTAAAGAAGTAGCAGAATAGTTAAATGTTAATTATATCAGAAAATAGTGTTGACCTTAAAGGGAAGAAACAGCCAAATGATCACATTTTCACGAAATACCTTACTGGATTGTTAGGGAATGACAGTCTAAAGCATCCTGTAAAATTGTGGCTCCTGGTTTGCCGACATTTTCAAGAAAAATTGTATTTTTCCAACATTGGTTGGCCGACCAGCGTTGGTTAAAACTGGCTTTTTTTTCTTCAAAAACTGCTCCAAATTTTTCAAATTTGGTTACATGTATTCCGCATTTTCTTTGCAATTGATTACACTCCTGTGAAGGAGTACAAGCCTGATAGGCTGATTCCCTGACCTACCAATTCCCCAAGGTCTATAAATTGCTCTGTTTCATCTTAAGTGGGGTCAGGGAACCAGACTACCAGAACACGATTGGTTTTCTTGGTTTTTCCAGCATCTACAAGCCCCAAAAGTGAAACAAGTCAGTGTAACAATTATTGGCTATAACATACTAAGGCCAAAAAAAAAAGTCTCCGGTTTCTGGTATGCGCGTGCGTCGCCGTAGCCATGCGCGTCGGCAAAATGAAAAAGTTTTTTTTTCAATACAAGATGATGTCTCAAAACCGCCAAACTCACTGGTTTGACTGGAATTCTGCTGCTGCACAATTTTAACGTGTTTTTAGATGGGGTTATGATCGATAATAAGCTTTATGTGGCCTCTCTGGACTCCCATATATTTGCACTAAGTTTAGTCGGGCACTATTTGCAGTCATCAGCCGACATTTGAAGCCAAAAAAAAAAAAAAAAAACAGGTAAAAAAAAAAAAAAGCCGCGTCGCCGCACCACTTTTTGGGCAAGCTCCATACCAGAAACCGGAGATATTTTTTTTTGGGCCTAATCCTCCAAATCCATTTATTTCTGAAAATTGCAGCAAAAGCAAATGTTGTACATTCCCACTAAATGAAATTCACTATTAAGTACAGGTCTAGCATTTTGTCCACACATGACTAACGTTGGTGTTCTCCATTTTTCCGTGTTGACCTTATCAGCTCAAATGTGAGGAGAGCGACTATGGTTCTGCCGACGCATCTGCCACCAAACGTCGCAACAAGCGCTTGTCCAAACGCCTGTCCATGATTGCATCACGTCCCAAGAAACGGATCCGTGAGCTCTACATCCCAAGACTCATCAGTACTAAGGTCAGACAGAAACAAAACTTTGAAAAAAAAATAGCTGCTTTAAAAAAATATATGCTTTGTTTAGATTCAAACGCTGTACCGGGGGTAGGCATTTTATTGGTAATGTCATTATGCATCACGTCCCAAGAAACGGATCCGTGAGCTCTACATCCCAAGACTCATCAGTACTAAGGTCAGACAAAATAAAATTTGAAAATAGATAGCTGCTTTAAAAAAAATATGCTTTGTTTAGATTCAAACGCTGTACCAGGGGTAGGCATTATAAAGGTAATGTCATTATGAAACGTTAGCATTAGTGACATTTTTAAGGTGAGTCTGGTTCAGAGCAGTACAGCATTAAAAAAGACGTCAGTCTAAAAAAGTGAAAACTACATTAGTGAGCTTGTTGGAGAATGGATAAGTCGATACACAATTCTTTGGTTGAGGACTGTGTTTACTGTGACCGTTTAGTCCACAACAATATTTTAATACACATTGATTGATCAACATCATCCACGCACGCGTGGATGCTCCCATCCTGCCGTGTGTACACCAATGTGTAATTCATCCGGCCCTGCTCACGAGGTGACTTTTTGTCACTTCGTGAGAACATTTTACACTTTTTGACACTTCGTAAAAACGAAAATCACGCATTTCAGGCTTTTTGTGAAATGTTTGTTTACAATAATTAAGAAAGTAAACAATATTTTGCTTTAAAACTTGGTCAAATTGTTCCTTTGAGACAACTATAAAAAAATGGCTAGTAAAACTCAAAACCGAAAAATTATCGATTTTCGAGGTTTTTGTCACTTCGTGAGCACAGCGACGCTTTGAAGGCCCTTAATGTCCAAATCAAGTGGAAAGACTTCAAACAAGATTTGTTGTTTCTGAACCTTGGCCGTGAGTGAGAGTTGGTTATTAAGCCAAGGTTTGGATGAGATATGATCTGTTTCTGACTTCCTTTAAATGTTGATCCTTTTTCAGGGCACCATCCAAGATTACATCAACCGCATGTTCCAGGCCATCTTAAATGCCGACACTGCTCCCAAGGCTGTCAAGTACCTGTTTGACTTCTTTGACAGCCAAGCCGTCAGACACAGCATCCAAGACTCTGAGGCGGTCAGGACCTGGAAGGGCAACAGGTACAGTTTTCCAGTCCAACTTGTTGTTTTTCATTAACCCTCGGTGTGGCCATGTGGTGATAAAATTCTCCACATTTTCCAAATATGGTCATAACTTTTTTTTTCAACGGGCCAATAAGGCTAAGATTCCATGTAATCTTCACCCCTGTTATACACCACAAGCCTGTAGACTTCCATTGACCAGACCTAACCACTGCAGAGTAAGGAGTGTTGAAAGACAGCAGCCCCAAGAGACGCCTAAATGCCTTTGGGAAGTAACTGGAGATCTTAGTGGCCAACCCCTTTGTGCCGCCGATCTCTCTGTGTCAACCCCTCGTGCCGCCCAGAGCTCAGACAGGTCGTAAACAATCCTGGCCCACACAAAGGCCATGTGACTTGCCTATATCTTGTGCATGAGGGAGTTATTGAACTAGAAACAGTGTGGTGATAAAATTCTCCATGTGGTTTCATGGTGTGATTTTTTTGGTCACTCGACTCCGAGGGTTAAATTAAAGGTACAGTCCATCATTTGCAGCTATCCAAAACGTAACTGACGTAATTATTGTTGACACGCATACTTGGCTTAAGGATAGTAATGGGACTAAACTCCCTGTGAAATTATTCTTTCTGGCAAGCTGTCATTTTGAAGAAAACAATGAAAGAAGGCCTTTCCAATGATGTGTCTAAAGACTCATCGTTGGAAATTTTTGTTAGTAGTTCATTTTTTATTGGGCGAAACCCGTGCTAGCGTTGACACGACGCACGCGCGCGCGCTTGCAGTTTCGGAAGGTACAGGGAGTAATGACCAGGGTTGGGGTTGTACAGGGACTATATTGGGTTAAACTCTCCTGGAAAAAAAATTAAAAATGAAAAATTTCAATATTTATCTACTCAATTCAGAATTGGCTCCTTTGAGTTGAGGAAATAAAGATGAAAAAAATGTGGGTTTTTTTTGCATTGGTAGTCTGTCCCTGCGTTTCTGGTCCAATGCCATCCGGCGTCCTGACTTCATCTTTGATATCCGACCCTCTCGCTCTGTGGAGTCCAGTCTAGGAATCATCGCCCAGGCCTTCTACGATGCCCACAATGCCAGCGATCAGAAACTCAGCAAGGTGGGTGCGGCTGACTCTAGCGTTAATATCAAGACAGTACGCATTTTGGCAGTCATAGCGCCAAAACAAAACTGGTTTTGTCGTTCAGAAGTTTAACAACTTTGGTTTGGCAGTTCTCACGTTGAGTTACTGTACCTCCTAAGTTTCTAAAACTGAGACAAAGTATCATCTATTCATAAAATTTAAGTTTTTCTGAACTCATTTTTTTCAAGAGAGTCCGCATTTTGGCAGTCGTAGCACCAAAACAAAGCTGGTTTTAACAGAAGTTTAACAACTTTGGTTTGGCGGTTATCACGTTGAGTTACTGTACCTCCCAAGTTTCCAAAACGGAGACAAAGTATCATCTATTCATAAAAATTTAAGTTTTTCTGATCTCATTTTTTCAAGAGAGTACGCATTTTGGCAGTCGTAGCGCCAAAACAAAACTGGTTTTGTTGTTCAGAAGTCTAACAACTTTGGTTTGGCAGTTCTCACGTTAAATCACTGTACCTCCCAAGTTTCCAAAACTGAGACAAAGTATCATCTATTCATAAAATTTAAGTTTTTCTGATCTCATTTTTTTCAAGAGAGTCCGCATTTTGGCGGTCGTAGCGCCAAAACAAAACTGGTTTTGCTGCTAAGAAGTTTAACAACTTTGGTTTCGCAGTTCTCACGTTGAGTTACTGTACCTCCCAAGTTTCCAAAACTGAGACAAAGTATCATCTATTCATAAATTTTAAGTTTTTCTGATCTCATTTTTTCAAGAGAGTCCGCATTTTGGCAGTCGTAGCGCCAAAACAAAACTGGTTTTGTTGTTCAGAAGTTTAACAACTTTGGTTTGGCAGTTCTCACGTTGAATTACTTTACTTCCCAAGTTTCCAAAACTGAGACAAAGTATCATCTATTCATAAAATTTAAGTTTTTCTGATCTCATTTTTTCCTTGCAGGATTCGGACCTGAGCAAGCTGCTCTTCAACAAGGATCTGCCTCGCATTCAGTCCCTGGTAGAGGATTACTACGACGGCATCTCCAACAAGCCACGAGTGACTCTACAAGAACTCAACAATGAGATGTCACAGACTTCCCAGGTCTTTAGCCAAAACAAAATTCGAGTTTATTTTTACATTGATTCTTCAAAGGGACTAGACAACATTTGCAAACATCCAAAAACAAAACCACCAAATTATTATGAAATATCTTACTGGACTGTAAGGGAATGACAGTCTCAAGCATCCTGTAAAATCATGGCACCTGGTGTGCTGTCATTTTCAAGAAAAGTGGTATTTTTGTGTCAATTTCCAGTGCCGGTCGGCATCAGCGTTGGCAAAAACTGGCTTTTTCAAATACTGCCCCCAATTTACCATATTTAGTTAGTCCGCATTTTGTTTGCAATCGATTACACACCTGTGAACGGGTACAGGCCATCTAGACTGGTTCCCTGACCTTACAATTTTTCTGACGTGTATAAGTTGCTTTTCTTGGCTACAAATTACGTCGGTCAATTTTAGATACTTGGGTCAAGTTTTCCTTTAATTTTTTTTTATTTCGTCACAGGCTTGATTGTTTTTGTGTTTTTATTTTGTTGACAGAGTTTCACGGGTCTGTTCAGCAAGCTGAGTACCCTTCTGCAACTCTGGCACTACGTCAAGAAATACAACACCAAGGTAAATAGCCCTTGTAAAAAAAACGTTTGACTCTCTTTTGATTGGAATGCAATTCTTTGTGCTACCTAGTCTCGAGATTAAGACTTGGGACGTATCAAGACCTCAGCTGCTCAAGATGGAGACTAGCAGTAACACAAATGAGATTAACAAAGTGTAGTCTTGATGAGACCAAGACAGAAATCGAGTCCAAATTCTAGAACTACAACACTACTGCTGGCCTTGTTTCTGAAACCTGCGGCCAATTTCATTGCGCTGCTTAGCAAAAAATGTCGCTTAGCAAATTTGACACAAAGTGTTCTTAACAGTTATTTCAGCAAAATGAAAAAAAAATCACAAAGAGATGTGTGCGAATTGCTTTCGTTTTGCTGAAAGATCGCACACTTTTTTGTGATCCGTGGACAGAACTTTAAAACAGTGGTTGCGTTTAAAATTCCATAACTTGAAAAGTACATGAGTGATTTGAATGATTCTTGTACTAAAAGAAAGCTTGTTAAATGGGCTTTCATATCCTAGATTTTGAAACATGACATGAGATTTTGGCTAATAGCCTTTTTATCTAAGCAAATCGCTTTTGTGCTTAGCAGAATTCTGTGCTTAGCAGCTCAAGAACAGGTAAGGAGTTGTGGATGGTTGAATTTGAAACCGTATTTTCTTTTCTTTTCTTGTGGATTCCTTGTTTACAGATTGTGGAGGCCTGCGAGGATGATGACGCTTGTAAGAATGAGCATCTTGCCTACAAGCTGGTTGAGGTGGAGACGATCCTGGACAATGAAGACTGCGACGCACAGGAGGCTGTCTAAAACAGCCCGCACGGGCTGTAAGCATGGCTATGGATACATGAGTATGGCCACAACAGTGATTATGGCCTGTAAGTGTAAGCATGGCTATGGATACATGATTATGGCCACAACAGTGATTATGGCCTGTAAGTATGGCTATGGATACATGATTATGGCCACAACAGTGATTATGGCCTGTAATTGTAAGCATGGCTATGGATACATGATTATGGCCACAACAGTGATTATGGCCTGTAAGCATGGCTATGGATACATGATTATGGCCACAACAGTGATTAAGGCCTGTAAGCATGGCTATAGATACATGATTATGGCCACAACAGTGAAAATGGCCTGAAAGCATGGCTATGGTTACATGATTATGGCCACAACAGTGATTATGGCCTGTAAGTGTAAGCATGGCTATGGATACATGATTATGCCCACAACAGTGATTATGGCCTGTAAGCATGGCTATGGATACATGATTATGGCCACAACAGTGATTATGGCCTGTAAGCATGGCTATGGATACATGATTAGGGCCACAACAGTGATTATGGCCTGTAAGCATGGCTATGGATACATGATTATGGCCACAACAGTGATTATGGCCTGTAAGTATGGCTATGGATACATGATTATGGCCACAAACAGTGATTATGGCCTGTAAGCATGGCTATGGTTACATGATTATGGCCTCAACAGTAATTTAGAGCTGAGATATGTACTTTTCATTACCCAGCATTTTTTTTTCTACAGGTGTGACTTTACACAGAAACTTTATAATTGATTTTTTTTAATCAGCATTAGATTAATCCATGTGATATATATTTCAGATCTGGTCTTTGTACAGCAGATAACCAAATCAGAAAACAAAAAGCGTTCAGTTTTGCTTCTTGGCTGAGAATGTGTTTGTGATGACGACAGTGTGAAGAATCATGTCTAAATAACTGCATCAGTACACAGATATATAACTTACACGGGAACATACATGTACAAATTACTGAGCCTATATTTGAAAACTCGCATACATGTATCAATTTATTCAGAAGAAACTGCAGTAAATTGATATGTAAGGGAACAAACAGTGACAGTTTCTCCTTTGTGTATTTTGGGTAAATTAAAGTTGATTTTTTTTAGCGACTTTGAATTCCAGCAATAAGGAGGGACAAGAAAGAAGAAAAAAACGAAAATCTGCTGAACTGATAAAATATAAAACAAATAAATGCCTTCAGGTTTTTGGGGAAAATGCAAGATTTGGGGTGCATATTTTAGGGTATTGCAAGTATAATCAAATGACATGTAATTTTGAAATGCTGGAATATGTGAAGCTGGGTTTCACAGCAGTTTTTTTTAACCTTGCATGAAATGCAACAAAAAGCTTTTTAAAGTAGGTTTTCAAAGTGAATAAACATGTCTTCTGCCAAATTTTACACAAGGAATGCATGCCAACTTGCGGAAATGTAAGTCAAATAATGTATAATGTGATTTTTTTAATTTATGCCAATGCTTTTTGTAATCATGGATCTGAAATTGTTTTAATCAGTTCTGTACTAGCATTTTAAATATCTTGATAATAAATGCAAAATATTGGTGGAGATTTTGTATATAATATGTCAATGTAGTTTTACAAAGCGGACATGGGGGATACAGTTTTAAAGTGGACTTTTTCAGTAATTAAAACGAAATGACTTTTGTATCTTAACTATCATGTACAAAGTAATGGCTTCCTGTACTGCTGTAAAACAGTTTATAGATACTGTGATCAAGGGTATGCCACAAAATGACTGGTTTATTAAAATTGAAAAAGATGCATTCAGTATCCCTGAGTGAGTGCCAAAAAGTTGCCAAGTGTAGGTGAAAAAGACATTTGATGTCTGTTTGATAGAAAGCATGGCACTCCAAAATTTATTCAGACTTCTGCCAGTTAGTGTATTTTAACCCTGCGCAGCGTTTACAAAAAATGTTTATCAGAACTCGCCAATGGTATGCAAGACCCTATTCATGTCAAAACAACAAAAAGCCACGTGTCAGACAGTGTCCAGACAGTTGCCAGACAGTGCACTTAATTGACTGGCGGCTGTGGTTTGCGGCTATGAAGGGAGATGGCTGTGTCAAGTTACAGGTGTTTGTATATGTTTCAATGAGACTTGGCAGGAGGCCTGGTCGAAAGTTTGTTGACACGGCTTGGGTGTAGCCCTGGCTGCAAAGTTCATTGAACCAGCTGATTTGGCATGGGTTGAATGAGGATTAGATGGAAGGTGACCATCATTGGCCCTCAAATTTTTTTTTTTTTCAAAAAATTCAGTCACCTGCGTACCCATGGTACGGAGGTCACTCTACGCAGGGTTAAGACCTGATCGATAAAATAGCATAGTAGCACTTTAAAAAACCTATATATGTTGCATTGGCTTTGAAACAACCATTGCAGATAAAACCACTTATGAAAGCAACTGAAAGATGCTTCTTTACTGATCTTCCTGCCCATGATGTTTGTAATCAAAAGTTTCTAGCACAGAAATATATACTGCTACCTTGGTATTGGTTTGAAATTCATGTGTTGGAGAGCTAACTGTGTTAAATTGTGGACTTGTTTGTTTTTTTGGTCCTGAAAGGAAGTGAACTAATTAGGATTCCTAGGGTTCAATGAGCTTTGAAAAGGGTACAGAATGTCCATGGTCGTCCTGAGCACACACAACAAGAGAAATATATTTGTATATTTGTGATTATTTCAGAGGTTTTTAGGCTCCATATTTCTATAGTGAATTTGGGTTTAAAATGTGTAAATAAGAACAATTCATATGGACTTTAAATTTTGGTAATCAGGAGGAACAGAATAAAAACAAACCCCCAAAAATCAGTTGAGCTGGGAAAAAAATTACCTTAAAGTTTTTGAGAAAGGCAATACTGTTGAATTCATGTTGTTGTTTTTTTTTTTTTTGTATTTCAAGTACAATCACATCAAATGTAATTCTGAAATGCTACAAAATATGAAGCTGAACTTTGCAACAGTTTTGTTCTTAATCATTGCATGAAATGATAAAATGATAAAAACCTATTCAAGTAGATATTACAAAGGAAAAAAAAGATGTCTTTCCCAAATTTTAAACAATGATTATATGCGAACTTGTGGAATTTTAAGCCAAGTACTATACTACTTCCAATTTTTTTCTACGTGCCAATACTTTTCTTATCATGGATTTGAAATGTTTTATTCAGTACTTGTAAAATACCTTGATATTAAATGTAACATTTTGGTGGAGAATTTATATGTTCATAATCTGTTAATGTAGTTTCACAATTGATGATGCGTCTTTAAAGTAGAACTTTTCCATAATTTAAGCGGTGAAAATAGCTTGTATATCTTGCTTTTCATGTAATGGCTTCCCGTACTGCTTTACATAATATTTTATAGATACCATGATCATGAGTATGCCACAAAATGACTTTTTTTGGTTTATTAAAATTGAAAAAGAAAAAGATGTGTTAAGTATCCCTAACAAGTGCCAAAAAGTTGCCAAGTGTTGGTGAAATAAAAGACATTTGATGTCTTTTTGATAGGAAGCATGGCACTCCAAAACTTATTCATATTTCTGCCAGTTAAGCGTATTTTATGACATAATGAAAATAGCAACTTTTAAAACTTGAATAATATTTTGTGTAAAAGTAATCAGTAGCTTCTAGCACAGAATTATATTGCTGCCATCTTTTTAGCTTTTATGCTTGGTGGTAGGTTGGGTATTTGATTGAAATTTATGAGTGGGAAGGCAGAATGTGTTAAATTGTGGACTTTGTGTTTGTTTGGTTTTTAAACGGAGTGAACTACTCAGAATTCCCAGAGTAGAAATAATATTGAAAAGGCTACAAAATGTCTGTGGAGGTCTTCTTGAGAACACAAAGTAAGAGAAACATTTATATATTTTTGGATGATTTTATTGGCTTTTAGTGCTGCATATTTCTATATAAATATCGGATTTAAAGTGTATAAATAACAATTTATATTTACCCAGAAAAAAGTTTTGATTTTGTATAAGGTGCATTTTTGTTTTATATTAGCTTTTATGATTCCAGTATATATTTTTTTACAATCGAGATTGGATGTTGTGTATTATGCAGTAAACTTACTAATTTGGCATATTACTTGCTTAAAAGCAAATATTTAAAGTGACTTCCTTATAATGATTTGATTCGTTTAAAAAAACATTCTAGAGAATGTTGCACTGACAAGCTTGTTTATTAATACGCTTACATATATTTGCTTAGGGCTGTAAGATGTAGTATGCAATTTGATCAAGACTTTCTTTCATAAAGATAAGCACAATTTCCTTTTGTTAGGTGTGGCATGCCATATATTAATTATGGTAATTTTTGCATTTACATGAATACTGTTGAATGGTAATGAGAAGTAAATGATTACATTAAAGGCGCATTTTTTTCTTCAGTTCAAACAACAAATTGCTCAAAGTAGGCAGCATAACAACTAAGCTGTGGGATTTTGACTCGGTGGCTATTATAGATTTTGAGAATTCAAAGCAAACCTATGCACAATTTTTGACGTCTCGTAACCGGACTCTGTTACTAACCACGTAAAGAAGTGTGCCTGCCAGCACACTTTTTTAAACTACCTTTAATTATAGTTTTTTTTTTTCGATGGAAACCATTTCTTGTGAAATAACTTCACAAGTATTTGTCGACACCCCTATCCTCACTTAAAGCAAGGTTTTTCTCATTAAATCGGTCGGTGCGTTTCCGCTTATTTCCCAATGTTTGGAAATCAATAATGATTTTTTTTCAAAGCTTGATGATATTACAAATAAAACATTTTATTTTTTTGTATGAACTTGGATTACTTGGAAAATATGTATATTTTTGATTTTTTTTTCAAAGCTTGATGACATTACAAATAAAACATTTTATTTTTGGTATGAACTTAGATTACTTGGAAAGTATGTATATTTCAGATTTTTAATTTTCATATATTCATTTTGCTTTATGTTACACAGTCATGACTGTTTACAAAAATGAATGTTTGAGTGCAATGGTAAGAATAATGCGATGAGGTGACCGATTCCATCTATCACTGAGTGAAATTATTCTTTCCATTGCACCAAGGCGAGACATTCATTATTTGTTTTATACAACGCTTGAATAAATCCTCATCATCTGATTGGTTGTAGTTTGACCGTGCACTGGAGCTTTTAACGAATAGTTCAATGACACGTGGTCGACAACCTACCTACAAAATGACGGGAAATTATTCAGGCTTTGTATAATTAACTATATTTTGTACTCGGAATGCAGCAATTTGTATGTGCTTGATTTGCCAACACCAATACACAGGGCATTTCATAAATAAAAGCTCGGGAAATGTGGGAGAAAATGTCTGTCAGTTGTTTGATCATTTTTGTCTTTGCCGAACTCCTAAATGGACTCCAAGAACAATATTATCCTTGAAAACATGTCCTGTTTTCAAACTACATTTGTTAACTGTTTCCAGTTTTGTTTTTGTCCCCCTTCCACACAAATCAGACTGTTTTATGTATGTTTACCCCTAGTCTAAAAATTTGGGACTCTCGATATTGTGTATGAGCGTCAAAAACCTAAGGTATTGAAAACATGCAATACAACAAAATAGATTGGCACCTGAATGCAACCAGTCCAACACCCCTTTAGTACTTCATCAATCATCAATTGTGTCAATGTCTGGCACAGGTCTCTATTTCTACACATTTCTCCCTAGTCGGCCACCAGACTAATGAAGAGGTCAGTCTTTTCAAACAGTTGGACCATGGTTGGACATGTACCAGTCTAGTCTTTGGCCTTGAAATAATATCACTTGACTTCCCTCTCGGGTGCAAAATATTGATGAAAGGACTCCTTTCAAAATTGAATTGAGACTTCAAACTTGGTGAAACACTGAAGACCTTGTCTGCCTCAAGCATGTCAAGGAAAAATTGGACAATTTTGTTAGCCAAAGTGAGTAAAGTTGGCCTGATTTTGTTTTGCTTGTTTGTCAGCACTCAAGGTCCCAGTCTGGGTTACCCCTACCATTAATGAACAAAGTATGAAGTCAGGGCATTAGACCAGAATGAAAATAATAAAAAAAAAAACAATCACAGTATTTACAACGAATAAAAGTTCTTTATTTCACATTTCATACATTATAAAAATGTGTTTTCAAAGGGCTGAGAATAACCGAACAAGTTAACTCTTTCTTGGTGTGATCCTGGGATGTTTCTCCAAATCACACTACTGAAAATAAGGTTCACTTCAAAATGTGGTTCCTATCTTCACAAACAGTATTTACAAGTTTCAGAGATGACTGATGTCAACTTATTTGTCCTCAAACCGCCAAAACTGCACCAGCACTTAAATGTAAATATTCATGGGAGAATACATTATTTGTACATTGTTATACACTGTAGTACAGGGGCTAACAGGGTATGTACAGTACATGAATGTATTTGTTAATGTTTCAATCCTATCAGTCCAATGAATATCAAACAAGCTTGAAATGATCTCAGAAGCAGCGGGCCAATGAGTTTGTGTTCCAGTACATGCCCTGTGATTGTGCTATGTAATTTCACAATGCAAATTTAGTGACCTTGATAATGCAACTCTGTTTTGCCTCACTTGAGACCCATAAAGTGACACAGGGTCCAGGCAGGAGTTGGCCACGGTGATGTATAGTGCACAGGTGTGCGGTCCAACGTCTGTTATGAAGGACTTGTAGGACAACTTGTAGAGAGCTGCTCTCCGCAGCTACAAAATGATTGTACATGCCATGCTCTCTTCAAAGGCCCAACAGAAAAGTTACACAGGCTTTTGAGCTAACGCATGCTGGTGCTGTGCTGGGTCATTTTGCACCTATGTTTCTGCGATGAGAATGGTTCAATAATGTATCTTGAAATTTCCAGCTTTCTAAGCTCATGACATGGGGAGATTCGCTGGGAAAGATGGAAATACTGACCATACTTAGAATGCAGATCAGGTGATGGTCACATTTTTTTTGCAGATATTTTCCATTTCCGTTAAAATTAAAAGCAAAAACTCACCTACATCACAGCCTTGATCCTTTACGCAGCAAAGGATCCTCTCAAAATGACAATACGATCAAGCTGAACCCGAAAAAAAAGAGGTTTTTTTTAGTGCACGAAATCTTTTTCGTCGCGTCATCTGATTTGTGTAAGATGGTATAGCGCCATGCCACTACACAGTGCTATACCATCTTTGGCCAGCAAGTTGCCAGACTAGATTAAAACGCCACATTCAGGCATCGACTATTTGTCAACCACTGATTGGTTTTACCCAGTAATCTCCCGGTCATGAGTCTAGAAAACTGGAAATTTCAAGCTACCAATAATGATATTTTGAGTGTTAAGCGGTACCAGTGAAAGCTGCCTTAAGTAGGGACAGGCGTATGGAGGATTTTTAAATCAGAGACATTTAAAACTGGTAGTCAGATTCCGTCACCAAAAACTTCTTAAAAATTATTTTGGAGTTATTTATTTGGTCTCCACCCAAGTTGTAGTGAAGTCTGTCACAAGTCGAATCACAACTCAAACACAAAGTCAGGTCACATGAAACAGAAGATAGCAATGCCCATGTGGGCAATTCCACGGTTACTCACGTTACATTTTAATAACGTGAGTGACAGATTTTGGGCGTCTTGTTTATCAAACATAACACATTTTTCTGGATGTCATCTTTGGTGCTTAGGTAGGTCTAGGTCTACTCTATCTACCATGGGGATAACAGTTATTAAACCTTTTCAGTAAGGTAATTACAGCCCAAGGAAACTCAAAAGTACATCAAAAATGTAACGTGAGTAACCGTGGAATTGCCCATGTCACAGTTCATTTGAATAGCTTGTTTCGTTTTTCTTTGTCGGCGCAACCTTGAATGGCCTTCTGGTGGCAATTTTTATATAAAACTTTACTTTACATTTGTGACTTGTGGTTGAGTTGTGAAGACTCAACTAAAACCCTGGAAACCACAACCACCGAACCAGGGTGCAACAGCCAAATGTTGCCAACGTTAACACTCAGATCAATGTTGGGAAAGTTTGGGCGAGAGGCAGGCATCTCAGTTAGCGAGGACCAGCAGATTGATACCCACTGAATACCATGGCATCCATATGAACGCTCACGCTGCTTGTCGTCATGATGTTCTCTCCTTCTTGACCTCCCCGTTGGTGCTGTAAGGAAAATATAAGCTCAGTTCAATCTCATTGACATTTGATGGAAGTGTGCTTTAGAATGATGCTGCTTGACGTTGGTTGCATTGCCGGTTAGGAAAAAAAAAAAATCTGCTTCGGGTTAAATGCCTCTCAAAAATAGGGTCGGTCAGTCAAAATGTTGTTTTTTTTGTGCTGATTGAATGTGGTATTCAATTCTATGCGAATTTCAGCCTGAACAATTTCCATTGCACTACGAAAGCTATGCAAAAAAAATGGCCACAAAAAGTGATTAAAACTTACCTTAATTATTGTCAAAATATTTAAGGTCAATTATTCTTAAAAATAATGGAAAATTCAGGTTGTGTACGATGTTAGTCATGACGGGAAACTGGCCGACACTGTCCGTACATCGCGCGTATAAGCCCGCGTGATGCACTGTGTGTAGCAGGCGAAAACCTTGTTTTTACGGTAGGAAATTTCAGGGAAACACACTGCATCTTTTCACTCCAAATACGAGTGGTACGACCTCGAAATAAATTCAAGAACACAGGTAAAACATACACAGACAAGAGCGATCAAGTTTTGTGAATAAACTTGCAAAAATGTTCTTTTTCCATCCGTGTTTTCTTGGCATTTTTACAATGCATGTCTAATCCGACCAGCTGCATCGCAAGGCCATGCCCATGCATAGACTGGTTACCGCATTTCCTTCATGCCTTTTAGTGCGCGGCACAGCGGGAACCAGTCATCGCTAGCGCTGCATACAGCATTATAACACCATGGTCACTATAACACACGTTTTTAACACCATGGTCATTATAACACACGTTTTTAACACCATGGTCATTATAACACACGTTTTTAACTCCATGGTCACTATAACACACGTTTTTCATATCGTCACTGCGACATCAAGTTTAACGTAGTTTAACTTGTTAAAACAACAGAGGTTTCTTCTAAAAAAAATATAGCAAATATAAGTAGGCAAACAAATAAATACAAGCTTTTTTGACGCAAAAGGGTTATTGAGAGGTGTTTTGTGAAGACAGAAAAGACATAATTTTTTTTTGTTATGCGTTTATTCATTTATTGTTTTTGTTGTTGTTTTTTTTACTTGCCGATACTTTTTTTAGGGTCGCAGCCTAAAAATAGGGTCGGTCGGGTAACCGGAAGCAGAACTATTTTTTGTTTGGCCTGACCAGCAGTGTGACCAACTCAGGCTGGTCACAATGACTAGACTAGTTGAACCACTGTGCATTTGATAAAAAAAATTCAAATATGATTGACAACAGTTCTTGACTGAACTTGCTCATGTTGATTCAAGGATGTCTGGTACCTCACCTCTCTTTCTCCTCTCTCATTAGGTTTGGGTACAGCTCAGCTACTTTGCCGGTTGCCTCCTGTCTGCCAGCAAACTCCACGTGTCTCTTGGAGTGGATGGAATTGATTCTATTGCTCCACAGTGTCAGCAGAGACTGGGGCCCAGCTGTGAATTAGCAAACGGAATGTTTCATTAGACACATCTACATGTTATTATTATTATTATTATTATTATTAATCATTTCTGGTAATGAAACCAAGGATTCCTAAAAAGCGCCCTAAGCACTGTAGCTTGCAAGCCTGAAGAAACCTGTGGAGAGAACACAATGAGAAGAAAATACAGTTTTAGAGGTGGGAGGAAAAGCCCAGAGGAATATTCTGGGGAAAACCCACGGAATCAGGTAGGGAAAAACCCAATCCACATGTTGGCCCAGGCGGGATTCGAACCCGGGTCACAGCGGTGGAAGGCGAGGAAAGTACCGCTACGCCAACCTGACTCCCCCAAAAAACATGTACGTGTGACACTGGTTACTTGCCATCAAACTTAACACATATTTCAGAGATGTCATTGGATATGTAAGCAAAGCTCTGGAAAAAAAGGTGTATTAAAGTCTTATTTTGTTCTCTCTTTGTTTGTGTGGTGCTTATATAGCGCTTTATACCAAGGGTCTCAAAGCGCCTCACAATATTACCCCTGTTCATCAGGCCATGGGACCAGTTTTTGCAACAGCTTGCGATCGGCACATTCTGGTCTCTACCTTCACAGGTACCCATTTATACTCCTGGGTGGAGAGAGGCAATTGTAGTAAAGTGTCTTGCCCAAGAACACAAGCACCATGTTCCCTGTCAGGGTTCGAACCCACGTACATGTACCACAGCACGAGTCATACACTGTAACCATTGGACCACAGGGCTTCACGTGTCACTCTTTGCACAGATACATGTAAACACATTTTCAGTCCCTAGTATGACAGGTCTCATGCCTGGTAACTGAGCACACTGGCACAGCAACAGGATTGCTCAACAGTAAAGATGGCAGCCATGTCACCACATGATGGTGGTTTCCTTCATTGGTTTTGTGTTTTTTTGTCAACAAGTGGAACTGCTTGTATAACTTTCATTACTAGTGGACTCAAACACATCACCACTGCTAAGCAGCAAGACATAAAAATGTAATAACCAATAGCGAACATCTCTGGTTCTGTGCACTCCAGGCCCAGTTTATCCAATAGGCACAGTAGGCACTGAGCCTAGAGCCTATGAAAAATTTGGGAGCCTACGAAAATACCGCAGTTTGCCATAAAATACACGTACCCACATGCACACACAAGAAAAATTTCTGAAAGTTTTAGCGGCTATCTCTGAATTTTAGATTTCACCAACTAAGGCCGATGTAGCTGCATGTGCGTATACAATTTAGGTGTAAAGATCGTCCACACGGTGCCAACAGGCTTTTAGCTTTGTGGCCTGGCTTGCTTAGCATCAACATGACAGAAGCCTCCAGCGCTTACCAGCGCTATGAAATAGGGGCTGGTGCCTAGTGCAGAGTAGGGCCTACGGAATGGTGCCTAGGGCCCACGGAACATTTAATCCGGCCCTGGTGCACTCATTCAGTACAAAAGTGGTTGATTATGTATGGGGCATAATCTATCATGAGGAATATGAAACATATTTCAACAGAGAATATAGTAAGAATTTTAGGAAAAGTGCCAGTCTAGGCAAAGCAGGGAAATCATTAGCTTCCATTTTTATGTCTTTTCCTCTGGATCTCCCCATCCCAAGTCAGATTGTGGAAACAGATGACCCAAGGAGCACTCTGCCCCTGAATCAACCCCTAACGCCAGGGTGAAGTTCCTGTTTACCTTTAGGTTTACCGATGACGTCCCCTGCAAACATCTTCTGTTTCTTGAGGGGTGGTTGGTCGGACGCACCTCTGACGTTCTCCTTGGGAATGCCTGGCTTGATGTCTGCTCCACTGATCCTAGTAATAAAAACAAATAAATTAAATACTAAATCTGACCAACCAATCAAGCTTGACTTACATTGACCCTTGTACTTTCCCGGCCAGTATTAAAGCTGGATGTGACAATCCTCCAAGCATTGAGGGATGTAAATCACGATCAGTAAAGGTCTCCAAATGAAGTGATATGAAAGTGTTTATATTCTTGTCAGCTCACCTGAGCAATATGTGGGGGTTAATGCTAGCCCGAAAAAATTTGGGACTCTCAATACTGTGTATGAGAGTCCCAAAACTTAAGGTATCCATATCGTGCAAAAGTTTGTGCTGCATAATAAAACCAGTGTGAATCAAATGTGCAAGCTTCTAACTCACTACAGTTTCTTCAATAATCCCCCAAACTTCTGTCTTGCAAAGTTGCTGTTGTGAGCATTGTATCACCAAAAATTCAGCTTTTAATTCTAATTTTGCAGAGAGTTATCAAAATCCAAACGTGAGACATCACGTTGATATGTACTGCAATGCATTGTGCAAAAAGACTCCTCAGCTATAACATTTTCATCGTGTAGATAAAACAGCGCCCTCTTGGTGATCTGAGTGAATGCAAAATGTTTCATTTTTTTAACAGAGGGCGCTATGTTCATTTGGCCATTGATTAAAAAACAAGTAAGCTGCAAGGCTCTTCCTACACCTACCCAGAATACATTGGGAATCACACACATATTTCCAGAGCATGGAGAATGACGTGGGTGGTTTTTGAACTGCCAAAAACTTGCCTTAAAATTGGATTTAAGGTCTCAAATTTCGCAGGTGACATGCTTGCAACTTAAGCATTTTGATGTATGTGTTGTGTGGGCATTAATTAGCTAAATGGTGAGTAAAAAAACGTCAGTAGTAATTTTGCACGTTTTTATGCACTCAAGGTCCCAGTCTGGGTCAATGCCTGCTCATCCTATTGTAATATCCATGGAAAAAAATTATCAATATTCTCTGGCAAAATATATTGAAATTGTTTCTGCCAGAGCTAGGATTACAAAATCAACTCAGTATTGTTACAGAACAATGTGACTAGATTCCTATTCATGAAGGTCTGTAGCCAAATACCTAACCTAAATCTAGGGGTGGAACAGCCGGCCAGCTTAACCAATTGCAAAATGTTCACATGGTCAACATGAAAGTACGACACCCTGATTGTGATTTATGACAAAGTAATTATCATTATCAATTATAATTACTGCCAGATTAAATGAAATTCACATTCTTGTGCCTTTCTATCGATACATTTGTCGTCGAAAATAAAGTGTTCATTGACTTTTCAGTACAAATAAATCTATATATTCCTATATAGGCATGGACTTAATACCTCCATGCTGTTTCATCATTTTACAAGCAGCAATTGTCTTGAAATTTGCTTTTTTATCTTGGCATAAAATTTCTCGGTTTTTTTTCTGTTCTATTATCACATTTTCACTCTTTGGAAACTAAAGTTGCTTTAATATACAACATAACATAATCTGAAGGCAAAGTCATTTTAATTCCTTACCTCTCACTTTCTGGCCACGCAGGCTGTGTCTCAATGGCTTCTACCTCTGACCTTTCAACTTTGACATTGGCTTTCTCTGCTGCCCTCTTTGTTGCCATCTTGCCAGCTTCGTCCCCCGGTGGTTTGCGACAGTCCAGCAAGCACTGTAGGATTTTCTCGTGGGCCGGTGATGTGTTGCTGTGAGCTCGAACCAACACTTCCAGCTCCGACCACATTTGTCTATAATGTTCATCTCTGACAAAAAAAAAATTCTAGTTTTTTAACTCTTTTACCCTTGGCAGAAAATAAAAATTCAGCCTTGCAATGGACCTTCAGGTTGAGCTATTTCATGTCTTCCTTTTTGAAAAATGAGAAGTGAAATTACAAACCATTATTTCTTAGAAAAGCTCAAAAATAAGTGAATATATTCTTAAAGATTATAGAGCCTTTTGTAAAACTGTTAATGCTTGTTTTAAATCTCAAAAATTATATTAGGTGAAATTAAAAGCTGTTGGCACATTCTATTCAAAAAGATCTCAATTCCTGACTGCTATTGTTAAGTTTGATGATCAAATTTAATTTGGGTATTTTAAATCTTATTCATAAATACCTCAGACAGTTTAGCTATTCCTATTGGTCGAGAGCCCGTCACGTGGCCGGTCTTAAACGGATGATAAAGACATGGCTAGCTGGTCTTAAACACTTTTCCAGTGTCACAATAAAATGTGGACTCCTAAAAATCCAGTGCCTCTTACCGTTTCATTGGTTGAACGTTCACAATCCTCACGTAGGCATGCGCAACACTATGAGCGAGTCAGAATTTTATAGTTCTAAATTCAAAACGCAACGCCCCAGGTGCGTTCTGCGTGACATCGCGCAGAACATGTTACGCGCGCGTCAATCTCCATAAAAGGGTTGTTTACATCTTACTCGCCAGCTGAACACTCCATTATTTTGCTAGAGGGATGTTTCAAAAAGCATGAAGTGAACTTGTTGAACAAAATCGGGATTTTTTTTAACGAATTATTTGATATTTTTTTACGGATAAGGTATTTATGAATGGGAATAAATATGTGCTCGGTCGGTATTTATCACTCTGTTTAATACCGCTTAGAGTCTGGGTGCTGATAATTACCCTCGCCTCCGGCTCGGGTAATTATCAGCACCCAGACTCTAAGCGGTATTAAACGAGTGATAAAAACCTCCGGAGCACACATTTATTCCCTTAATAAAAAATTACAGCAAGATTTCGTCATTTTTAAAATCGTATAATATCTAATAATAATTTATTGAATTTTTCTGTGCTCCCTCCAGGGCACATTATTTTGTGCTCCCTCCTTAAGGGGAAAATTATATTCAAATTCCTAATTAAAAATGATACAAGTATACAATTTACCCTAATTTAAATCAAAAACACCAACAAGGATTAAAATAACATCAAAATTAAGATACCTGCAAATTAAAAAAAAAATATTTAACGAAGGTTACCCTTACAGGTTTTCACATGAAGGATCAAAAATTTCAGACATACACACCCACAAAAATCTTGCATGATTTAAAATTCATACTACAAAGTTTTATACGATATAAGTCATTACTATATTTTTTGTTAACGTTTTTGATGTCTAAATGTTTCAGGGTTTTCTTTACAAAATATAATAATTACTTTATATTTACTTTTTTATTTTATTTTTAGTTTTATTTCTAACTATGTGTGCGAATTGTGTTTTATTGTAGATTTTCGTCGTAAATTAATTACTATTAATCCGTTCGCTTCTGGCGCTTGCACTGTTGGATCTTGTCTGAAATAAATAAATAAACTACTCATAGTCATCTCACCTTTTCGGGCCCTTGCCTCGTGATCCCATGGTGGGTACCGGGAGCGGCTCATTCCTCGTTTCCATGCCAACCACGTGATACATTGCCTTCTTGCATTCTAAAACCTCGTCCTCCGTTAGGACCAGTTTTGTGATGAGCGTGGGTAAGGGGTCCAAATGCTGCAAGAAGAACGGTCAAAACACCAAATATATATCAATCTCGTTCCCCATGGGTACGATCTTGCTGCGCCATGTTGGTTCCCATCATGCCTTGCGCGATCTTAACCCCTGGTATTTTGTAATTTAAATATCCCACTATTTGGGAGATTTAAATTAGGACTGTAGTCGGTCTGTTAATGCCCAACACAATACTTTAATTTTGAAGTTTTCATATTTTTGTAGACTCAGTCCTTTCACACCCGGTTCATACTTCACACAAAAGCTTGTGCGAAGCGAAATCCTGCCCTCAACAATGGTGGATGCACTTCGAATGTATTGTTGACATCACCAATTTCGCTTTGCTTTCGCGTGAAGTATGAACCGGGCTTTAACCCTAACCCCCTAGGCCCTTGTTGCTTACAACCATCCTCAATCTTCCAAAATCCTCCAAATTTTTTCAACTCCACCTAAATTTTTCAAAATTGTCAGACAGTCCTGCCTCAAAATGCATTCATCCTCAATCCTCCAAAATCCTCCTCATCCCAAAACTTTGCACTCATGTTTAAATGAAGGATAACCAACGCCAAATCCATCAAAATCATCAGACAGTCCTGCCTCAAAATGCATTCATCCTTAATCCTCTTGTGCTTCATTCACCATTCATCCTCAATCCTCCAAATTCCTCATGTGCGTCAATCACCATTCATCCTCAATCCTCCAGAATCCTCATTTGATTCAATCACTATTCATCCTCAATCCTCTAGAATCCTCCAAAACCGCCAGGAGGATTTTGGAGGAGTGAGGTGGGTTAGGGTTAAAGATGAGATTTCGACATTGCGTTATAGAGCAAGGATTTATGTTAAAAGAGCGTACCTCTCTCGTCCCTTTACAACACAAAATAACAGTTTTTTTGGCGAAAAAAATGAGGCTTCCAGAATCCATATCGTACAGGCATCACGCAGTCTTGAAAAAATTGTTCGTATGTGACGTGACGTGCAAACTTAACGGGAGCGCATACAGGGATTTGAAGCACGCACACAGTACACCCTGAATACTCGATCAGCGTCGTTTTCGTATTCGACACGGCCAGTGGTTAGTGACGGAACGCCCACGCAGACATGGAGTCGTGGGTGGGTTATATATCCCTTGTGTACTGTGATCACAACTTTCTTTATGTAAAAAAATGTATACTATAGGAAACACGGGGAAGTGGATACACTGTATATTAGGCCAAAAAAAATAAGTCTCCGGTTTCTGGTATGTAGCTTGCCCAAAAAGTGGTGCGGCGACGCGGCTTTATTTTTTTTTACCTGATTTTTTTGCTTCAAATGTCGGCTGATGACTGCAAATGGTGCCCGACTAAACTTAGTGCAAATATATGGGAGTCCAGAGAGGCCACATAAAGCTTATTCTCGATCATAACCCCATCTAAAAACACGTTAAAATTGTGCAGCAGCAGGATTCCAGTCAAACCAGTGAGTTTGGCGGTTTTGAGACATCATCTTTCATTGAAAAAAAAACTTTTTCATTTTGCCGACGCGCATGGCTACGGCGACGCGTGCGCATACCAGAAACCGGAGACTTTTTTTGTTTGGCCTTAATTGGTATCTGTTTTGAAGGATATTTACCTGTACGATCCCATTACAAACCTTGAACTTCCAATACGTCCTAATCACATCATCTTAAAGCCTGGTTCATACTCCACGCGAATGCGAATGCGAAGCGAATTCAACGTCATGAAACATTCGCTGCAAAATTTGCCCGAGTTGAAATATGTTCAACTTTTACGAATTCGCTGCGCGAAAAATTGCTTTCGCGCCGAGCATGAACCGGGCTTAACTGTTACATTAAGTCACATCACAGTGAGCAATATGTGATACGTGGATACATGTTCACTTTTGGCGCGCTGTGCAGACAAGGGCTGAATGCCACTGAAAATGTGACGTTACAAAATTCCGTCATTAGTGTGTCGTTCAAAAAAATCCTGCAATTGGAATATGGTATCCATCTGCAGCTTTTCTGGTCATGTCCGCACTGGCCTTTTTAGCCAATATGGTCACTAAATGGTTCAAGAGATCGTTCCTTACCGATGGCATGTTGAAGATGATTGTATCGCCGATGACCATGGGCCAGTGTCTTGTCATGCGCTCCAGCTGGGCCTTAGCTGCAGGGAAATACACAGAAAAGATTTCATTGCAGACACTGACGTTTGGTGCAGTGATCGTGTGTTGTACTTAAAAATTCAAAACACCAAAAAAAAGGAGTGGAAGAAAAGAAATTGTAGTTTATTTGATAAGAAAAAGTATATAAATAGTGTAAAGAACACACATTATTCATTCTTTCTTTGCGCGAAATGGCCATTCTCAGGAATGGATCTCTGTTTGAGATCAACATAAATCTGTTGTTCGCTCTTTGTCTTGCTTTCTCCCAGTAATGATGCGTGAACTTTGCATGTTAGTGAGATCAATAAGACCTCTGTGGAAGACATTCATCCCAGCGCATAGTACCCACTGAAATTTGACAAGCTAGGAGAAAATTGCCTGTTCTCATATGAGATTTGAGGTCAGGTGTGTCTTAAAGCAGTCTATGCGTGTTAGATAGTGTGTGGTAATGGAAGAGCACTGTTTGGAGGAAGCACTTTTTCCAGGCATGCAAGGACTGACTGAATCTTCATGAGAACTATAATGACACTTGTAGAGCAAATTTTTGTTGACATGCATGCTGTTATCGACAGATTTTATTTCACGTGATTTGAACAGGATAAACAAAAATTGAGCAGTTCCTCTAGCATTGCAATAAAAGTGAGCACTGTGACCCGTAACCATGCTTGTTTGTGAATCACTACTCTAACCAAGCTTAGTAAAGACCGCTTATTGCAATGGGCTATTAAAGTTTGGCGTCTTATGCAAGACTGTTTAAGAGCAACAGCCAGCTAAAATCAGACTGGTTAAGCCGGCTGGCTAAGACTGCGGCACTGCGATCTGCCCCTAGTCTTCAGGTTAGGTCTTTGGCTACAACCCATCATGAATTGACATCTAGTCACACACGTTAATTTTCACAGGCAACTTGGAAGCAATCAAATGTACTGCATACTACAGTAAGGAATCCACGGGAACAACAAAGGCCATATTGCAAATGGTTTAGAGAAACTCTGAAGAAACATTCAAAGGGAAAATGCCAGGAAAAAGTTTCCTGTCAATGCTTCAGGACCAAATCTGCTGAAATCCACCACAAGACCACCACCACCATAGGTGTGTTCTGATGGACTTGGTACTTATGGCTTGCCTACCAAAATCCTCCAAGTGGGGAATGGATTTTAATGGATTTGGGAAGGTTAGGGTTAACCCTCATGCTATTTAAACAGTCACAGACAGTCAAAATGTCAATCCACTTCCCCTGCTATACTTTTAACACAGGTTACAGTCAGATCATATGTCAAGCAAGCACTGTGACTAGTCAAACTCAGTCAACAGACCATGAACAGACAAAGCAGGAAAGTTGTGGTCACAGCTGGCTTATCTATTACCCACAGCCAACAGAAATCTGAACAAAGTTACATAAACGATCACAGCCAGTCAATCTGCTTTATGTAGGCTGGGAATTTTTAACTGTTGAAAACAGTCACTTGATTGATTTTGACTGAAAGGACCACTTGGCACAGAATGTATGTTTGCATAGGAGGGTCAATGCCTCGATCTGCCTGTTGTGCAGAGGGATCCGTTTGGGACTTCAGTGACGATACACACCTCTTTCGATGGGTGGTTCCTCCTCCGTCTCTGGCGTGGGTTGGCACGGTGCCAGCCGATTTTCCTTCATAAACTCCCCAAAGTCGGTGATCCGATAGTCGGTGACCCTCCCCCCGCACCCTTCACTGATAGATGGTGGATCCTCCAGGCTAGACCTAGCCGTCGTCAGGCAGTGTAGGAAGATCTCCCCACCGTGGCTGGCCAGCATGTGGGAGATGACCTTGGTGCCTGACTTGCGGGGTTGTTCCAACATCACCTGACGTCCGTTGAGTAGGAAGTTGGTTAGGCAGACAGACGGCCGGCTGTTCACCTGATACGATGGCAATGAAAATTAATATATTTATAAAGTGCACAATCGTTATTATTGTAATAAATTTATAGCCCCGCCCATTCTGAAGAGATGTCATATTTGCATATTAATTACTTCCTTGGAGTTCAGATTTGGACATGATACACTCAACATTAAAATCCCCCCCCCCAAAAAAAAATTTACCTTTCGAAATCAACATTTCTGTGAATGAACCCTGAAACTTCAGATATAAAAGATGTCATTAATGACACAAAAAAACATGTTTTGCCGAAATTTCCACCCTCTCAACATTGAGAGGGCCATTACCCAATAATGCACAGGGCAACTTTAGGCCCCCCCAAAAAAGTCTCCGGTTTTTGGTATGCGCGTGCGTTGCCGTAGCCATGCGCGTCGGCAAAATGAACAAGTTTTTTTTCAATGAAAGATGATGTTTCAAAACCGCCAAACTCACTGGTTTGTCTGGAATTCTGCTGCTGCACAATTTTAACGTGTTTTTAGATGGGGTTATGATCGAGAATAAGCTTAAATTAGCCTCTCTGAACTCCCATATATTTGCACTAAGTTTGGTCGGGCACCATTTGCAGTCATCAGTCGACATTTGAAGCCAAAAAGTCAGGTAAAAAAAAAAAAAGCCGCGTCGCCGCACCACTTTTTGGACAAGCTCCATACCAGAAACCGGAGACTTTTTTTTGGCCTTAATACCCTTTTTTTGTACAGTAGGTCACAAATATATTTGAGAAATGTGAAAACGTTAAACTCACGCCAACTGGTGAAACTCTGTAGGCGCCCATGCAGTGGAGTAACTCTGGGTAAACAGAGAAAAAGGAGCGCAGAGAGGAAAACTGTTCAATTCTTGTTAACTTGTAAGTAAAAAGTTTTAACCAAAATAAGACATGTTGGATTAAACGGGGGATTAGTTCAATATTCGTGCCATTCCCTGAGAATTAACCCTAAAAGGGCCGGGGGGGGGGGGGGGAAGCCCTCGTTTTTTTCCGTGATAGCCTTGAAAAAATATTTTTATTTAATTATTGTTGAAAAGCATACTTGGTTGAAAGATAGTAATGGGACTAAACTCCCTGTGAAATTATTCTTTCTGGCATGCTGTCATTTTGAAGAAATCAATGAAAGAACGTGTCTCGGATGCTGAATTCACGCCCAATTCAAAACATGACTCTAGTGATTTGAAATCGAAATCCTAGAATATTATTTTCTAGGAATCACTGAGCTGAAACTTTATCAGGTTAGTTGTTCAGCACCCCTTCTTGAGATTTTGAGCACTTTTGTTGCTTCAGAGAAACATAATGCACAAATGAATGGACACTACCTTTAAATGTTTGCCATATCCTTTTCTGGGACATGAGTTACCAATAAAAACCTATTGTCAAACCAACAGAAATTTATTTTGTTGGCTTTGAGTAACTTCATCTCAAGGTGTCTTCTCTGAAAAAAATCCACCATCAATGCTTTGACTTTAAAGAATAAAAGCACAGAGCTGACAGGAGACGCCTTCCAAATGTAACGTGAGTTACCACGGATTGCCCATTGGGTTTTGCCCTTCATTGCTTTTTGTAAACACAGTGGGCTCAGTTTTTTTACAAAACACTTAGTATCTGGTGATTTAACCTCACCTACAGAGCTGGACCTAGGCTGGCACCATTTCAGCAGGATGGTATTACTCTCGGGTGACTTGGTGACGGTAGCCACGGGTCCCTTGGTGGATATGACCATTGTGTTGGAGGGTTCCGGCTCGGGTTGGTTGTTCATGATGGCCTCTAGTTTCCGCAGCTCGGAGTGCGCTTCCTTCAGGTGCAGCAGCTCCACGTCATAGTTGGCCGAACTCATGGCATTCTGCTCCTCCTGGAATGGGAACAGCCAAACACAATGATCAAATATTCAGGGGGGGGGGGAGCTGTACGTTCAATGGCATTTGGACATTTGGTGGCAAGTCCCATTAAAGGGAATATACATCATTTGCTTTTGCTGTAATTTTCAGAAATGGATGGAATTGGGGGGTTGGAAATATATAGCAAATATAGTTACACTGACTTTTACACTGACACTGACTTTGAGGTTTTGGGTTCGAAAATGATATAAAAACAAAGAAAAACGATCATTTTCCTGTAGTCTGGTTCCCGGACTCCATATAAGAAGAAACAGAGCAGCTTACATACATTGGGGAATTGTAAGGTCAGGGAACCAGTCTAGCTGGCTCGTACCCGTTCATAGGTTTGTAATCGATTTCAAACAAGTGCAATGGTAAACTGGGGCCAGTATTTGAAAAAAAAGCCAGTTGTTTCCAACGCTGACCGGCCGAGCAGCGTTGGAAATTGATACAAAAATACCACTTTTCTTGAAAATGACAGTATACCAGGTGCCATGATTTTACAAGATGCTTTACACTGTCATTCACTAACAGTCCAGCAAGGTATTTCAAAATGATTTGGTAGTTTTATTTCTTGATGTTTGCAAATGTTGTGTTTTCCCTTTAAAAAAACAAAAGAGCTTACCTTCATCGGTATGCCAGTAACGGTGGTGATAGCCAGGTCGTAGTGTTTCTGTGCGATCACAGAGAGTTTGTTGGCCAGGTGGCGTCCAGCCTTAGCAGAGTGGACCTCAGCTGTCAGGTACGGGGACATGGAAGCAGGGGACCGGTCTTTGATCCCTGATTCCTTATTGGTCGGTAGGATGTTAATCAGGGTTAAATCGCACTGCGCGATTGGAAGAAGGCTGGTGGTGAAAAATACACACACAACGCCAACAAATCAATGTACTTGTCATGAAAACAAGAACGTTGTCAATTTGAAAGCATAAGTTCCCAAAGATGTATAAATATATCTCCACAAAATGCATCAAAATGTTTGAAGTTAATAATTGACAAAATATAAAGCTACAAGAACTCCTTACAAACTGAAGTGTCCTCAAATACATGTGTATTAATGTCAGTGTGGCAGAGTTTCTATCCGCACACAATCTTCCTTAACCCTTACTCTCTGAGGGTAGTTTACTGCATGTCAGTTGGTTATGCCAATGCCCTCCAGCTGCAGTTTATTGGAGGATACTTTGATGTAGCAGTGAAGGCTCCAATTGGCAGGAGTTGGAGGCCCTGGAGGGTGCCTGATACTGACCAGCTGGGGGCACTCACTTTGTTATCAGAGGACTCTCATTGTTCTCTGTGGCATGTATTGGAGTGCCTGTCCAGTTACCCTTGAAATGACATGGCAGATATTGGAGGGCCATGCAAAAAACATAGGAGATTTTCTTGAGGCACATATTGGCATGCGTTGGAGGGTCTAGTAGGGTAAGGGTTAAAGACAAACTGAAGTGATCCGCACACAAATCTTTCTTACAAGCTATCTGACGTGGAAACAGTAACAAGCAGAAAACGGCTCGCAAATAATCTTGTTTGTTGTATCTGTTTTCATGTCAACATAACGCTACTTTCTTAAAGGGAATGTACAAGTACAACATTTGCTTTTACTGCAATTTTCAGAAATAAATGGATTTGGAGGATTACTATGTTATAGCAAATATCGTTTAACTGACTTGTTTCACGTTTTGGGGCATGTAGATACTGGAAAACCAATCACTTTCTTGTAGTCTGGTTCCCTGACCCCACTTAAGATGAAACAGCAAAATTTATAGACTTTGGGGAATTGTAAGGTCAGAGAATCAGTCTGGCAGGCATGTACCCCCTTCACAGGTGTGTCATCAATTGCGAAGAAAATGCGGAACAACTGTTTTGAAAAATTCGGAGCCGTTTTTGAGGAAAAAAAAGCCAGTTTTCTCCAACGAAATATACAAATTTTCTAAAAATGCTAGCCCACCAGGAGACAGGATGCTTTAGACTGTCAATCCCTAACAATCCAGTCAGGTATTTGGTGATAATTTGGTCATTTCGTTTATTGATGTTTGCAAATGTTGTATTATCCCTTTAACTTTGAAATATCCTGCATTAAGAAACCATTCCATGTCATTGCTAAAATATAAAATGATCAGTATGTAAACCAAGCATAAAATAGTTGACTAAGAAAGTTTTGATAGTAATGTGGTATTTGCATCTTAATAAGTCTCTCTCAAAAGACATCATTTCCTACAGACCAGCCTCATGCATCGGCATTTTTAACGGTTTTTGCATAACACGCATTGGTTGCGTCGTATTTCGAACACAATTCCAGCAACAAGCGTGCGTATTTGGAACATTTTGAATACTGCGCAATGCGTGTTTGATTGCGTAAAATACGCAGTTGCAGTTCTCCTACAGAGATGGCCAACTTTGTGAGAGATAGCACTTTTAACCTTTTCCAAAAGCAAAGGAAGATTTATTCCCGTACATTGCATTATTATCACTGACTGTTGAACAACATCTAAAAGAGATTGAATTTGTCAGGAATTGAACCTGCAACCTCCCGTTTAACTTATCGGTGCTCTACCAACTGAGATATCCAGCCCTATGATGTTGGCGGTTTTCCTAATCTGTCAATATCTTTGTTCGAGGGTGTAGTCAGAAGCCATAAGCCGTTACAGTGATCCAGAGGTTATTCACTGGAGTAATCTCACACTTACTTGTCACTGTCTCCAGCTAATACCGTCTTGTTCTGCTGCGTGATTGTGTCCCGTACGTACTCTGTTAACATGTCACCATGTGACTCACTGTACAAATAAGCAATAATAACTGCAGTTTGTATGTTTGTTAGAGAACAACAATGGAGATCAATGGAAACTGTTTCAACAATAACATACATGTAATGTTTATCGAATACAGTATCTTAACTCTCAATTCCGATGAGGAGATTTAGCTTTTCCACTAGTAACTCCCTGGGCATTTTTGCTAGGATGTAACCTCAATCCTGCAAAATCCAGCGTTATTTCTTGAGTGTGGTCCTCGGAGGGGTGACCACTGCCTCAATCTGAAAACTTTCTCATAGAAATGTACACATTCCATACTGAAAGTGATTTCTTTTTCATAGCGGACCATGTGGAGAAATTTGGGTTGTCGCATAATATGTAATTTGACCCTTCGTGAATTCGAAATGGAGCCCGAGCGAGTGAAGGGAATTGAACATTTACAAAGCAGATAAGTTTTACAGATTTTCCTCCATTATTACGTTTTTCAATAAAAAAAAAAGCATTATAAATAGGAATAAAAGATTAGTGACTCAGTCTTAACGGCTGTTTAAACCTGCAGGGCCATGGCCGTGATAACTTGCAGGTCACAGGTCATGCAAAATCTATCCAATCAGAGCGTAAATTCATCAGCCCTTCCCAGCGTCCTGCTTGCTGGGCGGGGGTACGAGCGAAGCTTGATTGTGATACACAACACAATGGGTTTGAGCCTCTGGAAAAATGTCACACCTGTTCTAAGGTCATGAATACAATTGGACAGGGTTGGCCTTCTTTTCCCCCCCTCAGATTCCTGAATTCACCTCTTGACGGACGTGAGGCATATGATGCGCCCTCTATTGACGACCTTCTCCTCGGCACCGTCTTCATTCATTAGCGTCTGTGCCACCAGCTGATAGTCCGTGCCTTCTGTCAATAACTCCACAGCGGCTGACAGGCCATTCATGATACTGGCATCCATGTTCTTGGATGAACGGAGTGGCCCCAGATTGGCCAGAGCGGGCATCAACTACACGTTGGAAAAGGGAACAAATTGTAGGAATACTTAGAATCCTTGAAATCCATCAAAATCCAACAACATGATGAGTATGGAGCCCGCTGGTTTCCTTAGGATCCAAACAGATGTAAATTTCACATGACATTGTCAATTGTTGGATACTGCAAGTTTCAGTAGGGTTGAAAAACTTTTTCTGATTACTACTTTTTTTACAATTGTGTGAAAAAAATCCATTGTAACTATCACGTTTGCATCTGCTACATGTACATTTTGAGAGCTGAAATTTCACCTGCATGTACATGTACATATCTGCAAATGTGGCAGTGATGGCAAAGGGTCGCTCATACCCCCCGCCCTGCAAACAGGACGCTGGGATACTCTGATGAATTCACGCTCTGATTGGTTGATTTTGCATGACCTGTAACCTGCGCGTCATTGCGGTCATGACTCTGCAAGGTTTGAAACGGCCGTTAAGACTGATTCATTACTCTTTTATTCCAGTTTAGAGATGGTTTTTTCCGTTGAAAAGCGTATTAATGTAGGAAATTCTGTAAAACTTATCTGTGTTGTAAATTTACAATTCCCGTCACTTGCTCAGGCTCCGTTTCGATTCACGAACGGTCGGATTGCATTATGCGACACTCAACTTTTTGTCCACATGGTCCACAATGAAACAGAAATCACATCCGGTATGGAATGTGCGCAATTCTATGGGAAGTTTTCGGATAGCATTTGCGCACATTGTCTAACTGCGGTCTTGAACAGCTGCAGCCAGATGCTTTATACATAGGTCATAAATGTAGGCCACTTCCTTCACAAGATTCTGTGAAGCTCATCAGAGTATCCCAGCGTCCTGTTTGCAGGGCGGGGGGTACGAGCGAATGGCAAAGGTTGAAATAATGACAGCTGTTTCATGTCCCAGCAAACATGCCTAGGGAGTTAGTACAAAGAATTTTCCTGGCAAAACTAAGCGCAAGATGTTCAATTCAATTAGAAGCCTGTGCAATCAACCATGTATCTTACCTGTGCTGTATTCTGATTATCCTGTGACCAGGTATTCAGAGGTCTTGCCTGGGTGTCACTGGCCACTACAGTAATCTAAACAAACAAACACCACAAGGAACATTCAAGGATTAGTATCTTCAAAGCTGATTCATATTTCGCATGAATGCAAATGTGAAGCAAGTACGACGTTAGTCTTGGCCCAAGATGCTAGTGATCGATAGTGGACGACAATTAGACCAGTGGGCTGACTCCCACTAAATGTCTTGGCCATTTCGTATCAGCGGTTTCACTTTTTCTTTATTTTCTCTGTAGCCTTTCCTACGGAGCCAATCAGCCATTGAGAAAATCGATGGCTCGCCCGACAGTTGTAAACATACACGACACGCGGTACGTGATCGAGCATCAGCGCTTTCCTAGGGAACCAATCAGCGATCGAGACTTGACGATTCAATGGTTGCAAACATACACCTCCCGCGGTATGTCATCGAGCATCATATCAGCGTTTTTCCGGGAACCAATCAACGGTCGAGATACTGCAGTGATGATGCACGGAGTTTCAACAGAAGGTCTAATTAATTGACATAAAATGGCCCCGTCCCCATTGCTACGAAATTACTAAGACGTCGGTGCGAGCAGGGTGTGAGAAAGTAAAAAAATTAATTATGCAAGTCCACTACACTACAATGCAACTACATGTACTGCTCTTGATCACTGATGTCTTGGGCCAACATTAGTATGACATTACAAGATTGTAATTAGAAATAAAAGTTGTTTAGAAATAAAAAGTGTTCTACTCTTGCAAATTAAAAAATCTGCATACAGTTCCTGTTTGGGTGCATGCTAAAGATGAAACGGCCATACACTGTGCTGCTGCAGTGTTCTTTATACAAATGTCTCAAAGCCCTTCACATTGCCGATATCTTTCTTACAAAATTAATTTTATTCAGCACTTCATCAGATTAACCTGTCCTCTGCCCTCACAGTAACACCCATCTTTGTAAACACCACCAATCGTGGACCCCCTATTATCCCTAATCCTCATTCCTTTGTTTGTACTTTTTAGCAACAGCTCCCATTGGTTTGGTACACGAATTTCAATTGTGGACTATCGGTCAGTCGTGGATGTATTGTTTTTGCCACAATTCAGGATTGCCTAGGTCCACGATTGCCAATGTTTACACACTCCCACGAGACACACACGTGTGTAAACATGGTAAACACCGACAATCGTGGACGCCCATTGTCCCTAATCCTCATTCTTTCATTTGTACTAACTTTTTAGCAACAGCTCTCATTGGTTTAGTACACGATTTGAGATCGTGGACGTTCGGTCAATGGTGGACCCTTTGTTTGTGCCCTAACCCTTTTGTCCCTAGTCCACGATTGCCGGTGTTTACACACGCACACATACATGTACTCCTGGTTGAGCTGATACATGTCGCAGGCAATTGTGGTAAAGTGACTTGCCCAAGAACACAAACACAAGGATCCTCATCCCGGATTCAAACCCACATACTATCAACTACATGTACTGCACCGAGGCCCTCTTCAAGAAAAAAAACCTTCCACACGCTTGTGTGGATGGAAAATGTTAGTCCAAGTTTTACCAATTTTCCCTGTGGGAAGATGTCATAGACCACTCTGCAGTACTCCAGCACAGACTCCACACTGCAGGTCCAGAGAGACTTGCAGAACGGTGCCAACGGGATGAAACCAGTGGAGCGTGTCTTGCTAAGAGCCACCACATCATAGTCGACTGGATGCTCACACGACTCGGCAAAGAACGGTCCGTGGTCCAAGACAAACACCGTTTTGTGAGATGCAGGAAAGGACATGATGACGGATGGATATCAATCAAACATAAGATATACCTTTGTTAAAAAAAATAGGTAAATAAATGATGAAAACACAGAACTACTGATTGCAGATAAAAACATGTATGTACATTATTGTCATAGATAAGTGCTGCAAAACTTGATTCTCAAATGTTATTTAAAACATGTTACCTACATCTTTGTCATCATTTTGGCAATTTTATTTTCTTTTGAAGGATGTGTCGCATATTACAAAGGTACCTGTTCCCTTCATCCAGTGGACGTGCACATGATTCAAGGGAAAAAATTTCATACTCGATCACCACTTTTTAAAATTAATTTTCAAGCGCCAAAAGTTGCATCCTTTATGGTTATTCCCTCCACTTTCCCTCCTCTACTCTCACCCTCTCCTTTCCTTTATTTCCATTCATTAATCAGTCACTTACAATAAAAGATGTAACTTTTGGCGCTAGAAAATTAATTGAAAAAAGTGACGTCCGAGTATGGAATTTTTTCCGGTGAGAATGCTTCTAAAGCAAAAAAAAAACCTAAAAAAAGCCTCAATGTGAAAATCAAAATTTGGCAAAGTCGACACGTTTTTGTACATGTGGATGTGTGGCCTATGTTTACGGAGGCAGTCCAGTAAATAGGCCACATTTATGGGGCTAGGGGCCTACACGATCGCCAACATTTTTGCAATGACTGACCTTCATTGAGATGATATATGATCATAAAGTGGCGTCAGGGTGTAACATTCTTTCCCAACATGTTTTCCGTTGATCTATTGTAAAAGAACAAGTTAAAGGCGTCTCTAAAATACAGTAAAATACCCACCGTTTACGAACAGACGATTCTGGCGGCTGCCATGATAAGAATATTCACGGACTGACGATTGGTGGCGCTATATACGATCATTGTTAGATTTCATGGGTCGATGCTTCTGTTATAAGGTCCATGGGTCGTTGTTTGTTGACGTGACGCTCTGCGTCTGAAATCGGCACATCACCATTATCGCTTTCTCACTTTTCCGAAATTCTATAAATGTGTTGAGGTATTTGTTGGGTACTGAGCCCCAAGTACTGTAAAATTTGTAACAGAAAGCATGTGAAAAATTAATATTGGGTATATATTATCTTGAAACTAGTCAAAAATGGGGCGGCGGAATTTTCGGGCTCATTTTGTTTTGTAAATTCCTCCTTTTACGGCAATATTTTATGACGGATTCGTGCCTGCACATATCACAATCAAATCTGAATTGTGTCAAAGGGAAAACATCTTTAATAATGGTCTAGAACACCAAACAAACTTGATGACCAGGGAAAAATTGAACTCACCGAAACTGCATTTGGACTAACTCTACTAGGGCAAGATGTTGGGGGGGGGGGGGGCAGTTGAACCTAAAGATGTTAAGCTCGACGTTTTCTGTTCTGGAAGAGAAATGGTTTGGAAATAATCAAACTTACTTAATATCATGTCATTTATTATGAGAAAAAATAAGAATAAATACAGAGAAGAAACCACTCGGATGACTAATGTGCATTATTTATTGGACAAAATAACACAGGTAGTAACACTTACAATGAAAAGTTAGCGAATTGTAGAAACAAACTTTAAACGGGACACCAATGAATTAATATTGTTGTATGATACATCAATATTAATTCATTGGTATCCCATTTTAAATATTATAAAACTTTGCCAACCATCAAACCATCTTATCCCGAAGCAGTTTGCTTTAGCATCTCATAAAAAGGAACATTTAAGTAGATATGAAACAAAGGATTTCCATCAAAATACATGTAATCCAGGATTTAGAACGAAATACATAATGTTATGTTATTTCGGTAGCAAACCTCTTGAGTGAGTTTGCGAGGTTCTTTGTGAGGCTCTGAAATGAACCTCGGAAACCCACAAAAGAGATTGGTCACGTGGTGCTACCGCAAAACGTCATCGTATTGCTATCTTCACCATATAAACATCCAAATCTTATTTATTTGGTTTCATTGTTTTGTCATATATAGATAAACCAATACTTACAAAACTATAATAATTGTTCTTAATTGTTTTCTTCTACTCAATTGAAATCCCGAGATATAATCAAACACAATCATCATTATTTGGATCCTAAACGTTTTTTAGGTTTTTTGTTTTAAAAGTTCCCATATTTACAAAACTTACAGTCACAGTCACGGCATACTTAACCAGGTCAATTTACTTAAACTGCAAAATAGTTTTAATTGATGAAACTAATATTTTACGTGAACCCATTTCATGTTGGTCCCAAGTAAGTTCAATGACTAAACAAGCCGAAATGAGCAAAAACTGTGTAAACGGTTGTGTAAAGTATGCATTATATTTCTAAAAGAATGTGACTAGTTCGCCATTTGACCAATTATCTTCTACACATGTGTAATGTAAATACATAAGAGTATTAATATTGTCCACATCTTCTCTTTTATATAAAATATTTCATCTTTTTGAAGATATATGCTAGCCCTGATCTTCAATAAATTATATCCCTAATCCGTATGTTTTAACATAAATGTGTTATATTATTTTCTTCTATATTTTGCCATCTGGACTCCTATGGAAAAAGGCTTTAATATGGGTTGCATAGCATCTTCAATGCAGAAAATATTATCGTTGGGCCGAATAAAACAGAACGAAAGCAACAATGCTGTTACTTAACATTAGTGGAAACTTTAGATGTTTCATTCATACGTTAAAATCTTAGTATGCTACACAGAAACCAGCATTTGAAGAAAACTATTGTGAAACTCGAAATAAAGGTTTAAAGAGCACCAGAACATCTTCAAAAGCAGGGTCTTTAGAAGGTAAATCCTAAATGAATAAGAAAAACGGACAAAAAAATTCTCCTTTTTTTGAAACTCCCTTCCCCTCGTCCTTTAAGCCCCATTATGTTTACTTAGCTCTGTTTGTGCCCTCTTGTATGATAACATTTGATGTAGCTGCATGTTAATTAACGGACTGGCACTCGGACTCGGACTAGGAGGTCTCGGACTCGGATTTTCCGACTCAAACTCAGAATCCGGACTCGCACGTGGTGGACTCGACTACAACACTGCTAAGTGATGCAGCGATGCGTTCAATGTCTACATCACTCAATGAGCACCCCCCCAAGGACAGCTTTTTCAATTGTTTTAGGCCCTTTAAGTGAGACCATTCATCCGAGCAACTCAGGTCTTCATTTCCAGACAGATCCAGTTCAACCAGAGTTTGTATGTCACCAAGTGATGCAGCAATGTGTTGAATGTCTGCATCTCTCAATGAACACTCCCTCAGGGACAGCTTTTTCAATTGTTTTAGGCCCTTTAAGTGAGACCATGCATCCAAGCCACTCAGATCTTCATTTCCAGACAGATCCAGTTCAACCAGAGTTGGTATGTCACTAAGTGATGCAGTGATGGGTTCAATGTCTGCATCACACAACCAACACTCTTTTAAGACCAGTTTTTTCAGTTGTTTCAGGCGCTTTAGGTGAGACCATGCACCCGAGCCAGCCAGCATAAAATTTCCAGACAGATCCAGTTCAACCAGAGTTGGTATGTCACTTAGTGCTGCAGCGATGGCTTCAGAGTCTGCATCACGCAACCAACACTTTTTTAAGACCAACCTTTTTAGTTGTTTCAGGCGCTTTAGGTGAAACCATGCATCCGAGCTAGCCAGGTATTTATTTCCAGACATATCCAGTTCAACCAGAGTGGGTATGACACTAAGTGCTGCAGCAATGGGTTCGATATCCATGCTATGCAATGAGCATTTGGTTAATTCCAATCGCTTGAGATGTTTCAGTTCCTGCAAAGCCGGTGACCATTCAGCTGCTGGGTCTCCGGAAATATCTTTCAAGATCACCTCAACCAGGTCAACCCTCTGTCCCATGTTCTTCAATATTCTTGATACAGCAGAACCATCATACATACAACTGGAGAGTTTCATCCTTATGCCACTATTGATTGTACTTACCTCAAATGTATCCCCAGCACAGCAACGCTCAAGATTTGCCATACAGCCAACTGACGCAGAAAGACATTTGACATTTTCTATGTCACGATAATCTGTTGTAAACCGCTTCATTTGCTCGAACTTCTGTAAAAATTCTTCTGGGTTTCGTAATTCAAATCGCTTAATATGTTTCAGTTCCTGCAGTGCACGTGACCATTCAGCTGCTTTGCCTCTAAGGCCCTCGGTATATCCAATTGTCAACTCAACTAAGTCACTTCTACTTCCTATTGCTCTTAGAATATTATCAATATCAGATCCTCGAAATTTACTCCAGGAGAGATAAAGGCTAATGCCAGTTGTGATTGCATTTATTTCAAATGTTAACTCAAGCTCTGGGGCTATGCCAGAACGTTGACCTAAAAACCTGTATAATCGGGTTCCATTTAATTCATCATCAACTGCATGGCAATAAACAAGATTTGGCATACGGCCAACTAAAGCAGCAATGCATATAATGTCCGGTACTTCTAAACCACAGCCATGTAATTTTAGCGTCTCAAGTTGTGTCAGTTGTTGTAACTTATACAATGACACACCCGAGCCAGCCAGGGAACTTCCAGACACATCCAATTTAACCAGAGTGGATGTCTTACTCAGTGATGCAGCAATGATTTCAATGTCTGTGCCTGTTAATGAGCAGTTTCGTATGTGTAATTGCTCTAGAAATTTCAGTTCTCGTAATGTAGGTGACCACTCAGCTGCTGTACCACCAAGTCCTTTCACATCATCAGTTACCACTTGAACTATGTCACTCCTGCTACTCATGGCATTCACAATATCTACCACATCAGCACTGGTGAACATCCGACTCAAGAGTTTTATCTCCAAACCCGTACCACGTGGTGAGACTTGAAACCATTGATTGACTTTACATAAGGTGAGCTTTGTCAAACGGCCAATTAGAGAAGCAATGCACTTAACATCATCTTTACTACAATAATTATAATTTCCAGACAGGAGAAGTTGAGTCAGTGTCGGCGTATCATAAAGGGATGCAACAATGAGCTGAACATCAGTGCTTGTTAGTTTACACATTTCAAAATTCAACCTGTCTAGTTGCTTTAGTTCCTTGAACTGAGAAGTCCATAATGCTGCTGTACCTTGCAGTCCCTCAATTTGAGACATGTACAATGCAACTAAGTCTTTTCTGTTAACCAGTGCCTTCAAGATGAGTTTCATTTCTGTACCATTTAATGACATCCCGTGTAGGTCCAGCATAATACCACAACCCAATGGGTTTATCCGTAAATGTCCTATCTCACTCAGTCCCGTCTCACTCAGTTCCATCAAGTTTGGCATATCACTTAGTGTTAGGGCAATGTGCTTTATATCATCAACCGTCAGACAGCCGTCCAGCTTCAAAATCCGCAGATGCATTTTGTTTAACAGTGGCATCCATGAATGCACAAAACCCCTTAAAGCTTCATTGTGCGAAAGGTCTAATTCAGTCAACTTGTCAGCCTTACTCAGTGATGAAGCAATTTCTGTCATACTTTTCGTGGTTAAAGAGCATCCCGACAATCTGACAACAGATATATTAGGCATGTTGTAAATGGCGAATGCCAAATCTTCAGTACACCTTTCCAAGCTATGGTGATTGAAATATAATCCCTTAACTTTGTCAAGGTAAATATTACCTGTGTACTTTGCCTGGTTAGCAACATGTTTGAGAAACCACACAAAGGAGTTCACATCATCATGGCTTTTGAGATCTTTTGTGTGTATCGTTTCAGTTATGACTGAGTTTATAAATGCCTCTGATAATATGTTTTCTGCCTGACTCTCAAAGTAACAATTCAAGGCCATGTTTAATGCTGTATTTTCAGTCCTCTGGGTACAGGTAAGCCTTCTCTCATCATTGATCCTCTTCTGCAACATCTGCAAGACTTTAATAGTGCATGCTTCATTGTCACCACAACAAAAGCGCAGCAGATAGTGAAAGTTCTCCATGTCATCGAGTTCATTAAGATTCTTTTGAAATTCGTCAGCGTCTGATTTCTGTAAGCTTTGCAGGTAAACAGCAGCACAGAACTCCTGAATTGTTTTGTGGATAAACTGTATGTTGTTATGAGTGTCCAACCCTATTAAGACCCTCTGGCTTGTGAGGATGCCAGCCTTCAGAGCTTTATCAAGCACATACTTCTCAAACTCTCTGTCTTGAAATGAAAGCCGCTGCACTGGAGACACCAGGCCATGGAAAGCAACCTTTCCGATTGCAACAAGGATCTTTGGTATTTCCTCCTCTGGTATACCTTTTCTCTTGAATATGTATTTTTGAGCCTTGCCATATAAGCGTGATATTGTGTTTGGAAGTCTGGAATCTTGTCTCCATAATAAACACATTAAAAGGAGCAGCATTGGGCTATGGGCTAAATCAAAAAGAACACCTGATGATTTAATGGTTTGGAAAAGAGTCTCGGCATCATGGTGGCTTCTAGAAAAAAAGTTTCCCAAGTAATTCTCAACATCTTCCTCAAGGAAGCCCATAACCTTTACATGGGTGAAAGGTTTTCCAACCAGTGATCTGCTGACCAATGTGCCAAAATGAGAGGTGCGGGTTGTTATCACCACATCAATGTCTGCTCCAACCTTTCGGTTTAGAATTTGTAGGATGGAGCCAAATGATTTATTATCGAGCTTGGTGGTCATCAACTCATCAAAGCCATCCAGAAGAATTAACACCTTTTTAGGATTCTTGAAAATAAAGGTTTTCAGGTCGTTTTTATTGATAATGTTTGGATCGATTAGCTGCTCATATAGAGAATCAATGAGATCTGTAGTTTGTTCCAGTGCACTCATTCTCAGAACAAAAACAAGCTTATATTTTGCCAGAGGGCCAGAAGAGATAGTCGCCCAGTCGTGTGCAATTTTCCCAATCAGAGTTGTTTTTCCCAGACCCGCCAACCCTTCATAAATTATTCGATTGATAACAACACCATCTTCGTTTTTAATAAGGAAAGCACCCTCATACGTCACCTCCTCCCCATCTTCATACCCCTTACATATCATTTCTAACTCATCAGTGACTAATCTTAACTTAGTATATATATCCATTATATGCATCATGTCATCATCAACCCATGGAATCATTTGCACGTAACTGCCCGTGGTCTTGTATACCTTCTTGAGTGCCTCTTCACACAGATCCGCTGCAGCATCTGCTGCTGCATCGGTGGCTGGACTGGTATCTTGACTTGTTTGTAATGATGGGCTGTCTACGTCAGTGCGTGATGTAACAGTGTCTGGACTTGTATCTTGACTTGTTTGTACTGATTGGCTTCTAACCTCAGGTTGTTGTTTTAGAGGATGCTGGACATTTTCCGTGCCTCCTGGTGAAAAATTTAATTCATAACAATGGCTTGCGTGTGAAACTGAAAATCTATAAAATAGGTAAAAAAGACGGGGGTTCATATCGGGATGTGCAATTTATCAAAGTAGGAACCACTAGAAACCACAATAAGAGAGCAGAGCGAATCAGAAAAATAGCCATAGCTGTTAAGTCCCACAAACTTGTGTCAGCCCAGCCTCCCCCTCCAACAAAAATTGAAACCAATTAGTTTAACCCACATCTGGTTATGCTTAATATGAGCTGTCAACATTTTTTCAATTGTGATCTTTTTTTCAAACTGTATTTACATCCTTTGTCTTTTCTATGAAATTTGATTCGCAATTTCAAAACAGATTTTAATTATTTGGTTGGGGGATCCTTGCCGAAAACACTTCTCAATCCTTTAAAATGAATTGGTAAATCCATGTGAAATGTAATTAATTGCAGATACCCGATCTTCACATGTCGACCGAGTGCATGTCCGTTTTTAAGGTTTTTTCCATATGAAGGACGGAGTGTGGTAGGAACCAAATATTTAGAGGAGACCACAAAATGTGGGAGTTGGCCTGGCGGAGGGACTGTTTGTTTATACATTGCTGCCTTTCAGATGACATTTATATCGTACATTATCTGCAGTATCCAATCCATGTGATGTAAAAGTTGAACCCAATAGCCAAAAATAGGACAGCCTCCAATCTCTACTTAATGTTGTTTGTTGTAAATTTAAAAAAGGATCTTATGGCATCTTGAATTTGTATCTTAAAAAAACACAAGTACTAACTATTTTACCTGGCGGAGTTCCGGGGTGAACTGTCACATTTTGGTTGAATTCGTAATGAAATGTATGCCCAGATGACGATCCTAAAAACACAGGATTACAGCTGCCAGGGACATTGACGTCCCCTGTTTGTACAGTTGGTTGAATGGAATCAGATGAATGATGAGTACACAGAGTAGATGGATACTGCACTGCTGGCTGGACCGCTGAAGGTACTAGATCTTTAACTGCTATAAAGGAAGGAAAAAGGTTGAACAGGAGTCATTGAATAATAATTGAGTAATCGAATTTTAGAAGTTAAACTCCCAATCTATATGTTGAGTTACTCATCAATCGTCAACCTTATAACCTATATAGACGTTATTACCTTGCAATTGTTCTGGAGACAAATTCCCCTTGCGAAGTCGGTCAGATTGAGATTTGTCTTGTACAGGTGTCATCACCTCTTCTTGAGGGCACTGTTCTCCTACTGTTGACTGTATATTTGGGTCCGGCCCGTAAAGATCATCATCGCGCTCTTTTTGTGCATGGTGACTTGCTTGCTTCTGCCTAACTCCCTGGTTCTCACGTGTTGCTATCCCTTGATGAGAACTCAGCTCGTGTCCGAGTTGCCCAGGTGATGCTTCACTCACTTGCTGGAAGCCCCGCTCTCCGACCCCTGGCTCCTGCTGAGGTCTTTCTGTCTCAATAATCTGCTCCTGCCTTACTGCGTGTCTCTCAGGTACTGTTAGCCGTTGTTGACAGCTCTGTTTGACGGGTTCTTCTTTTGCATTTTGGCTTCTTGCTTCTTGGTTTTTGAACTGCGGTGATCTGTCTGGACCATCATCCTGCTTGCATCTCAGTGGATGCTCAGGTGATGTCATTTCCTTCTGATGCCTACCTAAATCATCTGCTTTAAATCTGTCTGGGCCATAATCTCTCTCCCGGTCCATACTTTGTGTTTCAGATGATGATAACGCTTTGTGATTGTCTTTTTCCTCAGTTTTCTGATCTTTTGGTCTCTGTTGTTCAAGTGCAGTCCCTTTTCCTTGTTGCATGTTCAATTCCATGACATCAGCAACGTTCTGATCCTCTGGCTGGAGTCGATCAAGATCAAGAACCTGAGAATCTCCATCCTCTGGGTTCTTCTCGGGATTTTTCCGTTTCTTTCTCCTCCTCCTCGTCCTCCCTGTGTGTAAAGAATATAATCATTTTGTTTTTACACAATCAGATAAACCATGTTTTTGTTTCTTGAGCTGTGTATTTGACTCCACAAACAGACATTGGCCATTATAGAATTTACCTTTAAAACCACACACATATTTGTATTGGACTGTACCTTTTGATCGGCTGCCTGATGAGGTAGTGACTGATGTTGAGGCAGGGGAACTTCCTGTGTCAACTTGCTGTTTGCCGCTTGCTACAGTCTTTTGCTGTGATTCTTCAGCTTCACCGCCAGCAGTTTCTTGTCTTTCTCTCGTCTTTCTTGTCCTAGCAACTAAGGAAAAAAAAAACCAAAACTTTTGAAACAGAATGTTTACTTCTAATAGTGGTTTGTGTGGGATTCAGACTCAATAAAAGATATTTTAGCTGAAGCAGCAAAATGCCATGTGTGAATCAATAATTACTGAATATATGTTAAGTATTACAGAGTAATACCAGTCTCTGACAAGGTGCTAGCAGAAGTACCGACAGCTGCCGATGAGCAGGAATTTCCTGGATCATGTAAGATCTCTTGCTTGGTATTATCCTGGCTCTTCGCATCGGTTTCTACTTCAGATGGTGATTTGTTGACAGCTTTTCTTTTTCCCTTTTGCACCCTCCCAATATCGTCTTTCCTCGGCTGTTCTTGTTTCTGTTCTTGTGTTTCCCCTGATGAGTGACCAGCGGGTGCGTTAACTGCTGAGATGGAAGAATCCTCTAAGTTATCAGAATTTTCTTCACTGCCACGGCTTGTCCCTGTCTTGGTAGCTTTTCTTTTTCCCTTTTGTCTTCTCCCAGAATCATGTTCTTTCATTGGCTGTTCTAGTTTTTGTTCTTGTCGTTCCCCTGATGGGTGACCAGCGGGTGCGTTAACTGCTGAGATGGAAGAATCCTCTAAGTTATCAGAATTTTCTTCACTGCCACGGCTTGTCCCTGTCTTGGTAGCTTTTCTTTTTCCCTTTCGTCTTCTCCGAAAATCATGTTCTTTCATTGGCTGTTCTAGTTTTTGTTCTTGTCGTTCCCCTGATGGGTGACCAGCGGGTGCGTTAACTGCTGAGGAGATGGAAGAATCCTCTAAGTCATCAGAATTTTCTTCACTGCCACGGCTTGTCCCTGTCTTGATAGCTTTTCGTTTTCCCTTTCGTCTTCTCCCAGAGTCATGTTCTTTCATTGGCTGTTCTAGTTTTTGTTCTTGTCGTTCCCCTGATGGGTGACCAGCGGGTGCGTTAACTGCTGAGGAGATGGAAGAATCCTGTAAGTTATCAGAATTTGTCCCTTGTCGGCTTGTCCCTGTCTTGGTAGCTCTTCTTTTTCCCTTTTGTCTCCTTCCAGAGACATTTTCTTTCATTGGCATTTCTTGTTTTTGTTTCTGTTGTTCCCATGATGGGTGACCAGAATCCTTCGTGTTATCCATGGTTTCTTCACCGCCACGGCTTGTCCTTCTATTGGCATCTTTTCTTTTTCCCTTTCGTTTCGTTGCTGAATCATTTTTTTCTCTTGGCGGTTCTGGCTTTTGTTCTTGTGTTTCCCCTGATGACTGACCAGTGGGTGCCTTAACCGCTGAGGAGATGGAAGTATCATCTGAGTTATCTGCATTTTCTTCACCGCCACGGCTTGTCCTTCTCTTGGTGGCTTTTCTTTTTCCCTTTTGTCTCCTCCCTGAATCATTGTCAGTCCTTTCTGGTGAATCTCCTGAAGGTATAGTTATAAACACAGGTCTATCAAAATTGGCTCACAAGAATTAGGCAATCAGATTATTTATCAAAGAATGAGAGTGCCACAAGTTGGTCAATAATTCTATCATCATAAGAGTTCGGGGAACACTTTGTCGTTTTCCTGTTGGTTTCTTCACTAAGAAAGACTTTTGTAAGTGCATTTTGACTAACCCACACACGAGCTGACTCTTTAGAGGTCTACAAAGGTGACTAATTTTAGGTCTAAACAGTACCTGACTACTTTTGTTCAATAACTTTACATAATTATGTACTAAGACACTATACTCCTAGCTCTAAACCCTTGACAAACACCTGTTTTTTTTAAACTCAACCCATCAACTTTGAAACTTGGTTAAATACATAATCCCTGAAGGCCAGCCCATGCTCTTTATCAAAGCAAATGCAAATGTGAACAAGAACTTGTGACGTCATAACAAGTTTACATACTGCAAATTTGCAAATCCTGCGCAAATTTCAATTTAGCAAATTACGCTGGGAACATTTCGTTTCGTGACGCAACTAAATTCGCATCCGCACTAGTTTAATCTCTGTGTATAAGCTTTACCTGCTGATTTCTGTTCATCATCGGCTCCACCGATCAACCCAGACACTAAGCGTAGCTCTATGTTGGTGTCTTGCTGAATTCCAAGTTCTTTGAGGGACATTCTACCCTTGAGCTAACAAATAGGGGGTGAAAAAAATTTAAAATCTGTCAAGATAACAACTATTTAACGATGAAATACTGACAAAAGTAAATATGTAGGAAGCTGTGATTGATTACTTATTGTAAAGATGATTGAAAATAGGGACATTGGATGAATTTACTTTAAACAGATTTTACAACTCTGTACCATACCTCATGGTTTTTCCTTGTATATAGATGTTGTTTCTTTGGTTCAATCCCCAGTTTGTCTTGTAGTAATCCTTTCAATGCTGAGATTGTAGTGGACGGATGCAGTTGCAGACATACAGGTGATCTCAAAGAACTAATCACAAACAGCTGAATTTGGGAATCTTTTTTCTCTTCACAAGATGGTTTCTTGTCAGCATTTGTCTGTTTCTTTGTCTTCTTTCTCCCTAAAGGTAAAAAACAAGAAGCATGTCGTTTTCTTTGTCTTATTTGCACGATTTGGCTTCATGTGTAAAATAAATGAATAAAACATTCAACTGAACATCAAAGTTCACAAAGTTGACATTAAGTTTAGGACATCAATGAAGATCAGTATTTATGTGAATCAGAAGTGCTAATAATTGAGGTGACAGTCCTTAAACAGAATATCAATTGATATTTCGTGAATGGGACACTTGCAATCACAAAAGGAATAGTTAAACATAATGACAATCAAATATTTGGAATGATCACTTCCTATTTGGTTGTACATGTATGTGTCAATGGCGAGTACTAACAAAATAGTTTTAACACATGCATATTCATAGTCTTCATGGGGAAAAATCATTTTAAAAAAAGGTTGATTGCTGTATCAGCTGCTACATCAGATTTGACAGATGTATAAGACACCTGCACTATTAAGCAGGAGGTTGCGGGTTCGAGTCCCACGAGTGAGCTTGTGAATTTTGTTTGTTTGCTTGTTTTAAGGGGGAGCAGCTTTTGGACAGCATTAAGTATACAATACTTGTGAAAATATATCAGTGAATGGCAAAGTCCATTATTGGAACAGAGAATTTACCTTTTGGTTGGTTGTTTTTCTTAGCAGTGGTCTTGGCTGATGAGGAGACGGTAGAACTTCTTGAGTTGACCAACTTATCTTCAGCTTGATCACCTTTGCTTGTTTTATCGATGGCTTCTTCTTTGGATGAGGGTTTCTTGGCAACATTTCGGCCTTTCCTTCTCTTGCCTGAATTGTTCTTAGTCTTGCCTCTTCTGTTTACTTTCCCTGCAGGTAAGCAAACATATAAAAGGGCTGTAGCTATATTCTTCAGCAAGCGAAAAGGCATACCTGCATTCAGATCGTCTTTGATTTCGACAAAAAGCTCAACGTAAAAATGTACATCAAAATACCGAGATTTACCAGGCTTTCTTGTCAAGGTGTAAGACTCCCCCAAGGCATCCAAAGGATCTCGCTTTACATCATCTGAGGTAGATTGTCTTTCAGCTTCATCTAATAACGGCTTTTGTCTCGCCTTCCCGTGTCGGCGTCTTCTTGTCCGCTTTCTCCCTGTTAAAACGTCATGTTTATCAGCAACGTGGTTTACAATTCAATAATTGACATGCAACGATATTTTTCCAGTGGGCCAGCCTAACGTCCTTGTACCAATGTGACGGACTCAGACTGACTGACCCTGACTATGAGCCAAGCAGTAGCTACATCATAACGTCAATGAATGGGTTACAGCTGGCCCATTTAAACTTCATGGATGGGACTCGTGCAATCGTAAAAGGAGTGGTTTAGAAATAATGACAACCACGCAGTTTGATTGAACACTTCCCTTTTGGTTGTATGCATTGATGAGAGTCTGCTTATTCAGAGTCTTCACAGAAAAAAAAAATTAGCCATTTAACGAAAGACCTGTGCCCTATATGGGATTTAAATTTGAAAACGTCTCGTACTTGCTCAGAATGTTTGGCACACTTTAACTTTGAATTCTCCAGACCAAAAACACTGTTGCTAATCACATGATTCAGGGCAAGCTCTCGGCACCAATAAATTGTTCACAATGGGTGAGAATGGCACAAAGACCATGCCGCAGCTGGGGGTTAATTACTAGCATAATTAGGCTTGCCCCGAATCTCGTAATATAGTAACAGACTCTTTGGTCGGGAGAATGCAAAGTTAATCGTGCAATGCATTGGATTAAGTCAGCGTTCCAGATTTTACTCAAATTTAACTCGCAAATGGCTTATTCCACTAACATAATAGCATTGATTACTGCACCAGCAGCTTCATCAGATTTGAACTAAAGACACCTGCACTAGTAACCAGGAGGTTATGGGTTCGAGTCCCACCTGAATGAGATTGTGAACATTTCTTTTTGCAAATTCTCAGACAACTCTGTATAGTTTGTCAGTGAATGGCAAAACTTATTATTGAATTGAGAATTTACCTTTTGATTGGTTGTTTCTCTTAGCAGTGGTCTTGGCTGATGAGGAGACAGTGGAATCCCTTGAGTTGACCAACTTATCATCAGCTTTATCATCTTTGCTTGTTTTATCGATGGCTTCTTCGGCAGATAGGGATTTCTTGGCAACTTTTTGGTGTTTTGTTCTCTTTCTTGAATTTTTCTTAGTGATGCCTCTTCTTTGTATTTTACCTGCAGATAAACACGCATATAAAAGAGCTGTAGCTGTTATGTCTTCTTCAGCAAGCAAAAGGCATATCTGCATTCACAATGGCTTTGATCTTGACCAAAAAAGTAAGAATCAAAGTACATCAGAATACTGAGATTTTACCAGGTTTTCCTGCTGATGTATACGAATCCGCCGGGACATCTGAGTGATCTCGCTTGTCATCATTTAAGGTAGTTTGTCTTTCCGCTTCATCTAATGACAATTTTTGTCTTGCTTTTCTTTGTCGTCGACTTCTTGTCCTCTTTCTCCCTATAGAAAAACAGCATGTTTATCAGCAACCTGGTTTACAATTCAATAATTGACACGAACACATTTTTAAAAACTGGTTTCAGGGGGTCGACCTAGAGTCACTTTGCACCTATTTGACTGACAGAGCCTGTGAGCCAGGCAGTGCTACACCGTTACACCAAAGAATGGGCTAAATCTGTCTCAAAGTTTAGACCAGATAGTAGCCATTCTACATCAGTTGAATAGAATTTTGCGCACTCTGGGACGAGCATCCTCAACTTGACTGGTCATAATTGTTTCAAATGAAGACTCTGGGAGTGCAGACACAGGAGTACGTGTTAAGATTAAGCATAGTATTCATTGTGTAAACCAAAATAAATAACCAACAAACATGAAAATCCCATAGCTAGGATTTTACCAGGTTTTGCTGCTGAAGTTGAAGAGTGCCCAGAGTCATCGGAATGTTTTTTTTCTCGGGCACCTGAGGATGTTCGTCCATTGATGCCGTCTTTAGATGAGGAGGTGACTTGAATCATGCGAGGAGACCAAATGCTCAGGATGACATGGATTGTGATCAGTGGGAGGCATAGAATCCACAGAAACAGGTCAAGTTTGTCGAAATTTGAAGCCGAGACACCAGCGGTTGAAGTGCAGGTTTGTGAATCTCCAGTGTCATCTTGATCTAGGCTGGTTGATATTTTGGCTTCATCACAGGATGGCTCCATTTTGGCATGTTTTTGTCTTCGCCGTCTTCTTCTCTTCCTTTTCCCTAAAAAATGCAAGTGATCTTGATCAATTTAAAAACTGTTTTTCAAATATTTGTTTTAATAAAAATGCACCAAACAGTGTTGTTGGACTCGAGTCCAGGATTCGAACTTGAAACTGTTTCAAGTTGCATTTTCAGTGACTATGACTTGAATTGAGTCATATCCGCTACAAAATCGGTCTTAGACTTGACTACCATTACTTGGATTTGATGTTAAGAACACATGACTCACCAATTTTGAACAAATTTGACTTTGATTCGGACTCAAGTCTTTCTCTAGTAGCAATTCCAGTGACTCTGACTCAGCTAGAGTCATATTGGGAAAAGACTCGGACCCAGACTTGACCATCAGCACTCGGACTTGATGCTAAGGACACGAGTCATCAATTTTATACAAATATGATTTAAATGGGCTCGAACTCGCATGTGAATCAAATAACTCGAACTGGAACCAACTGACTCAATGACTTGACTACAATACTGGTACCAAAGAGTAGAATTGTACCCGTTGATTGGTCGCTTGTTGTTGTAGGGGAATCCACCGACCCATCAGTTGACCTCACTTGACCTTCTTCATCAGAGTTACTTTCCCTAAGTATGTCCTCTGAAGAGGAAGATGTCTTCCCAGATTTCCTTCGCTTTTTGTTTGTCTTCCTTTCCCCTAGAAATATTACAAACGTCTCTGTCATTAAGCAGCCCTACCAATCAATCAATCAATCAAAAACAATACGTGTGATTTATTTTCAACAGACCAGAGGCTCCCTTGTGTCCCTTGCTCGGAATTAAAAATGCATCCATTGCCTAAGATGAAAGCACCTATTAAAGTTCCCCCTTAAAAATGTCAAACTTTTATGTCATTAAGCAGCAAGTTAATCAGCCCTACCAATCAATTAATCAATCAAAAACAATACGTGTGATTTATTTTCAACAGACCAGAGGCTCCCTTGTTTGGAATTAACAATGCATTCATTGCCTAAGATGAAAGCACCTAAGTTCCCTCTTAAAAATGTAAGTTAAACCACTGCACCTCCACCTCCCACGAAGCCCTTGGTCCCCTCTTCGGCAACCCCCTCTTGGGCCCCCTCCAGACAAAGCCTGTAGCCCCACCCCACTCTATGACCAAACACAATGTGTGCCTTTCCCCTGCAAATGGGCCCAATATACTGGAATCACACCACAAATTAATTACCAATACATTAAATTCTAAATACAGAATTTAATAGCTTCTTAAATAATATTTCTGGTCCCTGCAGTCCTAACCATCGGCCCAAATACTAAGTGTTCCTCTATCTATATCGTATCTTTACCTGTTGTTTTCTGTTTGTCAGCTCCTCCCATCAACCCAGACACTAGACGTAACTCTATGTTGGTGTCTTGCTCAATCCCATAATTCCCCAAGGAGAGGTCATCACGGAGCTGTGAACAAATAGAAACTTGCTCAAGGCTTGATTTAAACATTAATAACATTTCAACAGATTTTAAATTGCCTTCTCAAGTTCAATTTAAATTGCCTCTTCAAGTTCAACACAATTTTACATCGGGGAGATATAAAATTTGAAATTGGTTTTGCATCTTCACAGACGAAAACTATACTCTTCTTTAAACTTTAAGATTTAGTTTGAACATGGCCACTATATCATCATAAATTACCTCACAGTTTCTCCTGGTAAACAGATGTTGTTTCTCTGGTTCAATCCCCACTTTGTCTTGTAGTAATCCTTTCAATGCTGAGATAGTAGTGGACGGATGTAGTTGCAGACAGACTGGTGATGTCGAGGAACTAATCACGAACAGCTGGATCTTACGCTTTTGGCACGGTGGCAAACTAGGGGGGGGGGAATTGAAGAAAAGGAAGAAGAAACAATTCAGTCCTGAAATCATAGAAAATTGCTCCAAGATTATTATATTTTATTTTTTTTCATTTAATTTCTTTCTGACAATGAAACCAAGGATTCCTCAAAAGTGCCCTAGGCACTGTAGCACTGTAGCCCAAAAGCCTGAAAAAATCTGTAGAGAGGAGACAATGATAAGAAATTACAGTTTTAGTGGTGGGAGGAAAAGCCAAGAAGAATATTTTGGGGAAAACCAATGGAATCAGGTAGGGACTGAAAACCCAATCCACATATTGGCGGGATTCGAACCCGGGTCACAGCGGTGGAAGGCGGGGAAAGTATTTGCCTGACTCCCCTTAAGAACATGTACATGTACATGTGCTACATTGTATGTCTCTCTGTATTGTTTTTCCTGAAGAATTCGAAACCATCCGGTGGTATTGGGATGGGTTAAGAATAAAGTGCAGTAAGTGAAGTATAAATACAATCTGAGACAATTTTCAGCAACAGAATGAAAGTACAATAACTTGACTTGGGTTTACAAGTTCAAATTGTACGAAGTGGATTATCGATTACCCTATTGTCTTTTGCCCTTGTAAATACCCATCAAAATGGCATTATGGGAAGTTAATTTTCACTTATCAATCATCAAATTTTGGGTTGCATGATTAAACTTTGCCTTCTTCAGTTTTGTCATGTGAATGATACAACCATTTTAGCTATAGCACAATGGCTCTGCTAATTTACGGGAAAGGCTGGTTTTCAACTAAAATATTCAATTGATCAATCAAAAATTAAAAAGTAAATATGAATGCAACAATGAAACATAACTGGCCCTGGGTTGATCAGTCCAACTACAATTTTGTACAGAAACATAAAATTGTCATCTCAGTTCCAAAAAATCTATTTAGATTTTTTTTAGATAAAGGTCCATATTAAATAAATGAAAAGTAAAAAGCTTGAGAATATGGCCGGAATTTATTTCTTTGTTAATGAAAAATCAGGATGTTGTTTCAATCTCAAATATTGTTTTGTGTGTAGGCCTGATATTATATAAGGACCGTTTTAGCACTGAAGCAACGAATTTAGAAGTCCACAAAAAACCCTTCACATTGTCTACTTTACCTGCATTCTTGATCCTCTGTGGAGGTATTTGAGACATCAGACTTGGGTGGAATGGATTCTTGGCAGGGCCTGGCAGCTAACAGTACTGATTGGAACGCCTCTTTCTTGGACTTGCGGACTTTCCTCTTTCTCGTGACCATCTTGGCCAGCGAGTGATCATTGATGTGCCGAGCAGCTCTCTTGGCATCCTCCAAGTCAGAAAGGCTCCTCAAAGGTTGCAACCAAAAATCCCCCTGGTAATGATAGTCAGGGTTCGAAATTAGCGGTAGCCCGCAAGCCAAATGCTAGTCGAAACAGCGGCGGGTTAGCCCGGCTTGCGAGTAAAAAAAATATTGGGATACGGCAAAAATGAAAGGATAGGAAAACAAAACATGCGGCTAGTGAAAATGCCCGCGGGCTAGTTAAGAGTCTGTTTCAGTAGCCCGGCTGGCTAGGAACCCAGGAATACCAGTACTTATCTTTGACCTCACTCCACCCCCCCCCCAATTTTTTTAAATTATTTTCTACAGCAAACATTGTAAATACCTGTACATTTTCACCAACCATACCAGGAACTCAGTGACATGAATAATTTTTACACTTTGTGGAATTAAGACAATTAGGTTTTCAGAGTCTTGTTTCTCTTTAAATTAAAAAAATTATCTCTACGAAATTATAGTTGGAGAACAAAAGTAGATCATTAGGTGGATTTCGAACCAGATTCACGCATTCAATATTAACTTGTCATACTCGTACTAGTTAGCTCTCAGAACCCCGACGTCAGTACGACGTAGTCACGGGGACCTGTTGATCGAGGGCTAGGCCTATACATAGATAGCCTATGCTACATTTTATTTGTGCAATATGTTGTACCGACGGTGATTTCAATTCAGTGAAATTTCGGCTGTAGGCCTAGCAGTGACTAGTGTAATTCACAAAAAATACAATTTCTATTTAATGTCAAAATGCAAGAGGGAAAACGACGAAGTCTAAAAGTGCTTACATTCACACATAATAGTGCCCATACTCACCATTTTTCTGTCTTTTTCGCTCGATTTTTAACCCACGCTCGTGAACATGAGATCTCGGAATATTATCAGCGGAGGGAATTCCCCGTTTGGGTGTGGCGCGACTATGACGTCATTCGATGGCATACAGCGCGCCGACAGAGGGCGTATCAAAAAGTGAATAGGATAAGATCAATATTCTTTTGATTCATTTTGTGTAACATTATTTTCGCACCAACCCGCGTTTTCTATTCGTATCGACTGAAACAATTGAACTTTGTCATTTCGACAAGACGCTTTTATAATTGAAAAGTTTGTCTCTGGTTTTTGAAATACCATTTTTGTGCAAACCCGTGTTTTAAATTAGTATCGGATGAAGCAAATGTCGAACTTGGCAGTCAAAATCCAGTCCTTAGAGGTCAATCATGAGTCCAGTCTCAAGTCAAGCTCTTCCAATAGCTATTTCAATACTCATTTGTCATTGTTTATTTTCTGTTTATTCTGACATGACTTGTGATTGCCTCAACTGCATCTGATCCTACTTCCAAGCACCTGTGAGAATAACAGACTCAAACTCACACATAACGTATACTTGTATTACCAATGACCACAGTGATTTGATTTACAACACTACAAATAAGCATGTACAATAATACACAGTTCAGATACCATACTTTTAGAAATTAGGAGTTTCTAAGTCCGTTTTTATATATTTTGCTCAAAATTACATCAGTAAAATATTATGATATATGGAGTGTTACATAAAAACAACCAATTTCTTTCCCACGAAATAAAAAACAATCAACATAAATTGATAACATTGATTTGATAGATCGTTAAGCAACTGTATGTGGACCCGGCATGTTGGTTCAAAGTAATATGATCGGACTGTAAACAGACTAAAACAAAATGCCAAAAAAAATGGTATCCTTGGATACATAAAGAGCGATTTATTCATTGACAGCGACTGCTCTTTTATTTGATTTTTTCATCTTTTGAGAATATTCTGTCCCTAATGTCCCTAATCTTCAGAAAATTATATTCCTTTTATGTTATACCCCCCATTATTTTGTTCCTATTTGTTGGCGTCCGAACAATCTGGGTGGAAAGCTATTATTTTGGGTTGCATTGCATCTCAAATGCACAAAATGTTGTTGTTGGAACAAAATTAATTAACCCGCTCCCCCCCCCCCTCAATTTTTTTCCGCAACAGCCTTGACAAAAATGTTCGCAAACTGTTATGACTTTTAGCCTCGAGTCTTGCGCATCTTTTGATACCAAAAACATAAAATTCGGACGATGAGGCGCTATACGCGACGTGAAATTGCGATTGCTGAGATCTCAGGGGGCGGAATCCGCCCCTCCCCCCCTGCTGAGAGGTGGTCAAAATAACCCGGTCCTTTCAGGGTTAAGGGAAAATAAATTAAAGCAATGATGCCGTTACTAATCATTAGTGGCATTTTTCATTCGGTATTGTTCAAGCCCTAACAACTTCATTATGTTAATAAAAAACAAGCATTTGAAAAAAAGTATATTGAGATGAGACTCGAAACAGCTAAAAAACATAACGTCTTGCCTTTACAGGGTAAATCCTAGAATGCATAATGAAGCAAAAAGAAACAATTATTTATTTCTTTTAAAATGAATTTTTCTTAAGAAAAAAATTACCAAAAAAAGGAAATTGAGCACAAAGTGGACGAAAACAATTATTGATCTCTTGTACACATTTTCATATGAGCATGTCCACTCATTATCAAAAGTCTGAGATAATCATTTCAATATGGGATGACACCACATAACCAAAATAACCATTTAAGTATCAAAAATCAAAACAGATCACACTATTTACTAAATTGTATCATTCCTTGTTAAGATGACAATTTTTAATATCTCCACCGACTAAATAAGCTTTACACTCACAATTGTTTTAGCAATGTGTCTTGATGAGACACAAGAATGCATTCACTTGATCCAACTTAAAGATGTTTAATATGTGCAATAACTGCACGAACCATGCTTTAAAACATAATTACCACCGAGACATATGTGGTACATTGAGCAATTGGAAGACCTTCTTGCAAATTTGTTTGACATGTTTTTGACCACTATTCTTTCAAGTGCATAGGTGTGTACATGTACAGGGTTCCTTATGGGGTAAAAAACACAAAAGACCTCATAAGGAAATATTTAGAAATCTAACTGCTCGTTTGGGAAACGCTATGAATTGAGTTTGAGATTTCAAAAGGAACAAAGCAAAACAAAAGAAGGAAACTGAACACAGTTCTTCCTCACAAGTGTGTGTGTGGGTCAATAGGGACCGTTGGGCAATACAGGACAATAGGATCCACAATTCCCGAAGGTCCATAATTGATGATCATGCACAAAATATATGGGAGGTCTTCCTAAAAAGTTATTAGTACAAACAAAAGAGGGACAATAGGGGGTCCATGATTGAAGGTGTTTACACACTTGGGTGAACAAGCATTACACTCACTGTGTGGACTTCCGAACGAAAGAGGTCCACATAAACCAGATAGCAGCGACGTTTTGTGGACTTGCCCACGTCCACACAATGTTTCCCACTCTCTGGAAAACAGCTTTAGATGCATTTTTGAATGAGATTTATCCGTGGCAAAATGAAGACAAGCACTAAAGGGAATCATAGAAAAAACATTAGGGTTGAAAGAGTTTTCACAGTGTGAGTAAAATGAGGTTTTTTTCACAGGTTTTCATAACTACACAAAAACAAAAGAATTTCCACACTGTGTATGTAACGTAAACAGGTGAGTGTGCGTGGCTCTAACCTCACATACTCGTTGTTGACCTGTGAACAAAAGAGGTCCACAGGACTGCAGGAAGCGCGACGCTTTGTGTACGAGACCATACTAGGTTCCCCCTTCTGGAAAACACAGTTAGAGGCATTTTTGGGTCAGGGCTATTTGTCGCAAAATGAAAAGAAACACTAAAAGAAGTAAGACATATGGATTGAAAGACTTTTCACATTTTGAGTAAAATTATAAAATGTTTCTTAACTACACGAAAAAAAAGGAATGTCCACAAGTAAGTATCATAAAGAAACATGGTGGTGTGTGTGGGCTGGGGATTTTCTGTGGGTGTCCATTTGTTTTTCACCTGTGGTTGTTCTCCCACGAAGGGGAATCAGGAAATGATTATTAGAAATCAGGAAATTAAGCACCATAACCAAAGGCAGCTCACACGGCTTGTTTATATGTAATGCCTGACTGTTGCCAAGCAAAATGGAAACAAACAAGAAACAAGTATGGTTCGCTTCAGAAATATACAACACAACAAAAAAAACCATCGTACTGAGTTGAATGTTAAATATCACTAAGAAGGTACAGAAAGTACCTATGCTGAAGCAGAAACACTACTATTTTAACAGCTGGGAAGAAGGAGCATGGTGAATGGTTACAAGGGTAGGTTAAATGCAGAAGAAATTGCAAATAAATTAGATTAATGCGAAAACATTACGATTGAGAAAATGAATGGTTGCAAATCATCTTTTCACAGTACAACTACAGCTGAAAGTGGGTCATCAAGGAGAAGGTTATCAGACAGATCCAGTTCGACCAGATTTGGCATTTCACTTAGTGACGCAGAGATCTGTTCAATGTCCCCATCACTCAATAAGCACTCCCGTAATTCCAGCCTTTTTAGTTGTTTCAGGCATATTAAGTCAGACCATGTTCTTGAGCCAGCCAAAGCTTTATTTCCAGACAGATCCAGTTCAACCAGTGTCGGTATGTCACTAAGTAATGCCGCAATGGGTTCAATGTCTTCGTATCTCAATGAGCAGCGTCCTAACACAAGCTTTTTTAGTTGTTTCAAGCATTTTAGGTGAGACCATGCTTCCGAGCCAGCCAGAGCCTCATTTCCAGACAGATCTAGTTCAAGCAGGGTTGGTATGTCACTTAGTGATGCAGCGATGGGTCCAAAATCTGAAGCTTCAAATGAGCACTTCCGTAAGGACAGCTTTTTTAGTTGTTTCAGCCGTTTTAGGTAAGACCATGCATCCAAATAAGCCAGTGCTTCATTTCCAGACAGATCTAGTTCAACCAGGGTGGGTATGTCACGTAGTGATGCAGAGATGGGTTCAATGTCTTTATCACTCAAATTACACTCCTCTACGACCAGCTTTTTCAGTTGTTTCAAGCACTTTAAGTGAGACCATGCTTCCGAGCCACCAAGGCCTGTATTTCCAGAAAGCTGCAGTTCAACCAGGGTAGGTTTGTCACACAGTGATATAGCGATTTTTTCAATGTCTACATCACTCAATGAGCACTCCCCTAAGACCAGCTTTTTAAGTTTTGTCAGGCACTTTAAGTGAGACCATGCTCTTGACCCTGACAGGGAGGCATTTCCAGACAGATTTAGTTCAACCAGAGTTGGTATGTCACTAAGTGATAAAATGTTTTCATCACTCAAGTAACATCCCTCCAAGACCAGCTTTTTGAGCTGTTTCAAGCACTTTAAGTGAGACAATGCATTCCAGCCAGCCAGTGTTTCATTTATTGACATATCTAATTCAACCAGAGTGTCACTAAATGAAGCAGCGATGTGTTTAATATCTTGATACCCCAATGAGCTCTGTTGTAATTCCAGCTTTTTCAATTGTTTCAGGCACCTTAAGTGAGACCATGCACCCGAGCCAGCCAAGGAAATATTTTCAGACAAATCAAGTTCAACCAGAGTTGGTAGGTCACGAAGTGATGCTGCGACGTGTTTTACATCTTCAGCTATTAATGAGCTTTTTCGTAACTCCAATTGCTTGAGATGTTTCAATTCCTGCAATACAGGTGACCAGTCAGCTGCTTTACCACAAAGATCAGAGAATCCAATAGCCACGTCAACCAGGTCATACAGCTCGTCGATGGTTACTTCAACTAAGTCACTTCTACTTGCTATTGCTTTTAAAATATTTGCCACATCAGGACCTCGAAATTTACTTGAAGAGAGTTGCAGTCTTATGCCATTTCTGATTTTAACTATTTCAAAGCATAAACCATCACATGCACTGCAATACACAAGACTTGGCACAAAGCCAACAACAGCAGCAATACATATCGCATCCTCTACTTCTAAACCACATCCATCTACTGTCAGCATCTTGAGTCGTGTCAGCTGCTTTAACGTAGATAATGACACACTTGAGCCAGCCAGGGGATTCCCAGACACATTCAATTTAACCAGAGTGGGAATGCTACTCAGTGATGTAGCAATGTGATCAATGTCTGCAAAACCCAAAGAACACTCCTCTAAAGCCAGCTGTTTAAGATGTTTCAGGTGCTTTAAGTGGGACCATGCATCAGAGCCAGCCAGGTCTTTATTTCCAGAAAGATCAAGTTCAATCAAAGTTGGTATGTTTTTAAGTGATGCAAGAAAGTATTTAATATCTTCATCTATTAAAGAGCAGTTTCGTAATTCAAATCGCTTGAGATGTTTCAGTTCCTGCAATGCAGGTGACCAGTTAACCGCTTTGCCACTGAGGTCGTCAATATTGTCAATAGTCAATTCAAACAAGTCGTTTCTACTTCCTATTGCCCTCAAAATATTTGCCACATCACTACCGCGAAATTTATTTGAAGAGAGATGCAGTCTTATGCCATTTCTGATATCAACTACCTCAAGGCGTAAACCATCAAGCACATGGCAGTGCACAACATTTGGCATACAACCAACTAGAGCAGCAATACATATCACATCCTCTACTTGTAAACCACAGTAATCTAGTATCAACGTCTTCAGTTGTGTCAGCTGCTGTAACTTAGACAATGACACGCCCGAGCCAGCCAGGGAACTGTTTCTAGCCAGATGCAGTTCAACCAAAGTCGGTATACCAGTCAGTGATAAAATAATGTGTTTAATATCTTCAACTTTTAAAAAGCAGCTCTTGAACTCCAATCGCTGAAGATGTTTTAGTTCCTGCAATGCAGGTGACAAGTTAACTGCTTTGCCTCTGAGGTTACGAATACATTCAATGGTCACTTCAACTAAGTCACTTCTACTTCCTATTGCCCTTAGAAAATTTGCTACATCAGGACCTCGAAATATACCTGATGAGAGATGCAGTCTTATGCCAGTTCTGATTTTATCTACTTCAAAGCATAAACCATAATCCACATGGCAGTTCACAAGATTTGGCATACATCCTACCACAGCAGCAATACACATCGCATCCTGTACTTCTAAACCAGTGTGTTCTAGTGTCAGCGTCTTAAGCTGTGTCAGCTGCTGTAACTTATACAATAAAACGCCCGAACCAGCCAGGGGGTTTCCAGATACATTCAATTTAACTAGAGTAGACGTGCTACTCAATGATGCAGCAATCTGTTCAATGTCTGTGCCTATTAATGAACAGCTTCGTATGTCTAATCGTTCTAGACATTTCAGTTCTCGTAATGCAGGTGACCATTCAGCTGCTGTACCACTTAGTCCTTTAACATTATCAATAACCACTTCAACTATGTCACTCCTGCTACTTATGACCTTCACAATATCTGCCACGTCGGTACCAGTGAACATCTGACTATAATTAAAAAGCCATATCTCCAAACCGGTACCATACGATGAGACTCTAAACACATCATTGACAGTACAGTGGATGAGCGTTGGCATACAACCAACTAGGGTAGCGATACTTATCACATCCTCTACTTTTAGATCACAGTGATGTATGATCAGCTCCTTTAGTTGTGTCAGCTTCTGTAATTTAGAAAAAGACATACCTGAGCCAGCCAGGGAATTTCCAGACACCTCCAGTTTTACCAGAGTGGGTGTACCACTCAATGATGCAGAAATGTGTTCAATATCTGTGCTTATTAATGAGCAGCTTTTTAACTCCAATTGCTGAAGATGTTTTAGCTCCTGCAATGCAGGCGACCAGGAAGCTGCTTTGCCACCAAGGCAATCTATATGTTCAATTGTCACTTCGATCAAGTCACGTCTATTTCTTATTGCTCTTACCATATTTGCTACATCAGGACCTTGAAGTTTACTTGACGATGAGAGACGAAGTCTTATGCCAGTTCTGATTTTATCTACCGCAAAGCATGAATCATCGCATACAATGCAATACGCAAGATTTGGCATACAGCTAACTACATCAGCAATACATATTACATCCTCTACTTCTAAATCACAAAAGCGTAGTGTCAGCTCTTGAAGCTGTGTCAGCTGCTGTAATATGGACAGAGATACACCCGAGCCAGCCAGAGATCTGTTTCCAGATAGATCAAGTTTTACTAGGGTGGGCGTGCTTCTCAGTGATGTAGCAATGTGTTCAATGTCTGTGCTAATTAATGAGCAGTTTATTAAGTCTAGTTCCTCCAGGCATTTTAGTTCCTGTAATGCAGGTGACCATTCAGCTGCTGTACCACCAAGTCCTGGAACACAATCAATGACCACTTTGACTATGTCACTCCTGCTACTCATGGCCAACACAATATCCTTCGCGTCAGTACCAGTGAACATCCCACTCGAGAGTTCTATCTTCAAACCCGTATCCCATGGTGAGTCACATGGTGACACTTTTAACACATTATCGACAGTACAGTGGACAAGCTTTGACATACAACCAACTAATGCGGCAATGCACTTTACATCTTCTATTTCTGAATTACAACGGTCAAAAATCAACTCGTGTAGGTGCTTTAGTTCCTTAAACTGAGAAGTCCATAATGCTGCTGTGCCTTGCAGTCCCTCAATTTCTGTCATGTACAATTCAACCAAGTCTGTTTTGTTAACCAATGCCTTCAAGATGAACTTTATTACTGTACCATTTAATGGAAGCTTCCTTAGGTGCAGCCTAATACGATATCCTACATCTATATTTATCGATATATTTTTCGAATTTAGTTCTAGCAAGTTTGGCATATCACTTAATGATAGAGCAATTTGCTTTGCGTCATCAACTGTCAGAGAACAGTTACCTAGCCTTAATTTCTGTATATGTGTCTTATTTAACTGCGGCATCCATGAATGCAGTGAACCACTTAAAGCTTCATTGTCCGAAAGGTCAATTTCAGACAGCTTGTCAGCCTTCCCCAACAATGATGCAATGTCTGTCATAATGTCAGACGATAAAGAGCATCGCTGCATGTTGACAACAGAAATCTTAGGCATGTTGCCAATGACTACTGCCAGATCTTTACTACACATTTCCAAGCTATGGCGACTAAAGTATAATTTCTTAACTATATCAAGGTATGCGTTGCCTGTGTACTTTCTCTGATTAGCAACATGTTTGAGAAGCCATACAAAGGAATTCACATCATCACGGCTTTCAAAATGATCCATGTTCATTGTTTCCCTTATGACTAAATGTATGAATGCCTCTGACAACATATTTTCTGCCTGACTCTCAAAGTAACAATTCAAAGCCATGTTCCATGAACGGTCATCACTGTCATCACTGATGAAATACTGATTACAAATAATCTGATGACTGATACTATCATCACTGATACTCTCATCACTGATACTCTCAGTATACATACTCTCATTTTGAATACATGTACGCCAACGATAGATCCTCTTCTGCAACATCTGCAGGACTTTAATAGTGCATGCTTCATTGTCGCCACAACAAAAGCGCAGTAGATAGTGAAACTGCTCGCCATCAAGTTTATCAAGATTCTTTTGAAATTCATCAGCGTCTGATTTTTGTAGACTTTGCAGGTAAAACGCAGCAGAGAACTCCTGAAATGTTTTGTGGATAAACTGTATGTTGTTAAGTGTGTCCAACCCTCTTAAGACCCTCTGGCTTGTAAGGATGCCAGCCTTCAAAGCTTTATCAAGCACGTTTTTCTCAAAGTCTCTTTCTTGAAATGAAAGTCGCTGCACTGGAGATACCAGGCCATTGAAAGCAATCTCTCCAATGGCAACAAGTATCTCTGGTATTTCCTCCTCCGGTATATCTTTTCTCTTGAATATATAACGAATAGCCTGGTCATATAAGCGTGACATTGTGTCCGGTAGTGTCGAATGTTGTCTCCATAACAAACACATTAATAGAATCAGCATTGGGCTGCAGGCTAAATCAAGTAGGACAGATGATGATTGAATGGTTTGGAAAAGAGAGTGAGCATCATGAGGGCTTTTAGAAAAAAACTTTCCCAAGTAATTTTTAATATCTTCCTCAGAGAACCCCAACACCTTCACATGGGTAAAAGGTTTTCCAACCGGTGGTTTGCTGACCGGTGATCTACAGACCAATGTGCCATAATGAGAGGTGCGGGTTGTTATAACTACATCAATGTCTGCTCCAACCTTTCGGTTTAGAATTTGCAGGATGGATCTGAATGATTTACTATCAAGTTTGGTGGTCATCAACTCATCAAAACCATCCAGAAGAATGAGCACCTTTTTAGGATTCTTGAAAATAAAGGTTTTCAGGTGTTTTTTGTCGATTATGTTTGGATCGACGAGCTGCTCATATAAAGAGTCAATCAGATCTGCAGTTTGTTCCAGTGCACTCATTCTCAGAACAAAAACAAGCTTATATTTCGCCAAAGGGCCAGATAAGCCACTTGCCCAGTCGTAAGCAATTTTCCCAATCAGGGTTGTTTTCCCCAGACCAGCCAATCCCTCATAAATTAAACGATTGATAACAAAACCTTCTTCGTTTTGAACAAGGAAAGACTCCTGATATGTCACCTCCTTTGCCCTTTCTTTATTCAGCCTCTGTCCTGATTGATCACCACCTTCATCTTTATCATCATCATCATCATCATCCAGTTCCTCATTATCATCATCACTAACTAATCGTAAATTTGTGTAAATTTTCATGATATGCATCATGTCATCATCAACCCAGGGAATCATTTGCACGTAACTGCCTGTGGTCTTGTACACCTTTTTAAGTGCCTCTTCGCACAGATCCGCTGCCGCATCTGCTGCTGCATCGGTGGCTGTACTAGTATCTTGACTTGTTTGTACTGATTGACTGTTTACCTCAGGTTGGATGTACTGTACAGGGCGCTGATCATTTCCCATCGCTCCTGTTGAAAAAGTGAATTCACGCACAACTTTTTGGAATAGTTTTTTTTTTTACTTCCCGAAATATGTCAAAAAGAAATATGGACCAGGGTTTACAAGATAATGAAATTTATCAAAATAGGGATCACGTTAATCTGTAAACCACAAACCAGCCTCTTTTGTTACACCAGCCCCTTGCCCACCCCCCTGATTATGCTGTATATTATGAGTTATTAATTGTGATTGAATACATGATCTGTTTTATTTTATTTAGTTATATCCTTTGACATTTCTACAAAACTCTCTTTGCAATTTAAAACAAGAGTTTGCATATTTGGTGGGGGGGGGGGGGGGGGGTTCCGCACACATATCATAAACCTAAACAATAAATCAATTGGTAAATGAATGTGTGTTGTAATTAATTTCAGATATATGATTTTCGCCATGTTCGTTTTAAAAATTAAAGTTTTAAATTGCCAAGAAAGTTTCGTGGAAAAGTCAAAAGTCACTTAATAAAATAAAACAGGCCATGTATACAATCACAACTAATAGCTCATAATATACAGCATAATCAGCTGTGGACTTGACTAAATTAAAGGGTTTTTTTTCTCATCTGAATGTCGGAATGTGTAAGGACCGAGACATTTTGTAATAGATCAGAAAATCCAGGCCTGGTGAAGGCCTGTGTGCTTATACATTTCAGATTCAGTAGCATTTCAAATGACTGACATAAATTTATATCGTACATTATCTGCAGTATCCAATCTGTGTGTCGTAAAAGTAAACCCAATGGCCAAAACTAGGACTGCTGTTTCTGGTAACCTTAATGAAGGGATGGCGTCTTGAATTCCTAAAACTATTTTACCTGACGTAGCTTCCTGATGAACTGTCACATTTTGGTTGAATTCGTAATGGAATGTATGCCCAGACGACGATCCTAAAAACACAGGATTACAGCTGCCAGGGACATTGACGTCCCCTGTTTGTACAGTTTGTTGAATGGAATCAGATGTAGGAGTACACAGAGTAGATGGATGCTGCATTGCTGGCTGAACCGCTGAAGGTACTAGATCTCGAACTGCTATAATATAGTGAGGAAAAAAGTTGAACACGAGTTAGAATAAACTCTCACAATCTATATGTTGATTAAATTACTTATGCAATGGTCAACCTTACAACCTATATAGATGTTTAATTATCACCTTGCATTTGTTCTGCAGACAAATTGCCCTTGTGAAGTTGATCAGGTTGAGGTTTTTCTTGTGCAGATGTCATCACCTCTTCTTGAGGGCGCTGTTCTCCTATCGTTGACTGTATATTTGGGTCGGGCCCGTAAGGATCATCATCCCGCTCCTGTCTCATTCTCTGATTCTCAGGCGACGTACTTTGTTGGGTGTTCTGTTTGCTGACTTCTGCCACTTTATACTTATCTTGCTGAGGAAGCTGTGCATGATGACTTGCTTGCGTCTGTTGAATTCCCTGATTCTCACGTGTTTCTATCTCTTGTTGAGAACTCAGCTCATGTCCGAGTTTCCCAGGTGATGCTTCACTCACTTGCTGGAAGCCCCGCTCTCCGACCCCTGGCTCCTGCTGAGCTCTTTCTGTCTCAATAATCTGTTCCTGCTTTATTGCTCGTCTCTCAGGTACTGTTAGTCCTTGCTGACAGCTCTGTTTGACGAGTTCTTGTTTCACCTTTTGACATTTTGTTTCTTGTTTTTTGAATTGCGGTAGTGTGTCTGGACCATCATCTTGCTTGTATCTCGGTTTTGAGTGCTCAGGTGATGTCATTGTCTGTAGTTGTGAACTTTGAGGCCTATGTTTCTGATGTCTGTTTAGATCATCTGTTTTAAGTCTGTCTGGGCCATAATCCTCCTGGCCCACTCCTTGTGTTTCGGATGATGATATCTCTTGCTGATTGCCTGCTTCCTCAGTTTTCTGATCTTTTGGTCTCTGTTGGTCTCTAAGTGCAATTCCCTTTCCTTGTTGCAGGTTCAATTCCATGACACCTGCAACATTCTGATCCTCTGGCTGGAGTCTTTCAAGATCAAGGACCTGAGAATCTCCATCCTCTTGTTTCTTCTCAGGATTTGTCCGTTTCCTTCTTGTCCTCCTCCTTCCTGTGTGTAAACAATCAGATAAACAAATATTGTTTTTGTTTCATGAGCAATATATTTGACTCCAAAATCAGACATTGGCAATTTTATACCACACACATATTTGTACATGTATTAGATTTAACCTTTTGATCGGCTGCCTGATGAGGTAGTGACTGATGCTGAGACAGGGGAACTTCCTATGTCAACTTGCTGTCTATCGCTTGCAACAGTCTTTTCCTGTGAATGTTCAGCTTCACTGACAGCCATTTCTTGTCTTTCTATATTCCTTCTTGTCCCAGCAACTGATGTATGAAAATAAGATTTTGAAACTGATCACTTGAAATGGTGGTTTGTGAGAGGTTCAATGAAATATAATTCAGCTGAAGCAGCAAATTGCCATATATATATCAATTACTGAAAGTGTTACCGGTCTCTGGCGAGGTGCTAGCGTAGCCAATGGTTGCCGATGAACAGGAATTTCCTGGATCATGTAAGATCTGTTGCTCGGTATCATCCAGGCTCTTCGTATTGGTTTCTGCTTCAGGTGGAGATTTGTTGTCAGCTGTTCTTTTCCCTTTTAGTATCCTCCCGGAATAGTTGTCATTCCTTGACTGTTTCAGTTTCTGTTGTTGTGTCTCACCTGATGGGTGGACAGTGGGTTCAATAACTGCTGAGGACATGGAAGAATCCGCCGAGCTATCTGAGTTTTCTTCTTTTCCACGGCTAGTCCTTGTTTTGGAAGCTTTTCTTTTTCCCTTTTGTAGCCTTTCAGAATTGGAGTCTTTTTTTGGCTGTTGTAGTTTCTTTTCTTCTTTTTCACCTGATGGGTGACCAGCGGGCGCCTTATCTGCAGAGGAGATGGAAGAACCCGCCGAGTTCTCTTCAGCAACTGGGATTGTCCTTGTCTTAGTAGCTTCTCTTTTTCCCTTTTGTCTCCTCCCTGAATTGTCTTTCCTTGGCTGTTCTAGTCTCTGTTCTTCTGTTTCCCCTGATTGGTGGCCAGCGGGTTCTTTAACTGTTGAGGAGATGGCAGAATCCTCCGAGTTACCTACATTTTCTTCACCGTCATGGCTTGTCCCTGTAATAGGTGCTTTTCTTTCTCCGTTTTGTATCCTCCCTGAATTGTTGTCTTTCCTTAGCTTTTCTAGTTTGTGTGTTTGTGTTTGCCCTGATGAGTGACCAGTGGGTGCCTTAACTGCTGAGGCGATGGAAGAATCCTCAGAGTTATCTTCACCGCCAAGGCTTGTCGTTGTTTTGGTAGCTTTTCTTTTTCCGTTCTGTCTCCTCCCTGAATCGTTGTCTTTCCTTGGCTGTTCTGGTTTCTGTTGAACTTGTGTTTCCCCTGATGATTGACCAGCGGCTACCTCAACTGGTGACGTGATGGAAGAATCCTCTGATTTATCCGTACTGTCTTTACCCCCACTGCCTGTCCCTGTTTTGGTAGCTTTTCTTTTTCCCCTTTGTCTCATCCCTGAATCATTGTCTTTCCTTGGCTGTTTTGGTTTATGTTCTTGTGTTTCTTCTGATGGTTGAATTGCGGGTGTATTTACTGCTGAGCAGATGGAAGAGTCCTTATCCATGGTTACTTCACTGTAACGGCTTGTTCGTCTCTCGGTAGCTTTTTGGTTTTTCTTTTGTTTCCTCGCTGAATCATTGTCTTTCCTTGGCTGTTCGATTTTTTGATCTTGTGTTTCCCCTGATGGGTGATCAGCACGTGCCTTAACTGCTGAGAAGATGGAGGAATCCTCCGAGGTATCCACGTTTTCTTCATCGCTAAGGTGTTTCCCCGTCTTGGAAGCTTTTCTGTTTCCCTTTTGTCTTCTCCTGGAATGGGCTTTTCTTGGCTGTTCTAGTTTCTGTTCCTGTGTTTCCCCTGATGGGTAACCAGCGGGTGCCTTAACTGCTGAGGAGATTGAAGAATCCTCTGAGTTATCTGCATTTTCTTCACTGCCACGGCTGGTCCTTCTCTTGGTAGCTTTTTTATTTGAATCTCCTAAAGGTAAGATTATGAACACAGGTATATCAAAATTGGCTCACAATTCCAGACAGTCAGATGGTTTATCAAAGAATGACAATGCTACAAGTAGGTGAGTAGTTCTATCATCATTACCTTGTCTAATAATAGGAGTTTGGAGAATCACTTTGTCTTTTTTTCTGCTGGATTCTTCACTAAGTAAAGATTTTCAAAGTGAATTATGACTAACCCACAATTTAACCGACTCTTTTATCTACATAATTGACTCTCTACGCCTAAAGAGGCGACACTTTATGCCTACAGAGGTAACTGCACTAGCTTAATCTCTGCGTATAAACTTCACCTGCTGATTTCTGTTCATCATCAGCTCCGCCCATCAACCCAGACACTAAGCGTAGCTCTATGTTGGTGTCTTGCTGAATTCCAAGTTCTTTGAGGGACATTCCATCCTTGAGCTAACATAGGGGGTTAAAAATTACCAAAAAAAAATCTGTCAGGATAACAAATCTGTTAAAAAGAAATACCGACAAAAGTGAATAAGTAAGATGCTGTGATTAATACTCTGAACAGGATTGAAAATAGGAAAATTGGAGAAATTTACTTGCAACAGAAAACAAAGAAAATCTGTCAAGATAACAACTCTTTAATGATGACATACTTGCATAAACAAATATGTGGGATGATGTGCATACTTACTGTAAAGAGGATTGAAAATAGGTAAATTTGTGAAATTTACTTGAAACAGATTTTACATGACTGTACCATACCTCGTGGTTTTTCCTCGTATACAGATGTTGTTTCTTTGGTTCAATCCCCAGTTTGTCTTGTAGTAATCCTTTCAATGCTGAGATAGTAGTGGACGGATGCAGTTGCAGACATACAGGTGATCTCAAAGAACTCATCAAAAACAGCTGAATTTGGGAATCTTTTTTCTCTTCACAAGATGGTTTCTTGTCAGCAATTGTTTGTTTCCTTGTCTTCTTTCTCCCTAGATGAAAAACAAGAAGCACATTGTTTTCTTTGACCTATTTGCACGATTTGGCTTCAAATGAAAATTTAATGAATAAAATATTCAATTGACCATCAAAGTTCACAAAGTTAACCATCTGTTGAGAACATAACTGAAGATCAGTATTTATGTGAATCAGAAGTGCTAATAATTGAGGTGACAGTCCATAAAAAGACATCCATTGAAATTTCGTGAATGGGACACTTGCAATTACAAAAGGAAAGGTTAAACATAATGACAATCAAACGTTTTGATTGATCACTTCCTATTTGGTTGAACGTGTCAATGAGTACTAACAAAATAATTTATAACACATGCATATTCATAGTCTTCATGGGGGGAAATCATATAAAAAATAGGATTGACTACTGTATCAGCTGCTACATCAGATTTGAACAGATGTATAAGGCACCTGCACTATTAAGCAGGAGGTCGTGGGTTCGAGTCCCACGAGTGAGCGTGTGAACTTTGTTTGTTTGGGGTTTTTATTTAGGGGGGAGCAGCTTTTGGACAGCATTAATACAATACTTGTGAAAATATATCAGTGAATGGCAAATTCCATTATTGGAACAGAGAATTTACCTTTTGATTGGTTGTTTCTCTTAGCAGTGGTCTTGGCTGATGAGGAGACGGTGGAATCCCTTGAGTTGACCAACTTATCTTCAGTTTGATCACCTTTGCTTGTTTTATCGATGGCTTCTTCTTTGGATGAGGATTTCTTGGCAACATTTCGGCCTTTCCTTCTCTTGCCTGAATTGTTCTTAGTCTTGCCTCTTCTGTCTACTTTCCCTGCAGGTAAACAAACATATAAAAGGCTGTAGCTATATTCTTCAGCAAGCGAAAAAGAATACTTGCATTCAGATCGTCTTTGATTCCAACAAAAAGCTAAACGTGAAAATCTACGTCAAAATACCGAGATTTACCAGGTTTTTTTGTCGAGATGTAAGATTCCCCAAAGGCGTTCGAAGGATCTCGCTTTTTGTCATCTGAGGAAGTTTGTTTTTCAGCCTTAAAACAATTTTAAGCAACAGAATGTAAAGGGCAGGACCGTGTAATTCGAAAAAGTTTGAAGAGGACTATCACAGGGAGTTTAGTTCCCTTACTATCTTTCAACCAAGTTTGTTTATCAACAGTAATTACGCCAGTTACTTTTCGGATGGCTGCAAATGATGGACTATAGCTTTAAGAAGCACCGTAGGAAAATTTAAATTAGTAGTTCGTTTTGTTATTCAGCGCAGCGCGCACAAGTATTGGAACGACGCTCACGCGCGCGGTTGTTGTAATTCGTCGGATCAGTGCGCGACGTCGCGTATAGCTGCAATTCAAAACATTTCAAAAAATGATTCAGTAACTTTTGATTTGAATTTGAGATCTTAGAATGCTGTTTTTCTCGGAATGTACAGCTGAAGCTTAGCTGAAACTTCATCAGGTTAGTTGCTCAGTATCCTTCATTAGATTTTGAACTCTTTTGTTGCTTCAAACGAACAAAATGCACAAATTACAGATGGACTGTAGCTTTAATGGTTCTACCAAAAACTTAAATTATGAAATACAATTAAACCTTAATTTAATCAATCAAGATCAAAGTTTTCTTGCACCATTCAGCAAGCAGGCATGTGTTTAAGATGAACACAATTCACAATCATGTTATAAAAAAACTTTGAACAAAATTAACACATTTTACAAGCATGGTTTAAAAATATACTTTTAAATGTCCACTTTACCTGCATTCTTGATCCTCTGTGGAAGTACTTGAAACAACAGACTTGGGTGGAATGGATTCTTGGCAGGACCTGGGAGATAACAGTACTGACTGAAACGCCTCTTTCTTGGACTTGCGGACTTTCTTCTTTCTCGTGACCATCTTGGCCAGCGAGTGATTATTGATGTGCCGAGCAGCTCTCTTGGCATCCTCCAAGTCAGAAAGGGTCCTCAAAGGTTGCAACAAAAAATCCCCCTGGATATTGATACAATTATGACAAATTTCAAATTGAAGGATGCTCATAATTGTTACATGATTTGTCAAATAAAACAGGAGGGCTTTAAGAAAATGCATCGAAGTGATACACTACCACATCTAATTTTTGAGAAGGGGTATGATAGCCATGGAACAACGAATATCAAATATCTACCCTCCTCCCTCCCCTCCCCTCCCCTCGCCACGCCCCACCCCAACCCCAACCCCAATCCACGAACAAGGTATGTCCATACAATTGCTGACAATACAATCGTCTAAAAAAATAATTCCATGTGGTTATTTGAAAGGAAAAAATTAAACAAATGTTTCTATAAATGAGGCAAATATAACTACATTTTAACTGTAGCCTTGACAAAGTAAAGTCAACAGAAGTTAGTGAATAGTGATGGCTCAGATGAACTATTTCAAGCGGGGAAGTATGAAGAAAAGCATTTCTGTCCGATCTTTAAATGCCATATAGAGCACGACAAAGACCGATAGTACTTTATTTCTTAGAAAATATCCACAATGCTTACCATTTTTCTGTCTTTACGACCAGATTTGTCACCCGATCCTGTAAATTGAAGGAAGCGTCGCAATTTTAGCAGCTGCGGGAATTCCCCTTTTGTCACTGATTATTTTCACGTAGACAGTACAAAGGGTGCATTAGCAAGGTTAATAATTAGTCAAGATCATTTCCTCTGTGAAACGTTATTTACCGGACAAACCCGCAAACCCGAATGAGCGGTAAAGACCTCAAGTCTGTTTTTACAGTCAAAATACGACACATTTACAAACATTTCGTGAATATAATCCCTTGAATTTAAATTTACACAAAACGTGCGCCCCTCGGAATTTCCAGCTGGCAAGTCAATCGAAATATAATTTTGGTAATAATTCATACTCCCATGAATAAAAATGACACAAACAAAACGGGCATACGTTTGAATTTCTAGTCGGGCAAGATCGAGTCGCTACTCCTTAGAAGTTAATCACGATGCCAATCTCAAGTCCAGCTATTCCAATGACTGTAACAACACTCCTTATTTAACATTCATCTCCTGCCTTTTAATTCTGACATTGCTTGTGATTGTCTTAACTATATCTTATCTTACTTTAAATCACTTTTCAATTTAATGGCATTGTTACATTTATGGAAATATCAGACTAGGCACAATGTACTTGTATTACCAAAATTCTTTATTTCCATTGACCAAAGTGATTTGATATTTAATAGCAGTACAAATACGATACTTTTAGAAATAAGGAGTCTCTAAGTCCTTATTTTTATATTTTTCTTATAAAAAATGATGGAATCAGTAAAAAAAAAAAAATCTTTCCAACGAAATTAGATTACACTGATTTGATAGATCATTATGTAATTGTATGTTGACCTGTAACATGTTGGTTTCCACTAAGTTCATTTGACAAGCTTAAAACAAACAAAAGCATAATGCAAAAAAGAACCTGTTGAAAAAGGCTTTTTTTACCAGGAATAATTATATTTCGCAAAGGATGCGAGTTTATAGTTCACAATTTGACCATCTTCTTCACATGTGTATTTGCTCTGAACACATAAACAAATCTTAATCATTGGCAACAGCTGCTCTGATATGATTTAGTTCATCTTTTTTTAACATATGCTGTCCCTGATCTTCAACAAATTAAATTTCTAATCTGTATGTTTCAATTTTGAAACATGTATCATTATTGCTGTGAAAAACAGGGCTTTAAGTTTGGGTTGCCAATTTTTGATCCGAAAAAAATTAAAGAAAATAAAAAGATAAACAATAACGTCATAACTATAGCATTAAAGTGGAGTTTTTTTATTTGATATTTTTTTCGAAAGTTAATAACAGATCATGCTACAAAATAAACCAGTATTTGTCGTAAAACTTTAAACAAGCACTTTAACAAACAAGGAACTTGTAGGAATGCCAAAAAACAAAACCCAGGCAATTATTTTTGCGTAAGTTTCTTTTCTATAAGTTCCACTGGTATCAGGAAATGCCTTCCAATGAAGAGAGTGTTATCCGTCTCTCAAGAAAAAAAAGTTGAAAACGAATTAATTAATCATAGTAATTGAAAATAATAATTGTTGTCTCGTGCACATATTCGCATGTGTACTCATTTCCAATTAAGTCCGAGATAATCATTTTAGATAACACACTGCCTGACGAAGATTGTATGAAGTAGTGCCAACGTTAAGTTTCAAATATCAACAATATATTAAAAGGTTACTGAATTTTATCATTGCTTGTAAAGATTACAATGTTGAACATTTCAACCGACTTATTTAAAATCACAGTTAATAACAATGTTTTCTGATGCGGTACAATTATGCATTCACTTGAATTCCATTTGTGAAGATCTTTTGGTGCCATAATAGCATGAACCACTATATATATTTCAACTGACCACAGAGACATTTCTGGCATTTTGAGCAATCTAAGCAAATTAGGAAGAACGGTTTCGATTGATAAGGCTCAAAGAAAGGACCGATAACGAGGGTAAGCCCATCACTACTATACAATCAAGTGTAAAAGCTGTTTACCATTTCAACACTACAACCTAGTCAATGTTACATTCCCATGGTGCTTTCAGCAAGCTACACATATTTCACAACGTATTGATCATCCACTCAAATACACCTCTCTGATCATACCAGCTATCAATGTATACAAATATGCCTTTTTCCCAAGGACTATGCCAGTTTGGAACAGGCTTCCACCATCTGCCGTTCTACACATAGCCCCATCCGCACAGGCCTTCCAAACACCAGCCATCCCTGCCATCAGAGCAATGCAGCCTCTTTATGGCAATATTGTCCTGAAAATTCTTTCTTTCTTCTTCACCTGTAAAAAGTACACCTTTTATTTCATTTTCTTTTTGTTTTCTCTTTTTGGCACTTTATCCATCTGGCTGTTGAAGTCACCTTCTGCACAACATTAGTTTAGCCCAAGTTGGGTTGCGATGGGATTAACCTACCAATTAAACACCAAGTACCAAGTGTGTATGTGTATATACCCTGAGGACAGACACACAAAGGGAGAACACCAGATTCTTTAATTGTTACCCTCGAGAGTTCATCTTTTGTTGAAACGGGAAAGACAATGCCTTGTGCATATGGGAGGTCTCCTAAAAAAAGTTAAGAGTACAATAAAAAGAGGGACATTAGGAGGTCCATGATCGAAGGTGTTTACAGACTTGTGTGGGTGGGAGGGCCGTCAACTAGTTATGGGGATGTTTTTCATTGTTAGGGTAATTAGGAGCGAGTTGTGAGGACTTTCTTCCGTCCCTATAGCGTCTTTGGACCCAAAGTACATGGAACAAGTCAGGTGTAGTCCCTACAGTTACAGAACAAGAATGGATGTTTGTGGTGTAAATCGAGGATTTCCTATTGTTCCTCATCATCGAACTTTTTTTCATACCTCAGCTTTTTTTTTGCAACAGTTCCCATTGGTTTTGTACACGTTTTCTAATCGAGGTCGAGTTCTATTTGACTCCTGTTCTGACGCAAGGATGTTTCAAGTGTGTCCTCGATTTACACTATTACAAACTGTGTGGTCATGAGTCGGTTGCCTGTGGGCGTTTTCCCATGAAGCAGGCAAGCCAAAGCCTCATCGGGAATGCACCTCAAGCAAAGACAGCTCACGCGGCTTGCTTGCCTAGCTAAAATGAAGCAAAAGAGAATAACTGGCTCACTACAGGGAAAAAAAATGAAAAGGATAATTATAAAATGCTCATTCTTCCTGTTTTACCATTCAAAAAGACTGCACAGATGTGCTCTAGGTAAAAACATTAGTATTTGAACAGCTGGGATGAAGACAATATTCATTTTGAAATTGACAAGGGTAGGTTGCACGTAGAAGAAAAGCGAGTTAACATTTTCACTGCTGATGAAAATTTATACTTTGATGTCCAGATTCTGTCTCTGTAAAGCAGCTACAGCTAAAAGTGGGTCATCAGAGGTGAAGTTACCCGACAGATCCAGTTCGACCAAATTGGGCATTTCACTAAGTGATGCCATGATGGGTTCAATGTCTGCAGTACATAATGCGCACCTCCATAGGGCCAGCTTTTCCAGTCGTTTAAGATGTTTTAAGTGAGACCATGGAAATGAGCTAAACCTGAAATGATTTCCAGACAGATCCAGTTCAACCAGAGTTGGTATGTCACTTAGTGATGCAGTGATGAGTTCAATGTCCGCATACCTCAATGAGCATTCCCTTAAGACCAGCTTTTTCAGTTGTTTGAGACACTTTAAGTGAGACCATGCACCCGAGCCAGCAACGGAGTTGTTTCCAGACAGATCCAGTTCAACCAGAGTGGATATGTCGCTTAGCGATGCAGTAATTTGTTCGATGTCCAAGTCTGTTAATAAACACAAAGACACATTCAGCTTTCTCAATTCTTGCAGGCATTTTAGATGACACCAGGCACCGGACTTAGCAAGGAATACATTACTAGACAGGTTTAATTCAACCACAGTCCGGGTTTCTCTCAGTGATCCAGCAATGTGCTCAATATCTTCACCTTTTAATGAGCAACAGCTTAGGTCCAGTTTCTCAAGATGTTTCAAGCACTTTAAATAAAACCAAGCACCTGATCCAGCAAAATCTACGTTGTAAGAAAGATCCAAATCAACCAATGTGGGCATTTTACTCAGTGATGCAGCAATGTCTTCGATGTCGTCGCTTCCTAATGAGCAGCCTTGTAAGACCAGTTTCTTAAGATGCTTCATGCACCTTAATATATTCCATACACTTGAGCCAGAGTATTTTCCACACAGATCCAATTCAACCAATGTGGGTGTGCCATTCAGAGATGCAGTTGTGTTGTGTATGTCTTTCCAAAACGAATCGCATGATCTTAAGACCAATGTCTGAAGCTTTACACAAAGTTGTTGAAAGGCCAACTGTGGGCAAACCAATTGCTTATTTTCAGACAGATCCATTTCAACCAAAGTGGGCATATCATCCACCGATGTAGCTATATGTTCCATGTCTTTTCCTGTCAATGAGCATGACCTTAAGACAAGCCTGTTCAGTCGTTTCAGATGAGACAACAAGTGAGACCACAGTGCGCAAGAGCCAGTCAGGGATTTATTGCCAGATAGATCCAGTTCAACTAGAGTGGACGTGTCTCTCAGTGAGGTAGCAAGGTGTTCAATATCACTGCTCTGCAATGAGCATTTTATTAATTCCAATCGCTTGAGATGTTTCAGTTCCTGCAATGCTGGTAACCATTCAGCTGATGTTATACTGAATGTGGAAATATCTGTCAAGATCACTCCAACCAAGTCAACCCTCTGTTTCATGTTCTTCAAAATATCTGATAAGGTAGAACCATCAGACTTACACCCGGAGAGTTTTAACCTTATGCCACTACTGATTAGTCCTATCTCAAATGTATCACTAACACGACAACGCACAAGATTTGCCATACAGCCAACTGATGCAGAAAGGCATTTTACATCTTCTATGTTATAATAATCTGTTGTAAACCCCCTCATTTGCTCAAAGTTCTGTAAAGAAGACAATTCATCTGAGCCAGCCAGATTTCCAGTAAGATTCAGTTCAACCAGAGAGGGCATGTTACTCAGTGATGCAAACAAATGCTTAATATCTGCGGGAACTAATGAGCAGTTTCGTAAATTCAATCGCTTAAGATGTTTCAGTTCCAGCAATGCAGGCGACCATTCAGCTGCTTTGCCACTAAGGCCACTATGACATTCGATGATCACTTCAACTAAGTCACTTTTACTTCCTAGTTTCAGCAGAATATTTGCCACATCAGAACCTCGCAATTTAGGAGAGTAGAGTGTCAGGCTTATGCCATTTCTGATTTTAACTATTTCGAAGCTTAACGAATCATGAAATGCACGGCAATGCACGAGATTTGGCATACACCCAACGGTGATAATGGATAACACGTCCTCTGCCTGTAAACCACACAAATTCAGTATCAGCTTCTTTAGTTGTGTCTGCTGCTGTAACATAGACAATGACACACCCGAACCAGCCAGGGAATTTCCAGACAGATCCAATTTTACAAGACTGGATGTCTTACTCAGTGATGCAGCAATGTGTTCAATGTCTGTGCCTGTTAATGAGCAGTTTCGAATGTCTAATTGCTCTAGACATTTCAGTTCTCTTAATGCAAGTGACCATGCAGCTGCTTGTCCACCAAGTCCTTCAACACCATCAATGACCACTTCGACTATGTCACTCCTGCTACTCACGGCCTTCACAATATCTACCACGTCAGTACTAGTGAACATCTGACTCCAGAGTTCCATCTTCAAACCAGAACCACATGGTGAGACTCGAAATACATTGACATTACAGCGGACAAGCTTTGGGATACAGCCAACTAATGCAGCAATGAACTTTACATAATCTGTTTCTGAATCATTATAATTTCCAAGCAAGTAAAGTTCTGTCAGTGTAGACGTATTATAAAGTGATTCAGCAATGAGCTTAATATCAGTGCTTGATAGTGAACAACGGTCAAACGTCAATTTTTCTAGGTTCTTTAGTTCCTTGAAATGAGAAGTCCATGATGCTGCTGTGTCTTTCAGTCCATCAATTGCAGCCATGCACAATGCAACTGAGTCTGTTCTGTTAACCAGTGCCTTCAAAATCAGCTTCATTAATGTACCATCTAAGAAAAGCTTCCTAAGGTCCAGCATAATACCACATCCTTCTGGACGTATAGAAATACTTCCCAAATCACTCAGTTCCATCAAATTTGGCATTTCACCGAGTGACACAGCAATTCGATTCACGTCATCACCCGTCAGAAAACAGCCTTCGAGCTTCAATATCCGTAGTTGTGTCTTATTTATATGCGGAATCCATGAATGCAGTGATCCACTTAAAGCTTTATTGTCCGAAAGGTCTAATACAGACAACTTGTCTGTCTTACGCAGCACCGATGCAAAGTATGTCATATCATCAGTAGTTAAAGAGCATTCCTTCATTGTAACAACAGAAATATTAGGCATGTTACTCATGGCCACTGCCAGATCTTTACTACACCTTTCCAAGCAATGGTGATTGAAGTTTAATTCCCTAACTTTGTCAAGGTACCTACTGCCTGTGTTCTTTGTCTGGTTAGCAACATGTTTGAGAAACCAAACAAAGGAATTCACATTATCACGGCTCTTGAGATAATCCGTGTATAGTGTTTCAGTTATGACTGAATGTGTGAATGTCTCTGATAACAGATTTTCTGCCTGACTCTCAAAGTAACAATTCAAGGCCATGTTTAATGCTGTGGTTTTGATCAATGTACTCTTGTCATTGATTTTCTTTTGCAACATCTGCAAGACTTTAATTGTGCATGCTTCATTGTCGCCACAACAAAAGCGCAGCAAATAGTGAAACGTCTCCGGGTCATCAAGTTTTTCAAGATTCTGTTGAAATTCATCAGTGTCAGATTTTTGTAAGTTTTGCAGGAAAGTAGCAGCACAGGACTCCTGAATTGTTTCATGGATAAACTGTATGTTGTTATGAGTGTCCAAACCTTTTAAACCCTTCTGGCTTGTGAGGATGCCAGCCTTCAAAGCTTCATCAAGCACACTCTTCTCAAACTCTTTCTCTTGAAATGAAAGCTGCTGCAATGGAGACACAAGGCCATGAAAAGCAACTTTTCCGATTGCAACAAGGATATCTGGTTTTGTCTTGAATATGTATTTTTGAGCCTCAACAAATAAGCGTGATATTGTGTCTGGTAGTGTTGAACATTGTCTCCATGATAAACACATTAACAGGAGCAGCACTGGGCTATGGGCCAAATCAAGAAGGACATCTGATGATTTAATGGTTTTAAAAAGAGTGTCGGCATCATAGGGGCTTTTAGAAAAGAACTTTCCCAAGTAAGTTTTAATATCTTGCTCAAAGATCCCCGAAACTTTTACATGGGTGAAAGGTTTTCCAACCAGTGCGCTGCTGACCAATTTGCCAATATGAGAGGTGCGGGTTGTTATAACCACATCAATGTCTGCTCCAACCTTTCGGTTTAGAATTTGCAGGACGGATCCAAATGATTCACTATCAAGTTCGGTAGTCATCAACTCATCAAAGCCATCCAAAAGAATTAGCACCTTTTTGGGATTCTTGAAAATGAAGGTTTTCAGATGATTTCTATCGATACTTTTTGGATCGATGAGCTGCTCATATAGAGAGTCAAAGAGATCTGCAGATTGTTCCAGTGCACACATTCTCAGAACAAACACAAGCTTATATTTCGACAGAGGGCCAGATGAGCCACTTGCCCAGTCGTAAGCAATTTTCCCAATTAGAGTTGTTTTTCTTAGACCCGCCAACCCTTCATAAATTATTCGATTGATAGCAATACCATCTTTGTTTTTAATAAGGAAAGCATCCTGATACGTCACCTCCTTCCCATCTTCATGCCCCCTCCATATCATTTTTACCTTATCAGTGACTAATCTTAACTTGGTATATATATCCATTATATGCCTCATGTCATCATCATCAACCCATGGAATCATTTGCACGTAACTACCCGGGGTCTTGTATGCCTTCTTGAGTGCCTTTTCACACAGATCTGCTGCCGCATCTGCTGCTGCATCGGTGGCTGGACTGGTATCTTGACTTATTTGTACTGATGGGCCGCTTACCTCAGGTTGGATGTGTGGTATACGGTGCTGATCATTTCCCATTCCTCCTGTTGAAAAAGTGAATTCACGCACCATGACTTTGGGGAATGGTTTGGGATAAAAATGTCCAAAATATGTCAAACAAAAATATGGACGGGTGTTCATGAGATCACTAATGAAATATGTTAAAATAGGGGCCACTTTAATCTGGAAATCACACTCTGGGGAAGAAAGTTTTTTTCAAAAAAATTATGGGGTTTTTAATCTCTCTAGCTTTTGTCACACCAGACCCTTGTACTGTTTAACACGAGCTATTAATGCTTTTGTTTTGATTGCATGTGTTCTATTTTATTTTGTAATTGATTTTGTCTTTTTCATGAAATTTTCTTTACAATTTAAAATCAGTACGAAATGTACATAAAAGAAATTGGAGCAGCGGAGTGGGGGTTCATCCTTGCCGTACACATAACCCTGTAAAATGAATTTGTAAATGAATGTAGTTGGGTGGGAAGAAGTGGGTATCGTGCACCCTCGGAAATCAACTTCAATGACCAACTTATCTTCAGCTTGATCACCTTTGCTTGTTTTATCGATGGCTTCTTCTTTGGATGAGGATTTCTTGGCAACATTTCGGCCTTTCCTTCTCTTGCCCGAATTGTTCTTAGTCTTGCCTCTTCTGTGTACTTTCCCTGCAGGTAAACAAACATATAAAAGAGCTGTAGCTATATTCTTCAGCAAGCGACGTAGATTTGCTATGTTAAAAAAACCAAAAATGTCCCACTTATTGTTTTCATGCAAATTAGTGCCGCCATTACCGAAAAAAATCTATTTTTCACTATATATTGGCCAATATTGCAGATAACTGAACGAATTTGGTGTCTAAACCCATGTTTTCAAGGTCTGAGATCACAATAAAACTATTCCGCAAGTGACCACATGTGTCTGTGGCATAGAAAAATTCAAATTAGTGCCGCTAATGCTGGAAAATAATGTTTTTTAGCATAACTCGATCGGCAAATATAGCACATAACTACACAAGTACGGTGTCTAATCCTATATTTTGAGGGGCAAGTATCATTAGAAGACCGTTCACGAAGTAATGTGTCTTTGGCACTATGTAAATTCTAAAGTGCCGACTTGATTTTTATCCCATATCTCAGCCAATATTGCAGCTAATGTCGACAGAAGGGTTTACGAAAAGCAGTAATGATCAAAGTTGATTTTAAGCCATCATATTCTAATTTGGCTGAAATTGAATAAAAGATTGGCTGAAAACCAAATTTCCCATAAACCGGCACTTTAGAATTTACAAATTTTCATGGCAAAGACACACATAGTTGTAAATTTCAATAAGAGATATTATGGCATCTTGAAGTTATATCTTTAAACAGAAGTATTGAAGGTTTATTTACCTGACGTAACTCCCTGATGATGAACTGTCACATACTGTTTGAATTCGTAATTGAAAACGTTCCCTGTAGTTGTACCGAAAAAGACAGGGTTACAGCTGCCAGCGTCTCCCACAGCTTCAAGAGTAGGTTGAATGGAATGGGACGAATGGCGAGTACACGGAGTAGATGGATGCTGCATTGCTGGTTGGAGCGCCGAGGGTACTAGAGCTCGAACTGCTATAGTAATAAGGAAAAAGGTTCTTCAAATATGATTATTACGAACATAACATAAGTTTGTTGTAGCAGCTTTCATGGCATGATAAACTTGTACACGTCCACGTCAAATTTCCGGTTTGATGATGTCAGCAGTTAAAATGTTGAAACTGAATACTGAAATAATTCAGAGCGGATAAATGTTCGTTATGATGTGGAAAGAAAGCTTCTGGAATTATGGAAATTATAAAGAATGTTTAAGTGTATGTATTAACGACCACTTCCAGTTAAATGACACCTTAGGATTTTGAAGCCCGAAGTCAACATTGTATATGGCTATCGTGATTTTGTGGAAACAATCTTTGGACTTTCATACTTATTAGATGGTGTGCAAATATCAGTGACTCGCATTGACTCCATCATAAATTTGACTCGACCCGACTTGACCTACTGACTCGACTCGACTCTAGTCACTTCCTTAAAATGACTCGACCTGACTCAAGTCAACAAATTCAGTGACTCGTTACGGCTCTGGGGATAGGCCATTGGATCTTCCCTTCTGAAGTCTGTGGTGTTAACTTATTTCTGTGACGTCACACTATTGTTAAAAGTGTAGATTACTTGTACGAATGTACAGTTTACTGTTGATAGTTTTAAAATCTACAGTTTTTGTTGTGATGACATGAATAGCCTCTGCAAACAACTCCATGTATAAACGGGACTCAGGGGCCTACTAGATTTTTAAAAATCACAGTCCACTTTAAAATGAAAGAAATGAACACTTCAATTGTACTTAAAAATGTACGAATTCCGAAAGAGTTTTTCGAACGAATTTGACATGTACCTGATTAAGAGAAATAGCCTACTATTTTAGTTCTTTGATTTTAATTACACACAATGTTCTCTTTGGATTTTTCAATTTGCCAAGCTGGTACTTTTAATTTTATATGGTGGCGTTTATCAGTTTTAACTTAGGGTCAAGTGTATAAAGTATTCTTCTTATTGAATTTTCAAATCTGTTTATATTAATTTGTAGGCTTTTTTATATATTTTTTTTAAATGTATTATCTTTAAATCTTCATTTAAACTCTTTAAACTCGCATAAAAAGGAATCAGTGGATATCCCTTGGTCAAAATTTATGTTCACATCTAGTCTTAACCCATTTAATTTTATTTTTATTTTATCACTGACCAGTGATTAAAAATGGACTCGGCAGAACGAATCTACAGTTCCTCGTCCATTCTCCTTAACAGAAAAAGAGTCGATTTTAAGGTTTGAAATTTTCCAATAGCCCAAATGCATCACGTAATAGCACTCAAAAACGAGAACAAACAGCACAACAGCTTTTAATGAACGTCTTGATGTATTGTAAGCGCGCCAGGTTGCATAAGATGTACATCTGTGTAATAAATATCATCCCTAGTGCCATGTGGTGTCCTGCCTCCCCCCCCCCCTTTGAATTTCCACGGCCAGGCAATTAGGATTTTGGTCATCCCCTATCCCCTACTCGCCGGCAAAAATTTAAAACACCGCGTCAATCACCTTGCATCAGCTCTGTTGACAATCTCTCTTGGTGAAGTTGTTCAGCTTGAGGTTTTCCTTGCACAGATATCATCTTTTCCTTAATAGAGCTCTGCTTCTGGTCTCCTGTTTCAAGTTCTGACTGTATTTCTGGATCAGGCCCGGAAAGATCATCATCGCGCTCCTGCCTCATTCTCAGACGCTCAGGCGACGTACTTTGTTGGGTGTTCTCTTTGCTGACTCCTGCCACTCTCTGTTTATCTTGATGAGGATTGTGTGCATGATGACTGGCTTGCTTAACTCCCTGGTTCTCACGGGTTGCTATCCCTCGTTGAGAACTCTGCTCATGTCCGAGTTGCTCAGACGATGCTCTTCCTACTTGTTGAAAGACGTTTTCTCTGATTCCTGACTCCGGCTGAGGTCTTTCAGTCTCCTTAATCAGCTCGTACCCTATAGATTGTTTCTCAGGTAGGCTTACAGTTATACCATGTTGACAGCTCTGTTCCACAGAATGTTGTTCTTGCTTTTTGTCTTGCAGAAGTCTGTCTGCACCATCATCCCGCTTGCTGCTTAGTACTGTATCCTCAAGTGATGCCATCGTCTGTGCTTGTGAAATGTGATGCTCAGGTGATATAAGTAAAGGTTGGTGGGTACTCTGTTCATTGACCCCTGCCACTTTCTGTGTATCTTGACGAGGAATGTTTGCATGATGACTTGCTTGCTTCTGCGCAACTCTTTGGTTCTCACATATTGCTATCACTTGATGAGAACTCTGCTCATGTCCGAGTTGCACAGGTGATGCTTCTCTTTCTTGATGGAAGCACTGATCTCCGATCCCCGACTCCGGGCGAGGTCTTTCCGTCTCATTTATCCGCTCATGGTTTACGGCTTGTTTCTCAGGTACTATTTCACCTTGTTGACAGCTCTGTTCCACAGCTTCTTGTTCTTGCTTTTTGTCTTGCACAAGTCCGTCTGGACCATAATCCTGTTTGCATTTCAGTGTTGGATGCTCAGGTGATGTCATTGTCTGTAGTTGTAAACTTCTGGTCCTCTCTGTCTGATGTATGTCTAACTCACGAACATGATCCTGTCCCTGTCTTTGGTGTTCTTTTTGTGACATTTCATAATGTCTGTCCGCTTTAAGTCTGTCTGGACCAAAATCTTCCTGTCCCACTTCGGGTGTTTCGGATGATAATATGTCTTGGCGATTGTATTTTCCCTCAGTTTTCTGACCTTTTGGTCTCTGTTGTTCAAGTGCAGTTCCCTTTCCTCGTTGCAGGTTCAATCCCATGACACCTGCTAAGTGCTGATCCTCGGGCTGGAGTCTGTCAAGATCGAGGATCTGAGAATCTCCCCCATCCTTGGCTGGATTCTTCTCAGGATTTTTCCGTCTTCTTCTCCTCCTCCTCTTCCCTGTATGTAAAGAATAAACAAAATTGATTTACACAATAAGACGAATTTGTTTTTGTTCAATGAGCAATGTATTTGACTCCACTAATCGACAAGGGCCATTATAGAATAAATAACCATGCATAAATATGAAAAGGCTGTACTTCTCGATCGGCTCACTGATGAGGCAGTGACTGATGTTGAGACAAGGGAGCTTCCTGTGTCAATTGCAACTTGCTGTCTGCCGCTTGCAACAGTCTTTTTCTTTGATTCTTCAGCTTCACTGCCAGCAGTTTCTTGCCCGTCTCTCTTTCTTATTGTTCCAGCAACTGAGGTATGGAAATAAAAACCTGAAACAGATCACTTGAAATAGTGCTTTGTTAGAGATAAGATTCAGATTCAATAAAAGATAATTTAGCTAATGCAGCAAATTGCCATTTGTGTGAGTAATTACTAAAAATGTGTTAAGGGAAGAGAGTGTTACCAGTCTCTGACGAGGTGCTAGTAGCAGTACCAACTACTGCCGATGAGCTGGAATCCCCTGAATCATGTAAGATCTGTTGCTCTGTATCACAAAGGCTCTCCTTATTGGTTTCTGTTCCAGATGGTGATTTAATGGCAGCTTTTATTTTTCTTCTGCCAGAATTATTGTCTTTCCTTGGCTGTTCTGATTTGTGTTCTTGTTTTTCCCCTGATAGGTGAGCAAGGGGTACCTTAACTGCTGAGGAGATGGAAGAATCCTCCGAGTTGTCCATGCTTTCTTTGGTTTTTGCTCCAGATGGTGATTTATTGGCAGCTTTTCTTTTTCTCTTTCGTCTTCTTCCAGAATTGTCTTTCCGTGGCTGTTCTAGTTTCTGTTTTTTTTGTTTCCCTTGATAGGTGGTCAGCGGGTGCCTTAACTGCTGACGAGGTGGAAGAATCATCCGAGTTGTCTGCATTTTCTTCACCGCCACGGTTTGTTCTTGTCTCATCAGTAGCTTTTTAGCTTTTTTCTTTCTTTTCTGTATCCTTCCAGAATCATTGTCTTTCCTCATCAGCTGGCTTATTTTCCGTTTTTGAGTTCCCCCCGAAGGGTGACCAGTAGGTGCCTTATTTGCTACGGAGATGAGAGATTCCTCAGAGTTTTCTTCACCGCCAGGGCTTGTCCCTGCCTTAGCTTTAGTTTTTCCCTTTTCCATCCTCCTGGAATCATTGTCTTTCCTTGGCTGTTCCATTTTTTGTTCTCGAGTTTCCTCTGATGGGTGACCAGCACGTGTCTTAATAGCAGTTGAGGTGGAAGAATCCTCAGAGTTACCCGCGCTTTGTTCTCCGCCAACGCTTGTACTTCTGTTTGCAGCCTTTCTTTTTCTCTTTCGTCTTCTGCCCGAATTGTTGTCTTTCCATGGTTGTTTTACTTTATGCACTTGATTTTCCCCTGACAGGTTATCAGTGGGGGCATTAACTGCTGAGCAGATGAAAGATTCCTCGGAGTTATCCAGGTTTTTTTCACCGCCAAGGCTTGTCCCTGTCTTAGCTTTACTTTTCCCGCTTTGTATCCTACTGGATTTGTCGTCTTTCCTTGGATGTTCTAGTTTCTGTTTTTTCGTATCCACTGATGGGTGGCCAGCACGTGCCTTAAGAGAAGCTGAGGTGGAAGAATCCTCAGAGTTACCCGCGCTTTGTTCTCCGCAGAAGCTTGTCCTTCTTTTAGTAGCTTTTCTTTTCCCGTTTTGTATCCTTCTAGGAGCATCTTGCCTTGGCTGCTCTAGTTTCTGTTTTGTTTCCCCTGATGGGTGGCCAGCGGATGCCTTAACTGCGGAGGTGTTGTTACACGTGTCTTCGCCGCCACAGCTGGCTCTACTAGCCTTTCTATTTCCCTTTTGTCTCCTCCTTGAATCTTTGCTAGTTTTTTCTGTTGAATTCCCTGATATGGTTATAAACACAAGTATATCAAATTTATCAATTAGAAGAATAAGTAGAACGTCACAAAATGATTCTATTATCGTGGCCTTGTCGACCAACAGGAGGTTGAAAAATCATTTCGTAATTTTTCCGTTAATATCTTCACATCTGGAGGTAAATTTTGACTAAACCATCAAACTACCTTTACATTTACAGAGGTAACTCTTTTTAGGGCTAAATTGTACCTGCTGACTTCTGTTCAACAACTCCACGAATGTCTTGAAGCACTATACTCATAGCTCTAATTAAACTGTTAACACTCGACAAACAACCTTTTCATTAGCTCAACCAATGATCCCAGCTTGGGGTATCAAGGTTACCCTTTTTAAATCTCCACATATGCAATAAGACACTATACTCATAACTCTAAACACTTGAGAAACAACCTGTTCATTAGCTCAACCCATGAACTTTGAAACTTATGATTATTAACACATAATCCCTGAAGGCAATCTCATACTCTGTGCGAATGCAAATGCAAACTTGAACAAAAACTTGTGACATCATAAATAGTTTACATACTGCAAATCCGCAAGTCTTTAACAAATTTCAAATGTAGCGAATTACGCTGTGAACATTTCGTTTCGTGACGCAACTACATTTGCATCCGCACTTGGTCATAAACTTTACCTGCTGATTTCTGTTCATCATCGGCTCCGCCCATCAACCCAGACACTAAACGTAGCTCTATGTTGGTGTCTTGCTGAATTCCAAGTTCTTTCAGGGACATTCTACCCTTGAGCTAACATGTAGGGGGTGAAAAAAAATCTGTCAAGAAAACAACTCTTTCATGATGAAATACTGACAAAAGTGAAGATGTAGGAAGGTGTGATTGATTACTTACTGTAAAGAGGATTGAAAATAGGGAAATAAGAGAAATTTACTTGAAACAGATTTTACATAACTGTACCATACCTCATGGTTTTTCCTTGTATACAGACGTTGTTTCTTTGGTTCAATCCCCAATTTGTCTTGTAGTAATCCTTTCAATGCTGAGATAGTAGTGGACGGTTGTAGTTGCAGACATACAGGTGATCTCAAAGAACTAATCACAAACAGCTGGATTTGGGATTCTTTCTTCTCTTCACCAGATGGTTTCTTGTCAGCAATTGTTTGTTTCCTTGTCTTCTTTCTCCCTAAAGGTAAAATAAAACAAGAAGCATGTCGTTTTCTTTTACTTATTTGCACGATTTGGCTTCAAATGAAAATTTACTAAATAAAATATTCAATTGACCATCAAAGTTCACAAAGTTAACCATCTGTTGAGGACATAAATGAAGATCAGTATTTATGTGAATCAGAAGTGCTAGTAATTGAGGTGACAGTCCTTAAACAGAATATCAATTGATATTTCGTGAATGGGACACTTGCAATCACAAAAGGAATGGTTAAACATAATGACAATCAAACATTTTGATTGATCACTTCCTATTTGGTACGTGTCAATGGCGAGTACTAACAAAAAAGTCTTAACACATGCATTTTCATAGTCTTCATGGGGAAAATCATTCAAAAAATAGGATTGACTGCTGTATCAGCTGCTACATCAGATTTGAATAGATGTATAAGACACCTGCACTATTAAGCAGGAGGTCGTGGGTTCCAGTCCAACGAGTGACCTTGTGAACTTTGTTTGTTTGGTTTTTTTTTAGGGGGGAGCAGCTTTTGGACAGCATTAAGTATACAATACTTGTGAAAATATATCAGTGAATGGCAAATTCCATTATTGGAACAGAAAATTTACCTTTTGATTGGTTGTTTGTCTTAGCAGTGGTCTTGGCTGATGAGGAGACGGTGGAATTCCTTGAGTTGACCAACTTATCTTCAGCTTGATCACCTTTGCTTGTTTTATCGATGGCTTCTTCTTTGGATGAGGATTTCTTGGCAATATTTCGGCCTTTCTTTCTCTTGCCTGAATTGTTCTCAGTCTTGCCTCTTCTGTGTACTTTCCCTGCAGGTAAACAAACATATAAAAGGGCTGTAGCTATATTCTTCGGCAAGCGAAAAGGCATACCTGCATTCAGATCGTCTTTGATTTCGACAAAAAGCTAAACGCAAAAATCTACATCAAAATACCGAGATTTACCAGGTTTTCTTGTCAAGGTGTAAGACTCCCCAAAGGCATTTGAAGGATCCCGCTTTTCGTCATCTGAGGAAGTTTGTTTTTCAGCCTCATGAAATAAGAGTCTTTGTCTCGCCTTCCCGTGTCGTCGTCTTCTCGTCCTCTTTCTCCCTATAAAAAAAAGTAATGTTTATCAGCTACCGGGTTAACAATTCAAGAATTGACATGCAAAGTTGCTTTGCCATTGCGCCAGCCTTACGTGCATGTAGCTATCTGACTGACTCAGATTGACTGACTCTGACCTATGAGCCAGGCATTACTAAACCATAACGCCAATGAAAGGGCTACAGCTGGCCCATTGAAAATTCTTATAAGGGACTCTCGCAATCGTAAAATGAGTGGTTAAAACATAATGACAACCATACAGTTTGATTGATCACTTCCCATTTGGTTGTATACATCAGATTTAAACTGATGTAAGGCACCTGCACTAGAAAGCAGGAGGTCATTGGTTCGAGTCCCACCTGAGTGAGATGGTGAATACTTATTGTTGCAAGTTCTCAAACAGCATATAGTATGCCATTGCATGGCAAAACCCATTATTAAATAGAGAATTTACCTTTTGGTTGGTTGTTTCTCTTAGCAGTGGTCTTGGCTGATGAGGAGGCGGTGGAATCCCTTGAGTTGACTAACTTATTTTCAGCTTGATCACCTTTGCTTGTTTTATCGATGGCTTCTTCTTCGGATGAGGATTTCATGGCAGCTTTTTTGCCTTTTCTTGTCTTTCCTGATTTGTTTTTGGTCTTGACTCTACTTCGTATTTTCCCTGTAGGTAAACACAAATATAAAAGGACTGTTGCAGCTGTTGCGTCTTCTTAAGCAAACAAAAAGGCTTACCTTCATTCACAACAGCTTTGATTGTGATCCCTAAAAAGTAAGAAAGTACATCACAATACTGAGATTTACCAGGTTTTCCTGCTGAGGTGTCAGACTTCCCCAAGTCATTCAAGTGATCTTGCTTTTCATCATCTGAGGTAGTTTGTCTTTCAGCTTCATCTAATAACGGGTTTCGTCTCGCTTTCCCTTGTCGTCGTCTTCTTGTCCTCTTTCTCCCTGTAAGAACAAAAGTAATATTTATCAGCAACCAAATTAACAAGTCCATTTTTATTGGTCCCAGTGCGCCAGCCTAGAGTCCTCTTAAAATGTGTACCTATCTGACTGACTGACATATCGACACTTGTGAGCCAGGCAGTGCAATGGGCTAAATCTGGCCCATTGTGTAGACCACATGCATAAAAAGACTTCCGATACATAGCTATTATAAATCAATTGAATATAACTGTTTTCGTCTTGTACCTGCTTTAATTGGCTTGTCTTTTTTTTCCTTCAAAATAATGCTCAAAGAGTGCAGACAAAGTAGTACACGCCTGAAGATTAAGCATAGATTTCAGTGTGTATAATCAAAATCCTAGCTAGGTTTTACCAAGTTTTGCTGCTGAAGTTGAAGAATTCCCATAGTCATTGGAATGTTCTTGTTCTGCGACAGCTGAGGATGGTGGTCTAATGGTGTCATCTTTAGATGAGGAGGTGACTTGAATCATGCGAGGAGACCAATTGCTCAGGATGACACGGATTGCGATCAGTGGGAGGCATAGAATCCACAGAAACAGGTCGAGTTTGTCGAAATTTGTAGCTGAGCCACCAGCAATTGAAGAGTTATCTTGATCTAGGGTGGTTGATATTTTGCCTTCTTCACATGATGGTTCCTGTTCGACATGATTTGGTCTTCGTCGTCTACTCCTCTTCTTTCCCTCTAAAAAAGTAAGTATCCTGGATCAATTTAAATAACATTTTTTTATATTTTTTTGGTAACCGAAGTGTGAGAATTGCAAGTCTTTGGTGTTGTAGGATTTGAGTCCAGGACTCACACTTGGGTCCATCTCAGGTTGCAATTTCAGTGACTATGACTTGACTCGAGTCATATTCGCAAAAGATTTGGAATGAGACTTGATTATCATTAATTGAATTTATTCATCAATTTGTATGAATTTGACTCAATTGAACTTGAATTCACAAGTGAATTGAATAACTCGGACTGGAACCACTCGAGTCAAGACTCAGACTTTGACTCGAGTCCAATGTCTTTACTACAATACTGGTACCAAATGAGTAGAATTGTACCTGTTGGTTGGTCGCTTGTGGTTTTAGGGGAATTCCCCGAATCGTTGGTTGACCTCACTTGAAATTCCTCATCAGAGTCACTTTGCCTAATCATTTCCTCTGTAGATGTAAATTTCTTCCCAGATTTCTTTTTCCTTCTTTTTGTCTTCTTTCTCTCTAGAATATTACAAGGTCATGAGGCAGCAAGTTAATCAGCGCTACTAAATCATGCAGAACATGCAAGTTTATGTTTGTGAAGATATCGGTGGCTCCCTAGTACACTTTGTACGAGAGAAAGAATCCTTTTACTGTCGAAGATGTATTAACTTCTCCATCCAGAGGATGAGGCCCTAAATTCCCCCTTAAAAATTGTTACACCACTCTGCCCCAACCCCTGACGACAAAGCCTGCACTTCCCTCCCCTCACCTCTATATCTAAACCCCTACCTGCTGTTTTCTGTTTGTCATCTCCTCCCATCAACCCAGACACTAGACGCAACTCTATGTTGGTGTCTTGCTCAATTCCATAATTCGCTAGGGAGAGGTCATCACGGAGCTGTAAACAACAAATAAAAACTTGGTTAAGGCTTAAATTAATAAATGTAAGACTTGAAACAAATTTCTATCATGCCTTTTCAACCGAAGGGAGACATAAAAATGTGTAATTGGGTATTGCCAAAGGATCCAGAACACAATTTTTTTTGGGGGGGGGCAAAAAAAATTGGTTCATTTTTGGATTCTAGATGCTCTGTGGTGCGATCTGAGGCATATTCTGACCACTTTAACCAATTCTTTTTTGAGGAAAAAAAGGTGGTGTACTCATTGCCTGCCTTATTGCGATGTCACATTAAAAAAAAAAATGGTTTCGGTTGGGGGGGGGGCATGGCCCCCTTTGGCCCCCCCCTCCCGGATCCGCCCTTGGGTATTGCATCTTTATCAGTGTCTAGACCCAACAAGACAATCACAAGACCTCCAGTCTCAATTCAAGTCACAAACTATTCAAACGAATTGCAACAAAGGCATTTCTTTGTTATTGTTCGTGCCGTGTTACTTGTGGCTGGTCTTGTGATTGGTCTGCAATTGGTTTTGTGGCTGGTCTTGTGATGGTCTCGACTACAACACTGATCTTCACAGGTGAAGATCCAATCGTCCATGACTTTCGATGTTACATTAACATGTATATCATCATTATTTACCTCATGGTTTTTCCTTGTTAACAGATGTTGTTTCTCTGGTTCAATCCCCACTTTGTCTTGTAGTAATCCTTTCAATGCTGAGATAGTAGTGGACGGATGTAGTTGCAGACAGACTGGTGATGTCAAAGAACTATTCACAAACAGCTGAATCTGTCGTTTCTGGCAGGGTTTGGAACTATAGGGGAAGAAATTAAAAATATCGCAAGTTTGAAAAACAATTGCCTCTGAGGAAGTCCTTGCTAAGAATGGAATATCGGGTCACTCAAGTTGTTTTAAAGATTGAAAAAATAAAGCCCTGAAACCATAGAATAATTATTGCTTTAAGGATTAATCCACTTACACATGTACTAGATTATATCACTCTGTATTTATTTCCTGAAGAATCATAAAACCACTTTGGCAGTAACAGGTGGTACAGGGATGGGTGAAGTATAGAGTACAGTAAATGTATAAATAAAATCTGACAATTTTAAGCAACAGAATGAAAAGGGCAGGACCTTGACTTGTGTAATTCGAAACAGTTTGAAGAAGACTGCCACATTATTTTGCCCGAAACTGCTTCACAAACTTTAAAGATCTTTGCATTCTTTCGATTGCCTTAAAAGGGCCATCAAAAAGATACTTTTCACCTTAAAGCATAAGTAAAATGTTGTATTCCAACTTTTAAATATTCAATGGTTCTATCAAAAAATAAAACAATGAAATACAATTCAACCTTAAGTAATCAATCTAAATACAAGCTTTCTTTCACCATTCGCAAACACGCATGTTTTTCAAATTCACAAACTGTTATAAAAACAAGACTTTACACTGCTTGTCAACTTTACCTGCATTCCTGATTCTCTTTGGAAGTACTTGAAATGACACCCTTGGGTGGAATGGATTCTTGACAGGACCTGGCAGCTAACAGTACTGACTGGAAAGCCTCTTTCTTGGACTTGCGGACTTTCTTCTTTCTCGTGACCATCTTGGCCAGCGAGTGATCATTGATGTGCCGGGCAGCTCTCTTGGCATCCTCCAAGTCAGAAAGGGTCCTCAAAGGTTGCAACCAAAAATCCCCCTGGATATTGATAAAGTTATTACAAATTTGAAATTCAAGGATACTCATAACTGTTTCATGATTTGTCAAATAAAACAGGAGGCCTTTAAGAAAATGCACCTCTATCGGAGGAACACACTACCACATCTAATATTTGAGAATGGGTGTGATAGCAAACAAGAGGCATCAAATATGTAACCCCCTCCCTCCCCTCCCCTCGCCACGCCCCTCTCCAACTCCCACCCAAATCCACGAATTATACATTTCCATACAAATGCTGACAATACAATCGTTTTAAAAAATAATTCTAGGTGTTAACTGAAAGGAAAAAAGAAAAACTGTTTATGTAAATGAGGCAAACCAGAACTAACTTTTAACTGTAGGCTTAAAACTTAAACTTAACAGACGTTAGTGAATAGTGATGGCTCAGTTGAGTTATTTTAAGCGTGGAAATAGGATCGAAAGCAATTATGTCCGTTCTTTAAATGCCATAGGGAGCACGACAAAGACCAATAGTACTTAGTTTATAAGGAAATATTCACAATTCTTACCATTTTTCTGTCTTTACGCCCAGATTCGTAACCCGATCCTGTAAATGAAGGAAGCGTCGCAATTTTAACTGGTGCGGAAACTCCCCTTTGCTTATGCGCGCGCAGTGTCGCGTGACGATGGTGTCACTGATTATTATCACGTAGACGGTCCAAAAGGCGTATTAACAAGGTTAATAATTATTCAAGGTCATGATCTTCTATGAAACAATATTTACCGAACAAACAAATTAGAAGTAAGGACTTTAGGTCTGTTATTATTTTGTTATTGGACCCCGTGAATATTAAATGTACACAAAACAAGCTCCCTATAAATTTCCAGCTTGCAAGTCAATCGAAAAGTACGGTAGTAATTCATACTCCCAAAATATAATGACACACAAAGACGGGCATATGCTTGAATTTCTTGTCGGTCAAGATCGAGTCCTTATACTCCTTAGAAGTCACCCACAATGCCAATCTCAAGTCAAGCTGCTCCAATAACTATAACAATACTCCTTTGTCATTGTTCATCTCCTGTTGATTCTAACATTACTTCTGGTAGTCTCGACTGCATCTTATCTTACTTCAAACCCCCTAATATCAAAGGTATTGTTACATTTGTGGAATTAACAGACTCAAACCTACACCCAACGTACTTTATTAAAAAAACAATCTTCATTTTTATTGACCACAGTGATTTGATATTAATAGCAGTACAAGTCAGCATGTACCAAAACAATAATACACAGTTCAGATACCATACTTTTAGAAATAAGGAGTCTCTAAGTCCTTTTTTATATCTTGCTCATAAGAAAATGATGGAATTAGTAAAACAAATTCTTTCTCACAAAATAAACAATTGACAAAAAGGATAACACTGATTTGATAGATCATCAAGTAATTTTATGTGGACCTGTTACATGTTGGTTTCCACTAAGTTCATTTGACAAACTACCAACTTAAAACAAACAAAAGCACAATGCAAAAAATAACCTGTTTAAAATGTGTGTTTTTTTACCACGAATAACTATCGGTATTGTTGGTTGCATAAAGTTGTACCAAGAATAACTATATTTGCAAAGGATGCGACTATATAGTTCCTTATTTGACCAATTATTTCCTTTTCATGTGTATCTGCTCTGCACATAAAGAGCATCTTAATCATTGACAAAAGCTTCTGTTTTATATGATTTAGTACATTTTTTTACATTATGCTGTCCCTGATCTTCAAGAAAATTATATTTCTAACCTGTATGTTTTAATTTCTTTTAATATATATCATTATTTTCGTCTTTTTTTGACCCGGCCCTCTCGAAAATAAGGTTTTAATTTTAGGTTGCACAGTATCTCCAATGCCCAATGCTATTGTTGGGCCGAAAATAACTGAAAACAAAAAGATAAGCACTAATACCATTACTGAGCATTAGTGGAGGTTTTAATTTGATGTTTTATTCGAAAGTTAGTAGCTAAGTATGTTTAAAAAAAACCCAGTATTTGAAAAAAAACACATTGTCTTAAAACTTGAAACAAACACTATAAAAATACTTAAAAACAGTACATCTTCAAAAGCAGTGTCTTTAGAAGGTACATGTTCATGAAGGATTGCGAAAAAACAAGGCAATTATCTTATCGATAGTTTCCTTGCCATAAGTTCCATTGAAATCAGGATATTCCTTCCAATAAAGAGAGTGATATATCTTTCTCAAGAAAAAAAAAGGTTAAAAACGAAGAAATTAAACATAGTAATTGAAAATAGTACAATGTAATTGTTATCTCGTGCACATTTTCGCATTGGCATGTGCACTCATTATCAATGACGTCTGAGATAATCAATTTTAGATGACACAATAACTGTTCTACGAAGATTGCATAAAGTAGTACCAAAATTAGGTTTCAAATATCCACAAAATATTCCATGTCGGTACTGAATTGTATCGTTGCTTGTTAAGATTACAGTGTTTAACGGTTCCACCGACTTCTTTAAAATCACAGTTAATGGTAACGCGCCCGATGAGATACAAGGATGCATTCACTTCAATCCAATTTCTGAATAGTTTTTTTGTGCAATAATTGCATGAACCATTATATATTTAAGCAAGGGCGGATCCAGGGGGAGGGGGGGGGGGGGCAAAGGGGGCCATGGCTCCCCCAAACGAAACTGTTTTTTGTTGTTGATGTAACATCGCATTAAGGCAGGCAATGAGTACACCACCATCTTTTCCTCGAAAAACATTGGTTAAAGTGGTCAGAAATTGCCTCAGATCGCACCACAGAGCACCTAGAATCCAAATGTTTTTAGGGGCCCTTAAGCGGGCCCCGAACCCCACGCCGTAATTTTTTGACCCACTTTTTGGGGGGACCAAAATTTTTTTTGACCCCCCCCCCCAAAAAAATTGTGTTCTCGATCCGCCCTTGTATTTAAGTGAGATTTGAGGCTTTGCATAGTGGAGAAACTAATGAATGAAAGATTTGCGGAAACAACATGTGCAAATGATGTAAAGTTTGTAATTTCTTAGAGTTTAGGCACTCTCCTGAAGACGGTCAGAGCATACTGACCGGAACGTCGAGTTTATACCTCTGGTTCGTTTCAGAACCATTCTTATAGTTGAGAAATTATTCGCACATGGTTTTTCCGCAAATCTTTCATTCATTAGTTTTTCCACCATGCAAAGCCTCAAAACTTACTTATCTTCGCTCTACGGGGAGCTGGTAACCGACCAGGTTATGTTATTTGAACGGACGTCAATTCGGCTTTCTAAACTCATCAACGACTTAACCTGCTGGTCTGCGTACCGCGATCCCATACGCAACAACTGGTCGGATGACATTCAGCATTCTCCGGTGAGCTAGCTTGACCTCATTCGAGAACGCATCTCCTTCACCAGACTACAAATAGCCATCCTGGACCAGCAGACGTCGTCCCACTCTTCACCAACTAGCTAAGAAAAGACTAGAACATGATACTACACTTGGCGAACGCACAGACCTGTCCCCTAATAAAATTCATGATCCGTTACTAACATGAATTTCTTCCAGTTGTTTTCAGTGGCAAGGCAGGTTCTATGGGCAAACGGCTGAGACCGCCATGGGATCTCCTTTATCCCCGGTCCTAGCCGACATCTTCATGGAGGATTTCGAGTCTTCCTCCCTAGTCACAGCGGATCTTCGGTCAAGTCTGTGGTTAGGCTACGTTGATGACACCTTCGTAGTGTGGCCCCAATACTACTAAATTTGTAACAGAATGCATGTGAAAAATTAATATTGGGAAATATATCTTGAACCTAGTCCAAAAACGGAACATTTTTTTGGGAACTTTTTTTAAATCCCTCCTTTTCGGCAATATTTTATGACGGATTCGTGCCTGCACATATCACAATCAAATCTGAATTGTGTCAAAGGGAAAACATCTTTAGTAATGGTCTAGAACACCAAACAAATTTGATGACCAGGGATAAATTGAACTCACCGAAACTGCATTTGGACTAACTCTACTAGGGAAAGATGTTGGGGGGGGGGGGCAGTTGAACCTAAAGATGTTAAGCTCGACGTTTTCTGTTCTGGAAGAGAAATGGTTTGGAAATAATCAAACTTACTAAATATTATGTCATTTATTATGGAAAAAAAAATAAGAACAAATACAGAAAAGAAACCACTCAGATGACTTTTATGCATTATTTATTGGACAAAATAACACAGGTAGAAACGCATACAATGAAAAGTAAGCGAATTGTAGAAAAAAACTTTAAACGGGACACCAATTAATTAATATTGTTGTATGATACATCAATATTAATTCATTGGTGTCCCATTTATTTTAAAACTTTGCTAACCATCAAACCATCTTATCCGGACGCAGTTTGCTTTAGCATCTCATAAAAAGGAACTTTTAAGTAGATATGAAACGAAGGATTTCCATCAAAATACATGTAATCCAGGATTTAGAACAAAATACATAATGTTATGTTATTTCGGTAGCAAACCTCTTGAGTGAGTTTGTGAGGTTCTTTGTGAGGCTCTCAAAAGAATCTCACAAACCCACAAAAGAGATTGGTCACGTGGTGCTACCGCAAAATGTCATCGTATTGCTATCTTCACCATGCAAACCTTCAAATCTTATATATTTGGTTTCATTGTTTTGTAATATACAGATAAACCAATACTTACAAAACTATAACATTTGTTCTTAATTGTTCTCTTCTACTCAATTGAAATCCCGAGATATAATCAAACACAATCATCATTATTTGGATCCTAAACGTTTTTTCAGGTTTTTTTGTTTTAAAAGTTCCCATATTTACAAAACATCCATTCACAGTCAAGGCATATTTAAACAGGTCAATTTACTTAATTTAAACTGCAAAATGGTAAAATGCTTTAATTTGGGTTGCATAGCATCTTCAATGCAGAAAACATTATCGTGGGGCCGAATAAAACAAAACGAAAAGCAATAATAATGTTACTAAACATTAGTGGAAACTTAAGATGTTTCATTCATACGTTAAAAACTTAGTATGCTACACAGAAACCAGCATTTGAGGAAACTATTGTGAAACTCGAAATAAAGGTTTAAAGAACACCAGTACATCTTCAAAAGCAGGGCCTTTAGAAGGCAAATCCTAAATGAATAAGAAAAACGGACAAACAATATCTCCTTCTTTTGAAAATCCCTTCCCCTCGTCCTTTAAGCCCCATTATGTTTACTTAGCTCTGTTTGTGCCCTCTTGTATGATAACATTTGATGTAGCTGCGTATTAATTAACGGACTGCACTCGGACTCGGACTAGGAGGTCTAGGACTCGGATTTTCCGACTCGAACTCAGAATCCGAGCTCGGTTTCGGACTCGTACTCGAATTCGGACCCGCACGTGGTGGACTAGACTACAGAAATTCACAGCTTAATGATGCACCGATGCGTTCCAAGTCTGCATCACTCAATGAATCATACTCCAAGTGCAGCTTTTTCAGTTTTTTCAGGCACTTTAAGTCAGAAAATGCATCCGAGTCAGCCAGGATTTGATATCCAGATAGATCCAGTTCAACCAGTTTGTCACTTAGTGATGCAGCGATGAGTTCAATGTCTGCTTCACTCAACCAACACATGTTTAAGACCAGCTTTGTCAGTTGTTTCAGGCACTTTAGATGAGACCATGCACTTGTACCGGCCAGGGATACATTTCCAGACAGATCCAGTTCAACCAGAGTTGGTATGTCAGCGATGAGTTCAATGTCTGCATCACTCAATGAGCACCACCCTAAGACCAGCTTTTTGAGTTGTTTCAGACACTTTAGGTGAGACCATGCACCCGAGCCAGCCAGCATTACATTTACAGACAGATCCAGTTCAACCACAGTTGATATGTCACTAAGTGATGCAGCGATGGGTCCAATGTCTGCATCACTCAACCGACAATCACTTAAGACCAGCTTTTTCAGTTGTTTCAGGCACTTTAGGTGAGACCATGCACCCGAGCCCGCCAGGGATTCATTTCCAGACAGATCAAGTTCAACCAGAGTTTGTATGTCACCAAGTGATGCAGCAATGTGTTTAATATCTTCATCTATTAATGAACTGCTGCTTATGCGGAATCGCTTCAGATGTTCCAATACCTGCAATGCAGGTGACCATTCAGCTGCTTTGCCACCAAAGTTTTTAATATATTCAATTGTCACGTCAACCAAGTCACGTCTACATCCTATTGCTCTTACAATATTTGCCACATGAGGACCTCGAAATTTACTTGACGAGAGATGCAGTCGTATGCCAATACCTATTTTACACGGAACTACTTCAAACCATAATAAATCATTAAATCCATTAAAACAACTAATTAGACGGCAATACCCAAGCTTTGGCAAACAGCCAAATACAGTAGCAATACTTATCACACCCTCCACTTCTAAGCCACAGTCATCTAGTGTCAGTGTCTCCAGTTGTGTCAGCTGCTTTAACTTGGATAATGACACACCTGAGCCAGCCAGGGGATTCCGATACACATGCAAATGAACCAGACTGGTACTCAGTGATGCAGCAATATGTTCAATGTCTGTGCCTCTCAATGAGCAGTTTTCAAAGTGTAATCGTTCCAGACATTTCAGTTCTTGTAATGCAGGTGACCACTCAGCTGCTGTACCGCCAAGTCCTTGAACACGCACAATGTACACTTCGACTATGTCACTCCTGCTACCTATGGCCTGCACAATATCTGCTACGTCAGTACCAGTGGATGTCTGATTCAAGAGTTTTACCTCTAAACCTGCATCACATGGTGAGACTTGAAACACATTATCAACAGTACAATGGATAAGCTTCTGCAAACAGCCAACTACAGCACCAATACATATCACATCCTCCACTTCTAAGCCACAGTCATCTAGTGTCAGTATCTTCAGTTCTGTCAGCTGTTTTAACTTGGACAATGATACACCTGAGCCAGCCAGGGGATTCCCAGACACATGCAAACGAACCAGATTGGTACTCAGTGATGCAGCAATGTGTTCAATGTCTTTGCCTCTCAATGAGCAGCTTTTAAAGTCTATTCGTTCCAGACATTTCAGTTCTTGTAATGCAGGTGACCACTCAGCTGCTGTACCGCCAAGTCCTTGAACACGAACAATGTACACTTCGACTATGTCACTCCTGCTACCCATGGCCTGCACAATATCTGCTACGTCAGCACCAGTGAATGTCTGACCCAAGAGTTCTACCTTCAAACCTGTACCACATGGTGAGACTCCAAAAACATGATCAATAGTACAATGGATAAGCCTCGGCAAACAGCCAACTACAGTAGCAATACTTATCACATCCTCCACCTCTAAGCCACAGTCATCTAGTGTCAGTATCTTCAGTTGTGTCAGCTGCTTTAACTTGGACAATGACACACCTGAGCCGGCAAGGGGATTCCGAGACACATGCATATGAACCAGATTGGCACTCAGTGATGCAGCAATGTGTTCAATGTCTTTGCCTCTCAATGAGCAGTTTTTAAAGTCTAATCGTTCCAGACATTTCAGTTCTTGTAATGCAGGTGACCACTCAGCTGCTGTACCGCCAAGTCCTTGAATACAAGCAATGGCCACTTCGACTATGTCACTCCTGCTACCCATGGCCTGCACAATATCTGCTACGTCAGTACTAGTGAATGTCTGACCCAAGAGTTCTACCTTCAAACCTGTACCACATGGTGAGACTCCAAAAACATGATCAATAGTACAATGGATAAGCCTCGGCAAACAGCCAACTACAGCAGCAATACATATCACATCCTCCACTTCTAAGCCACAGTCATATAGTTTCAGTATCTTCAGTTGTGTCAGCTGCTTTAACTTGGACAATGACACACCTGAGCCAGCCAGGGGATTCCCAGACACATGCAAATGAACCAGATTGGTACTCAGTGATGCAGCAATGTGTTCAATGTCTTTGCCTCTCAATGAGCAGTTTTTAAAGTCTATTCGTTCCAGACATTTCAGTTCTTGTAATGCAGGTGACCACTCAGCTGCTGTACCGCCAAGTCCTTGAACATGAACAATGTACACATTGACTATGTCACTCCTGCTACCTATGGCCTGCACAATATCTGCTACGTCAGTATCAGTGAATATCTGATTCAAGAGTTGTACCTTCAAACCTGTATCACATGTTGAGACTTGAAACACATCATCAACAGTACAATGGATAAGCTTTGGTAAACAGCCGACTAGAAAAGCAATCCATTTCACATCCTCTACGTTTAGAACACAATGATCTATGATCAGCTTCTTAAGTTGTGTCAGCTGCAGTAACTTAGACAATGACACACCTGAACCAGCCAGGGGATTCCGTGACACATCCAATTTAACCAAATTGGTAGTGCTACTCAGTGATGCAACAATGTGTTCAATATCTGTACTTTTTAATGAGCAGTTGTTTAACTTTAAGTGTTCCAGACGTTTCAGTTCTCTTAATGCAGGTGCCCATACAGCTGCTGTACTACCAAGCCCTTTCGCACCTTCAACAACCACTTTAACTATGTCATTCCGGCTACCCACAGCCTTCACAATATCTGCCACGTCAGAACCAGAGAACATCGGATTCAAGAGTTCCATCTTCAAACCTGTACTACATGGTAATAATTGAAACACACCCTTGACAGTGCAGTGGACAAGCGTTGGCATACAGCCAACTAAGGCGGCAATTTGCTTTATGTCACCAGCCGTCAGACAACAGTCATCTAGCATTAATATCTGTAGATGTGTCTTCTTTATTAACTGCGGCATCCAAGAATGCAATGAACCATTTAAAGCTCCATTGTATGAAAGGTCCAGTTCAGACAACTTGTCAGCCTTGGCCAACGATGATGCAATGTCTGTCATACCGTTGTTGGTTAAAGAGCATCTCTGCATTCTAACAACAGAAATATTAGGCATGCTACTCATGGCCACTGCCAGGTCTTTACTACACTTTTCCAAGCTATGGTGACTGAACCGTAATTCCTCGACTTTGTCAAGGTACATATTGCCTGTGTACTTTGTTTGGTTAGCAACATGTTTGAGAAACCACACAAAGGAGTTCACATCATCACGGCTTTCGAGATAATCCGTGTTTATTATTTTAGTTATGACTGAATGTGTGAATGCCTCTGATAACAAATTTTCTGCCTGACTCTCAAAGTAACAATTCAATCCCATGTTTAATGCTGTAGTTTTCATATACATGTACATACTCTCGGAATTGATCCTCTTTTGCAACATCTGCAAGACTTGAATAGTGCATGCCTCATTGTCACCACAACAAAAGCGAAGCAGATAGTGAAACCTCTTTATGTCATCAAGTTTATCAAGATGCTTTTGAAATTCATCAGTGTCTGATTTTTGTAAGCTTTGCAGGTAAACAGCAGTACAGAATTCCTGAATTGTTTTGTGGATAAATTGTATGTTGTTATGAGTTTCCAAACCTTTTAAGCCCCTTTGGCTTGTAAGGATGCCAGCCTTCAAAGCTATATCAAGCACGCTGTTGTCAAACTCTCTGTCTTGAAATGAAAGCCGCTGCACTGGAGAAATTAGGCCATAGAAAGCAACCTTTCCAATTGCAACAAGGATCTCTGGCATTTTCTCCTCCGGTATGCCTTTTCTCTTGAATATGTATCGAAGAGCCTTGCCATATAAGCGTGATATTGTGTCTGGTAGTGTGGAATCTTCTCTCCATAATAAACACATTAATAGAATCAACATTGGACTACGTGCTAAATCAAGTAGGACAGCAGATGATTGAATGCTTTGGAAAAGAGAGTCAGCATCACGAGGGCTTTTACTTTTAGAGAAAAACTTTCTTAAGTAATCTTGAACATCTTCCTCAGCGAACCCCAAAACCTGTACATGGGTAAAAGGTGTTTTAACCAGTGCGCTGCTGACCAATTTGTCAAAATGAGAGGTGCGGGTTGTTATAACCACATCAATGTCTGCTCCAACCTTTCGGTTTAGGATTTGCAGGATGGATCCAAATGATTTATTATCAAGTTTGGTGGTCATCAACTCATCAAAGCCATCCAGAAGAATAAGCACCTTTTTAGGATTCTTAAAAATAAAGGTGTTCAGGTGTTTTTTATGGATAATGTTTGGATCGATGAGCTGTTCAAATAGAGAGTCAAGGAGATCTGCAGTTTGTTCCAGTGCACTCATTCTCAGAACAAAAACAAGCTTATATTTTGCTAGAAGGCCAGATAAGCTACTTGCCCAGTCGTAAGCAATTTTCCCAATCAGGGTTGTTTTTCCCAGACCTGCCATTCCCTCATAAATTAGTCGGTTGATAACAAAACCTTCTTCGTTTTCCTCAAGAAAAGCATCCTCATACGTCACCTCCTTACCTTCATACCGCATCCTTATAGATTGTAACTTATCAGTGACTAATCTTAACTTGGTATATATATCCATTATATGCATCATGTCATCACCAACCCATGGAATCATTTGCACGTAACTGCCCGTGGTCTTGTATACCTTCTTGAGCGCCTCTTCACACAGATCTGCTGCAGCGTCTGCTGCTGCATCATTGGCTGGACTGGTACCTTGACTTGTTTGTACTGATGGGCTGCTTACCTCAGGTTGGCTGTGCTGTACGGGGCGCAGATCATTTTCCATTACTCCTGTTGAAAAAGTGAATCCACGCACAATGACTTTGTTGAATAGTTTTTAAACAATTTCCCAAAATATTTCAAACAGAAATATGGACCGGGGTTCACAAGATAATGAAATTTATCAAACTAGGGATCACGATAATCTGTAAACCACAACCCAACCCCTTTTGTGACACCAACCCCTTGCCCCCCCCCCCATCAATTAGTCAAATCCACATGTGATTATGCTGTATTATATGAGCTATTAATTTTGATTGTATACATGATCTGTTGTATTTTATTTAGTTATGTCCTTTGTCTTTTCAACGAAATTCTCTTGGCAATTTAAAACAAGAATTTACACATTTGTTGGGGGGGGGGGGGGGAGGTTCCTTGCCGTATGGAAATCATAAAGCTATATATAAAATTTTGTAGTAGACCACCAAATGTGGGAGGGGAGCCTGGCGAAGGGCATGTGTGTGTTTATACACTACTGTCTTTCAGATGACTGGCATTTATATCTTATACTATCTGCAGTATACAATCTATGTGATGTAAAAGTAAACCCAATGGCCAAAACTAGGACTGCTGTTTGTGGTAAATTTGATGAAAGGATGGCATCTTGATTTTGAATCTTTAAAAACACACGCACTAACACTATTTTACCTGAAGTAGCTCCCTGATGAACTGTCACATTCTGGTTGAATTCGTAATGGAATGTATGCCCAGATGACGATCCTAAAAACACTGGATTACAGCTGCCAGGGACATTGACATCCCCTGTTTGTACAGTTGGTTGAACGGAAACAGATGTATGATGAGTACACAGAGTAGATGGATGCTGCATTGCTGGCTGAACCGCTGAAGGTACTAGATCTCGAACCACTATAAAGGAAAGAAAAAGGTTGAACATAAGTCATTGAATAATAAATGAATCATCACATTTTAAAAACTAACCTCTCACAATCTATTTGTTGAGTAAATTACTCATGCGATCGTCAACCCTATAACCTTATATATATGTTTAATTATCACCTTGCAATTGTTCTGGAGACAATTTCTCATTGTGAAGTCGGTCAGGTTGAGGTTTTTCTTGTGCAGATGTCATCACCTCTTCTTGAGGGCGCTGTTCTGCTACTGTTGACTGTATATTTGGGTCGGGCCCGTAAAGATCATCATCCCGCTCCTGTCTCATTCTCTGATTCTCAGGCGACGTACTTTGTTGGGTGTTCTGTTTGCTGATTTCTGCCACTTTGTGCTTATCTTGCTGAGTTATTTGTGCGTGATGACTTGCTTGCTTCTGCTCAACTCCCTGGTTCTCATGTGTTGCTATCCCTTGATGAAAACTCTGCTCACGTCCGAGTTGGCCAGGTGATGCTGCTCTTACTTGCTGGAAGCCCTGCTCTCCGATCCATGACTCTGGCTGAGGTCCTTCTGTGTCAATAATCTGCTCCTGTTTTACTGCTTGTCTCTCAGGTACTGTTAGACCTTGTTGGCAGCTCTGTTCGATGGGTTCTTGTTTCGCCATTTGGCTTCTTGCTTCTTGCTTTTTGAATTGCGGAGGTCTGTCCAGACCATCATCTTGCTTGCATCTCAGTGATGGATGCTCAGGTGATGTTACTGTCTGTAGTTGTGAACTTTGAGGTCTATTTTTCAGATGTCTGTCTAGATCAGCTTTAAGTTTGTCTGGGTCATAATCCTCCTGGCCCACTCCTTGTGTTTCGGATGATATCTCTTGGTGATTGCCTGCTTCATTATGTTTTGGTGTCTGTTGTTCAAGTGCAGTTTTCTTTCCTTGCTGCAGGCTCAATTCCATCACACCTGTAACGTTCTGATCCTCTGGCTGGGGTCTATCAAGATCGAGGATCTGAGAATCTCCTCCATCGTCTGCTTGTTTTTTCTGAGCATTTTTCCGTTTTCTTTTTGGCCTTCTCCTTCCTGTATGTAAATAATAATCACTTGATTTTAAATAATCAGGTAAACAAATTTGGTTATTTCATGACCACTATATTTGACTCCAAATTCAGCCACTGTCCATTATAGAATTCACCTTTACTAACCACGCAAATTTACATGTGAGTTAGACTATACCTTTTGATCGGCTGCTTGCTGAGGCAGCGACTGTTGTTGAGGCAGGGGAACTTCCTGTGTCAACTTGCTGTATGTCACTTGCAACAGTCTTTTCCTGTGATTCTTCAGCTTCACTGCCAGCCGTCTCTTGTCTTTCTATCTTCTTTCTTGTCCCTGCAACTTAGGTATAAAAATAAAATTTGGAAACAGATCAAATTAAATAGCAGTTTGTAAACGATAAATACTCAATAAAAGATAATTTAGCTGACGCAACAAATTGCCATGTGTGAATCAATTACTGAAATTGTGTTCATGGTAGAGATTATTAATTACCATTCTTTGACGAGGTGCAAGCGTCAGTACGGACTTCTGTCGACGAGCAGGAATCCCCATGATCATTTTTTTTATGTTGCTTTGTATCACCCAGGCTCTTCATATTGGTGGTTTCTGCTTTCGATGGTGATTTGTTGGCAGCTTTTCTTTTTCCCTTTTGCACCCTCCCAATATCGTCTTTCCTTGGCTGTTCCCCCGAGGGGTGTCCAACGGCAGCAGTAGCTGCTGAGATGGAAGAATCCTCCGAGTTATCCACATTTTCTACATCACTACAACTTGTCCTTCTCTTGGAAGTTTTTCTGTTTCCCTTCTGTCTCGTTTCTGTCTCGTTGTCTTTCCTTGGCTGCTGTAGTCTTTGTTCTTGTGCTTCCTGTGATGGGTGGTCAGTAGGTGCCTTAACTGTTGAGGAGATGGGGGAACCCTCCGAGCTTTTCACGTTGTCTTCACCGCCAAGGCTTGTCCTTGTCTCAGCAGGTTTTGTTTTTCCCTTTTTTATCCTCAAAGAATCGTCTTTCCTTGGCTGTTCTTGTTTCTCCTCTTGTGTTTCCCCTGATGGCTGACCAACGGCTGCCTTAACTACTGAGGAGATTGTAGAATCCCCTGAGTTTTTCACGTTTTTTTCACAGCCAAGGCTTGTTTTTGTCTGAGCAGCTTTTCCTTTTCCCTTCTGTATCCTCAAAGAAGTTCTGTCTTTCCTTGGCTGTTCTGGTTTCTGTTGAACTTGTGTTTCCCCTGACTGTTGAACAGAGGATGCCTTAACTGCTGACGCGATGGAAGAATCCTCTGAGTTATCAGAATTTTCTTTAACCCCACTGCTTGTTCCTGTTTTGGTAGCTTTCCCTTTTTCCTTTTGTCTCCTCTCTGAATCATCGTCTTTCCTTGGCTGTTCCAGTTTTTGTTCTTGTGTTTCTTCTGACGGTTGACCAGCGGGAGTATTAACCGCTGAGCATATGGAACAGTCCTCCGAGTCATCCACGGTTACTTCACCGGTACGGCTTGTCCTTCTCTGGTTACCTTTTCTTTTTTCCTTTTGTTTCCTCGCTGAATCATTGTCTTTCCTTGGCTGATCTATTTTTTGTTCTTGTGTTTCCCCTGATGGGTCGCCAGCGGTTGCCTTAACAGCTGAGGAGATGGAAGAGTCCTCCGAGTCATCCCCATTTTCCTCACCACCAAGGTGTGTCCCTGTCTTGGGAGCTTTTCCTTTTTCCTTTTCTCTTCTCCTCGAATTGTCTTTCCTTGGCTGTTCTAGTTGTTGTCCCGGTGTTTCCCCTGATGGGTTGCAAGCGGTTGCCTTAACTGCTGAGGAGATGGAACAGTCCTCCGAGTAATCCACATTTTCCTCACTGTTAAGGTGTGTCCCTGTCTTAGGAGTTTTTCTCTTTGCCTTTTGTCTTCTCCTGGAAATGTCCTTCGTTGGCTGTTCTAGTTTCTCTTCTGGTGTTTCCCCTGATGGGTTACCAGCGGCTGCCTTAACTGCTGAGGAGATGGAAGAGTCCTTCGAGTTATCCACGCTTTCTTCATGGCCACGGCTTGTCCTTCTCTTGGTGGCTTTTCTTTTTCCTTTTTGTCTCCTCCCTGAATCATTGTCAGTCCTTTCTCGTGAATCACCTGAAGGTACGGTTATAAACACAGCTATATCAAAACTGGCTCACAAGAATCAGACAGTCAGATAGTTTATCAAAGAATGACAATGTCACAAGTAGGCGAGTATTCACCATTACCTTGTCTACTAGTACAAGGTTGGAGAATCACGTCTTTTTTTCTGTAAGAATCTTCCCTAAGAGAGATTTTCTAAGTGAATTCTGACTAACCCACAAACTAGCCGACTCTTTACGTCTACAGAGGTGACGCTTTAGCGACTAGATGTTACTTTTTACATCTACAGAGGTAACTCTTTTTAGGTCTAAACGGTACCTGATGACTTCTGTTCAACAACTACACACTTGACAAATAATGTCATCACTATGTCAACCTATGAACTTTGAAATTTGTTTAAAGGTATAGTCCATCATTTGTAATTTGTGCATTTTGTTCGTTTGAAGCAACAAAAGTGCTCAAAATCTAAAGAAGGGTACTGAACAACTAACCTGATGTAGTTTCAGCTCAGCTTCAGCTGTATATTCCGAGAAAAACAGCATTCTAGGATCTCAATTTCAAATCAAAAGTTGCTGAATCATGTTTTGAATTGGGCCTGAATTCAGCGTCCGAGACACGTTCTCATTGAGCCGATTGCAGCTACGCGATGTCGCGCACTGATCCGACGAATTATAGCAACTGCGCGCGTGTGTGCGTCGTGCCAATGAGAGCGCATGCTTCGCTGAATAACAAAATGAAGTACTAATTTAAATTTCCTACGGTGCGTCTTAAGAAGCACCGTAGGAAAGGCCTTCTTTCGTTGATTACTTCAAAATGACAGCTTGCCAGAAAGAATAATTTTACAGGGAGTTTAGTCCCCTACTATCTTTCAACCAAGTATGTTTTTCAACAATAATTACGCCAGTTACTTTTCGGATAGCTGCAAATGATGGACTGTAGCTTTAAACACATAAACCACCAAGGCCAGCTCATACTCTGTGCGAAAGCAAATGCAAACTTTAACAAGAACTTGTGACTGCAAATTCGCACATCTAGAAAAAGTTTCAAATTTAGCTAATTACGTTGTAAACATCTGGTGACGCAACTGAATTGGCATCCGCACTAGCTTAATCTATTTGTATAAACTTTACCTGCCGATTTCTGTTCATCATCAGCTCCGCCCATCAACCCAGACACTAAGCGTAGCTCTATGTTGGTGTCTTGCTGAATTCCAAGTTCTTTGAGCGACATTCTACCCTTGAGCTAACAGAGGGGGTTAAAAATAAAGCAAAACTCTGTCAAGATAACTACTATTTAATGATAAAATACTGGCATTAGTGAATATGTAGGCTGTTGTGATTGAATACTTACTGTTAAGAGGATTAAAAATAAGGAAATTGGAGAAATTTACTTAAAACAGATTTTACATAACTGTACCATACCTCATGGTTTTTCCTTGTATATAGACGTTGTTTCTTTGGTTCAATCCCCAGTTTGTCTTGTAGTAATCCTTTCAATGCTGAGATAGTAGTGGACGGATGTAGTTGCAGGCATACAGGTGATCTCAAAGAACTAATCACAAACAGCTGGATTTGGGATTCTTTTTTCTCTTCACCAGATGGTTTCTTATCAGCAATTGTTTGTTTCCTTGTCTTCTTTCTCCCTAAAGGTAAACAAAAACAAGAAGCATGTCGTTTTCTTTGACCTATTTGCACGATTTGGCTTCAAATGAAAATTTATTGAATAAAATATTCAATTGACCATCAAAGTTCTCAAAGTTAACCATCTGTTGAGGACATAACTGAAGATCAGTATTTATGTGAATCAGAAGTGCTAATAGTTGAGGTGACAGTCCTTAAACAGAATATCAATTGATATTTCGTGAATGGGACACTTGCAATCACAAAAGGAATGGTTAAACATAATGACAATCAAACATTTTGATTGATAACTTCCTATTTGGTTGTACATGACAATGAGTACTAACAAAATAGTTTTAACACATGCATATTTATAGTCTTCATGGGGAAAAATCATTTAAAAAATAGGATTGATTGCTGTATCAGCTGCTACATCAGATTTGACAGATGTATAAGACACCTGCACTATTAAGCAGGAGGTTGCGGGTTCGAGTCCCACGAGTGAGCTTGTGAATTTTGTTTGTTTGCTTGTTTTTAGGGGGGAGCAGCTTTTGGACAGCATTAAGTATACAATACTTGTGAAAATATATCAGTGAATGGCAACTCCATTATTGGAACAGAGAATTTACCTTTTGATTGGTTGTTTCTCTGAGCAGTGGTATTGGCTGATGAGGAGACGGTGGAATCCCTCGAGTTGACGAATTTATCTTCAGCTTGATCACCTTTGTTTGTTTTATTGATGGCTTCTTCTTCGGATGGGGATTTCTTGGCAAGTTTTTGGCCTTTTCTTGTCTTTCCTGATCTTTTCTTAGTCTTGCCTTTGCTTCGTATTTTCCCTGCAGGTAATGCAAATGTAAAAGGGCTGTAGCTGTTGCATCTTCTTCAGCATGCAAAAGGCAAACGTGCATTCACACAGGCTTTGATTTTGATAAAAACGTAAGAAAGTACATCAAAATACTGAGTTTTACCAGGTTTTCCTGATGAGGTATATGAATCCCCCAAGGCATCCGAAGGATCTCGCTTTACATCATCTGAGGTAGTTTGTCTGTCAGCTTCATCTAACACCGGTTTTTGTCTCGTCTTCCCGTGTCGTCGTCTTCTAGTCCTCATTCTCCCTGTAAAGTCATGTTTATCAGCAACGTGGTTTACGATTCAATAATTGACATGCAACGATATTTTTCAGTGGGCCAGCCTTACGTCCTTGTACCTATTTGACGGACTCACACTGACTGACTCTGACTTATGAGCCAAGCAGTGCTACACGCTAATGGAGTGGTTTAAACATAATGACAACAATACAGTTTGACTGACCACTTCCTATTTGGTTACATGTATGAATCAGAGTCTGCTTATTCAGGGTCTTCACAGAAAATAATTGCACTGACAGAATAGGATTGATTGCTGTACCAGCTGCTACATCAGATTTGAACTGATGTAAGACACCTGCACGAGTAAGCAAGAGTTTATCGATCCCAGCTTGTGAACATTTCTTTTTGCAAATTCGCAGACAACACTGTATAGTTTGTCAGTAAATAACAAAACTCATAATTGAATTGACAATTTACCTTTTGATTGGTTGTTTTTCTTAGCAGTGGTCTTGGCTGATGAGAAGGTAGAAGCCCTGGAGTTGACCAACTTATCTTCAGCTTGATTACCTTTGTTTGTTTTATCGATGGCTTCTTCTTTGGATGGGGAATTCCTGGCAACTTTTTGGGCTTTCCTTCTCTTGCCTGAGTTGTTCTTAGTCTTGCCTCTTCTTGGTATCTTCCCTGCAGGTAAACACACATATATAAGTGTTGTAGCTGTTGCGTTTTCTTCAGGAAGCAAACGGCAGACCTGCATTCAGACAGCCTTTGATTGTGATTAAAACAACTTTTAAATACCGAGATTTTACCAGGTTTGCCATCTGAGATGTAAGACTTCCCCAAGTCATCTGAGTGATCTTGCTTTTTATCATCTGAGGTAGGCTGTCTTTCAGCTTCATCTAATAACGGGTTTTGCCTCGCTTTCCCGTGTCGTCGTCTTCTTGTCCTCTTTCTCCCTGTAAGAAAAAGTCATGTTGATCAGTAGCATTGTTTATAATTCATGGACATGTAATGATTTTTTCCAGTGGGCCAGCCTTACGTCATTGTAGCTATCTGACGGACTCATACTGACTGACAATAATGAGCCAGCAAGTGCTACACCACAACGCCAATGAACGGGCTAAATCTGGCCCATATATAGACCGGGCAGGAAAAGACTTCTAGTAAACAGCCATCTTGTGAGCACTTCTGCTCAGCTTGGCCTGTCTTATTTCAAAGGAAGAAGTTAAAATTGCAGGCAAAGGAGTGCAGATGTTATTAAGATTAAGCATGGCTTACAGTGTATAAACCAAATGAAATAACAAACAAACCTCCCATTTATTGATCAGGATTTATATGATTTTAGCAGTGTTTTAGTTTTGATGCAACTATGAGTTACTTTTATCATTTTTTTATTGGTTCCGGTTATGGAAATCCTGTTTGACTTGTTTTACAAAGTGCTTGGTCTGTTTTACAATGCATTTTGGTCATTTTGATATATTGAAGTTTCCTTTTGATTTTCATGTTTGTTTTTGTATGATGTACATTTTGCTGTCTTATTTTGATTATTATTAACCTGGTTTTATTTTAATATTGAAATATATATTGATGAGCTTTGATTTTATCTTTTGCACAGCGCTTTGTGGTTTTTGATAAATGGAAGGTGGTATATAAGTTGTATTCATTGTTATTATTATTACTTCCATGTCCAACATGCCTCTTGAGTCTCATTTAAAATATTAAATCCTAGGATTTTACCAGGTTTTGCTGCTGAGGTTGAAGAATGCCCAGAATCATCAGAGTTTTCTTGCTCTTCAGCACCTGAGGATGTTCGTCCATGGATGTCATCTTGAGATGAGGAGGTGACTCGAATCATGCGAGGAGAACAAATGCTCAAGATGACACGGATTGTGATCAGTGGGAGGCATAGAATCCACAGAAACAGGTTGAGTTTGGCAAAATATGTAGCTGAGCCACCGGCAATTGAAGAGCAGGTTTGGGAATCTACTGAGTCATCTTGATCTTGGATGGTTGATGATTTGGCTTCTTCACAGGACGGTTCCTTTTCAACATGAGTTTGTCTTCGTCGTCTTCTTCTGTTCTTTCTCCCTAAAAAAATGTAAGCATCCTTGATCAGTTTAAATAAAACGTTTCATTTTTTTAACCGAAGTCTTTGGATACTAAAAATGTGTCAATCAGTGTTGTACATTATAGGACTCGAGTCCAGGAATCAAACTTGAGTCCATCTTGAGTTGCATCCGCAAAAGATTCGGACTCGGACTTGACTATCATTATTGGATTTGATGATAAGAACTCATGACTCATTAATTTTGTAAAAATTTTGACTTAATTGGGCTCGAATTCGTATGTACTGGATGCACTTGACTCAAAACTCAGACTTTGATTTGACTCACATAATTGAAAACAATACTGGTACCCAAATGAGTAGAATTGTACCTGTTGAATGGTTGCTAGCATTGGCCTCGATTGTTGAGGATGTAGGGGTGTGCCCAGACTCATCAGGTGACCTCACTTGTTCTTCCTCATTGGAATTATCTTGTCTACTCATTTTGTCTGTAGATGTAGATTTCGTTTGCTTTCTTTTTGTCTTCTTTCTCCCTGGAGTATCACAAAGCCATGAGGCAGCAAATCAACCGGCGTTACTAATCATGAATAACTAATAAAGCGGTGGCTATAAAAATAAAGTGATCGTTTTTGTTGTTAACTGCTCCCTCCAGAAGATGAGGCCCTCTACATTTCCCTTTAAAAATTGTTCAAGCACTGTGCCCCCTCCCCTTACCTTTATATCTAAACTCTTACCTTCTCTCTTCTGTTTGTCAACTCCTCCCATCAACTCAGACACTAGACGCAACTCTATGTTGGTGTCTTGCTCAATCCCATAATTCCCTAAGGAGAGGTCATCACGGAGCTGTGAACGAATAGAAACTTGCTTAAGGCATGAATTAAAATCATGTCACACAGATTTCTATACTGTCTATTCAATCGCCTGAATAGGGGAGATGTCAAACTGAAGTTGGGTATTGCATCTTCACTAGTGTTGTATAGTCGAGACCCCACAAGACCTTCACAAGACCATCACAAGACCATCACAAGACCATCACAAGAACATCACAAGACCATCACAAGACCTTCACAAGACCATCACAAGACCATCACAAGACCTGGGAATAATCTTATGCTTGTTCTACAATTGTTCTTGTGTCTTGTCTTGTGATGGTCTCAATTATACCACTGTTCTTCACAAAATGAGGATCTAGTCTTCTTTGAACTTCTACGTTAAAATTACCTCATGTTTTCTTCTGGTAAACAGATGTTGTTTCTCTGGTTCAATCCCCACTTTGTCTTGTAGTAATCCTTTCAATGCTGAGATAGTAGTGGACGGATGTAGTTGCAGACAGACTGGTGATGTCAAGGAACTATTCACAAACAGCTGGATCTGTCGTTCTTGGCACGGTTTGGCACTAGGGGAAGAATAAAATATATCGGCAAGTTTGAAAAAGAAAATATTTTAGTCCTGAAAGGATAGCACAAATTATTGTTCTAAAGCTGAGTTAATCCATTATCACATAAACTACACTGTATCACTATTTCCGGAGGAATATGTAAACCATCGAGGACTTGGGCGGTTTCGGGCGGTACAGGGACTACGTAAGTGAAGTATAAATAAAATCTGAGACACTTTTCAGCAATCAAATTATAGTACAATAACTTAACTTGAGTAAGTTCATATTTTTGAAAGGATTGTCACATTGCGGCCACTGATATTTTTTAGATCTTTCGATGCCCTTTCAACTTCCCATCAAACTGGCAAGTTAATTTTTACTTATACTTATCAGCAAATGTTGGGTTGCGTGTTAAAATTTTGCCTCCTTTAGCCATTAACTCCTAGCACAACAGTTTATGTTAGTTCATGGGAAAAGCTGTTTTCAACTTTTAAAGTATTTAACGGTTCATTAAAAACATAAACATATACAAATATGAGTACAGTCATGGGGTTTTAATTGAAAAAACTTGCGCAACCATCGTTATGAAATAAGTATTGAACTAAAACAAATGTATACCGTCTACTTTACCTGCATTCTTGATCCTCTGTGGAAGTACTTGAAACGACACTCTTGGGTGGAATGGATTCTCGGCAGGACCTGGCAGCTAACAGTTCTGACTGGAACGCCTCTTTCTTGGACTTGCGGACTTTCCTCTTTCTCGTGACCATCTTGGCCAGCGAGTGATCATTGATGTGCCGAGCAGCTCTCTTGGCATCCTCCAAGTCAGAAAGGCTCCTCAAAGGTTGCAACCAAAAATCCCCCTGGATATTGTAATAATTATTCAAATTTAAAATAAAGGGATCCGATCTGAAAATTCACTTTTATGTTTTTGCTTAATATGGCCTAATACAAAATACCATTGGTTTGGATCACATGGATAGAGGAAATTAGGCTCGGTCGGTGGGTATAGGCAAACAAAAATTCTAAAGTGGAGAGTATCCTATGTTCATGAGAGCACCATACCTGTGGTTAAGTGATATCAAACGAAGAGCTTGATTTTTGAATCAGCTTTTTATCGCTCCTGAAAAATAATTATGAACCCCCCCCCCCCCCCGACCATCACACACTGTCTGGGCCATGCGTCCAGACAATGCCAGGCGGCCTGCCGTGCGAGACGGGCAAAATTCAGTTCCAATCCCGGAACATGCTGTCGTGTAGTCGTTGTTTCGTGTAGTCGTTGCCAGACTTGCAATAAATTATTGCACTCCAAATACAATAGGTCTACGCATGCGGTACGATACGACTACTAGTTTGTTTCCGCCACGCAACATGTCGCCTCCGTACCCGACCTTTCATAACTTAACACTTTGCGGCAAGGTGCGCCAGGCTTTTCAACATTTCTTTTCATATAATTTCCCCGGCAAGTTTCGCAAGAAATACATGTAGGCCTATTGCATTACTTTCTGCATTCAAAATGAAGAAAAACGAAGGCAAAATGCGAGAATTTTTTTAATTTTGATCTTTTGCTCTTTTATCTTCTGTTTTAAATTGCGCCAGATCTAGGTTTCATATCTCTAACATTTTTTTTTTCAATTCGCTGTATGAAACATGTCAACATCTGATTCCTCCTTTAGCTGTGTAGAAGAAAGAATCATAAGGCTATTACATGGCTGCTGTTTTGTGGCAGAATCTTGTGGGAAATAGTTCTCATGTATACTTTCGATTTTGGAACAAAGACTTCAGATTCTGACTTCTGATTCAATTCTGACCAAAAAAAATGAATAATATGAACCGGTTTCGAATCCCTTTGCTTACATTCCACGAATGCTTGCTTGATGGGAAATTTGAATAACGGACTGACGCACTCAACTGGAAGTTCCAGCGAATTTAAATGACAAAATGTGAAATTTGAATTTGAACTCACAATTTTTATAATTGCTTCATTAATAAGTGCAATCGCATGTTCTTACATTCGATCTGTTTAGTTTATTGAATGTTGATCTGATCGAGCGAAAATTATGGGTGATTTGTCATCATTTTGGCTGCAGAATGACCACGAAGTATAGGCCTTTACCAATGTTTTAATAAAAGTCTGAACTTCTTGGATGAGTGTGTACAAGTCTGTACTCGTTCTATTTATAAACGAAAATTCTAAAAACACACTTACGATATACCAAAGAGATTATAGTTTTACAATGTAGTTTAAATCGAAGTGGCGGCGCTCACGGTAACATTGTCTTTGTGGAAAGTGCGAGTTGAGACTTCGATTTTG